TAATATAATACAGACTCCGACAATATAATGTACATATACATATGCGGTTTTCCTAAATGTTTTTCGCTGGTATTATTTAATGTATATATATATATTAAAATTTGTATATAGAAGGGTACTGAAACAAATAAAAATATCCACAATGCAATATAGATCAAAGCCTTTTTAATTTTTACTTTCACTTCCCCTTTGTCAAAATACTTATTTCAGCTAAGAAGAGGGTGGTAAGTGAAAGTTGTGTGATGCGCTCACCGCACCAGATTTTTCTTTTTTCCTTATGTCGCTGTAATTATTATAGTTATAAATTTCTCCGTTGGAAATTTAGAATATCTAGGGTCTCCTTTTTCTATTTAACACTTTGAAATTGAGATAATATTCACTTATGCAGGTATAATCTCCATTAAAAAAAAACACCTTTTTGCACTTGTGATGGATACCTTGAATATCAATTGTTCTAGTGATTGACAGGGGGTCGGTACCAGTAATAGATATACCTCAGAATAATTTCAATATCTTTATTTGACCATAAAGATAACGATAAAGATAAGATAACATAAATGTTCAACTTACTCGTAGCAAAACTGTTAGTGGAACGGTATGAAACACACTGATATCAAGAGCACTATAGAAACAACAATGATAACCATTTTAAAGTTTTTTTTAGAAACGTTGTTCATACAGTTATAAATAGAGAACATTGTTCATCAATATAGAAAAAACTGTAACCTTTAAATCTACAATTTAAGTCCAACCTGTCCATAGCAGGTGCGTTCCACCTATTTCTTGAAAAATAAACTGATTAGCGTTACTTTATTCGTAATTATATAAAACAATTATTTAATACAAATTAACAATAATTTCAGAAATATATTTCATTTTTACTCTGTGATTATAAAATTATGCTTAGTTTTATAAAAAAATATTATCGATATTGAGATAGCACCACCACGTTAATATTGGAGAAATCTGATAAGCAAGTTGTTGTTGTTTACCATTATAAATATATTAGCAGATTGGAAAAGGTTATAAGTGTAACCCGCTATTCCAAAAGTAGATTAAAACATTTTTAAATTTGGTAGAAATCTGTTTCAATTATCAGAGCGGCTTTAGAAATACTGCAGTACTTATAAAAAAGGAAGTCCACCGGTTTAGAAAATCGTTGGAATTACAGGAGCGGTTTAACTTTAACCAACGCTTACTTAAAACTTAGTTTTCATCACATAAACTTTTCTTTTCCTAGCAGAACTTTCTCATGGGCGAACTTTCCTCATCTTGTATACAAAGGAATCACGTTATTCTCAAGGAAAAATAAATCTAATATAATTAAATGTTATACCGTACGCTCAGTATTAGAATACTATTTACCGCAAATAGAAAATTATGTTGACGATACACGCAGAGATCTAGAAGCTGGTCACCTTGACCTAACCGAGAGTTAGGGACGGAGAAATCGCGAATTACAACACGTTCGACCATTAGTGCATTTTTTTAAAGGCTGACCAACATTGCATTAATAAAGGGAAATGTCAGAATTGTTTAATAATTAATTAATATCAAAGTTTGACTAGCTGTCTCTAATATTCCAAAAAGTTCTCATACACTGTCAGAGACGGATTACAAGAGATTTTTATAAAATTTTTGAACTCACTTTTAACGGAGATAAATCTTAAATCTTTGAGCTATGAACTCATTAATACCATTGGTCACATGGTCACAAACCAAATTTTTATATCGACGGTAGCCAAATAAAAACCTTGTTACTCTATCTGTTTTTGTAAACATCTTAACTCCAGCTGCTGAGCTGTATAAGCCTAGTGAGAGTGAAAGTACATCTGTATGTTTAAGGAATACATGATTATGGATTGTACTACTATTAGTTATCACGGGCGGATCTACGGGGAGGGGCTTTCCTATCACTATGATTTATATCAGTATTCGGGCTGAAGCTCCCCCCCCCCAAAATGTTAAAATATAACCATATTTTATCGGAAAAAATACTAAAAAATTATCTCTTAAAGTATATATATTCGTGTAATTACATTTAAAAGGGCTTTAGGAATCACTTAAACACCAGTTCATATAGGTACTTAGTTTATTTTCCAAAGTAATTATCGTTACTTTTATGAAAAAAAAGCTTTCGGGCTGAAGCCCCCCCAAAATTAAATCCTGGATCCGCTAGTGTTAGTTATTAAACTCTTAATTTTGCATGGTAAAGTTTACTAAAATGGAGTTCTGAGATTTTCATTCCCTTCCACTAGCGGATCCAGGATTTAATTTTTCGGGAGGGGGGCTTCAGCCCGAAAGATTTTTTTCATATATATAACCACAATTAATTTGAAGAAAAAAGAAGAAGAAAGGAATGAACTACCTATATGAAATGGTGTTTAAGTGATTCTTGAAGTCCTATTAAATGTAATTACACGAACAATAATACTATAAGAGATATATTTTTATTTGTTTTTCTATAAAACGTGGTTATATTTTACCGTTTTGGGTGAGGGGCTTCAGCCCGAAAGCCCTCCCCTCTATGTGTTCTCTTCTATAAATATTTGAAAAGTTATCACATTGATTGTAAGTGGATAATGTTGTGATTTGACAAAAGAGGAAATTCATCTAATTATTCATTAATTTCATTCTAATTATTCATTTTCTAAAATGTTAGATGATGGATTTTCGTCATAAACCGATGATAGATACCTAATTATTTACACGTAATATCGGATCTAGAGTTGTTAAACTATAGTAATGTATTGAAGGTTATAAAAATTTTAAAATTTCACTTCTTCTTTCACACGAGAACAATGAAATAGTTGTTTAAACAATGTCATTGCCTTTATTCGGTGGTTTTTATATACTCTTTTTTCAAATTTGAACATAATTTTAAAATTTTATATTACTAAATATAACCAAGAACTTTTATTTTATTAAACCAAGAAAATTTTATTTAATTTCCTTAGAAACGTGTGGTTTCCGCTAAATAATTTTAAAATTCAGACATTATCATTTACAATTTTTTCGACACTATCGATTACCTACCACATTTTATGTTAGATATTGTATTTTTTTCTAAAATTCTCAGCTTTCCAACAAAATTTAAACTTATATCTTCTGATGAATATTAATTCCCGAGATTCATGTTCGACCTAAACAAACATTTTTCCTTTTTGTTCTCCTTTATTTAATTATCAAATTATCTCAGTTATAATGAGACTTTTTTTTATTACTTTCCTATCTGTAAGGCGTCACCAATGTGGATAAGACATACCTGGTATTAAAGACCCCTTAATAATAAACTTCTATGCCGAGTTTAATCAAAATGTTTGAGCAATCTTTGAGAAAATTGTAAAATCGATGATATAATGTTGCACTTCCGGTTAGCTGATTTAAACGAAAAAGTTGCTATGACATCCTAGGCATTTGCCTGACTTAAATATGTATTTTAAGTTTCGTACGACTTTTCGTTTTTGAGCTAGACTGACGACATACACACACTCAAAACGTATATTTCCGTTTAAAACTGAGATTCAAAAATTTTCACGATAGCAATACTTTGTTTTCATTTTTGGTTTATGGTCATTTTATAGTTTGTTCCTGAATTAAATTTATCGGAATGAAGGGGATAGAGGTAGTCCACGACCCACAGACACGCTTCTCTAACTTCCATAAAATCAATTTATTTATACATTTTCAATCCTCCAACTCTGGTAGGTAGGAGAGTTTTCAAAGCTATAAAAATCGGATAAAATTAAAAAGATGGATTTGATACATATACGAGTATATATATACGGGCAATCCGATATAAATATGCTCAAATGCTTCACACAGCTAAAAAAAAAAAATAATTAATGGATACAGGGTTTAATTTAGGGGAGAATTTTATTATTTTTTTTTATAAACTAAATACAATGAATATAAATAATTATTTAAAAAAAATAAACTATAAGGAATGATTTAAGAGGTCCTTGAACGGCTATTAAAAAAACAAAAAAAACAATGCTCTTTGGGGTAATTGTGTTCTTGACACTTTCTTACATTTATTAGTTGTATATGATTTATAATTTAAGATTAAAACATTTTGGGTTTATTATATGGATTAATAAGAAAAAAAATTATTTTTTCTTTTTGGGGTTGATTCAGCCTAGAAGCTCTCTCTCCCTTCCTGTAGATCTGCTACAGGAGTACAGAGAACTACAGGCTCTCAACTATTTATAAAACGAAATTTTAAATTTTATTTCCCATGAAATATTTTGGATTTATTTTATGATTTATTATAAATATAATAATAATAATATTGCTTTATTTATTCTGGGACGAGTCTCTTTAGAATAATATAAAAAGACAATAATATGGGCTAAGCAGCCTTAGAGATACATAAACAAAAATATACAGTAATTAAATAGTCAAAATAAAAAAAATTATAGAAAAAATTATAAGTTACTTACTAATTTAGATCAGTTAAAAATAAAAAATAAAAAATTGAAAATAAACATGAAATAAAAATAATGAAAAACGCTCTAATAATTTATATACATATTTACAGTAGTAACTATTTACAATTTTACTTTTCTATACTATTACAATACTAGGAAGGAATAATTGGGTAGGGAAATCTGGGAGTAAGGGATAAAAGGTTTTAACTAGGTTTCGGATATTGCTATTGTGTGATAAAAATTAAAAATTATCAAGGAAATGTTCCTGAAATTCATTCTAGTGTGCAGTAAGGGATTGTGCATTGATGTGACAGGAATTCAGGATATTAGTCATGACTGGAGGGTTGGGAAGTAGGATTTTTGAACAAAAAAAATGATCAAGGATGGAGGATAGGATATAGCATTTTTTAAGCATAATGTCAGGTTTAATATAAAAAAAACAATGCTTACATAAAATAAACTTTGAGATGAAAAAAAATAAATTTTCGGTGTATAATGATATAATGCAATGATGTAATATAATATAATGATATTTATGGCGTGTTATTATAAATGTATCTATACTTTCAGGGGAGAGCAGGCAGGATGGAAATTTTGGAAGCAGAGGAGGTACGTCGTAACCCTCTTGGCTTTCCTGGGCTTCTTCAATGTCTATTCCCTCAGAGTGAACCTCAGCGTCGCCATTGTAGATATGACGTCTGTGCGGAAGATAGTAACAGAAAATGGAACACAATATTTGGTGAATCTTAAATTATATAATATATTGTTAAATTCTACCAGCAATGTTGTTAGCTCCCTCTTAGTTTTTGTCAAACTTCGAATGAAGCCTAACTATTTAATTGCGATTTAATAAAAGAAAAATGAAAAACAAATAAAGTGGACTGTATCTTCAAACATTTATTTTGGAACATTTACGAAATCTAATATTGAAAACATAAAAACAAAATGAATCAATTTTACACTTGTTAGATAGGTAAAAAAATAACAAACTTCTAGCATAAAATAAAAAAGACCAGCTGAACAAACAATTGTGACAATATTAATGAAACATTTTCATGCTTGATCATAAATAAAAACTATTTCTATGGCCCAAATTATAATAAAAATAAAAAAACTTCTCTAAAGTCCCAATATGAAATTTATATATATAACAAATAATTAAATTGTATAACGTTACATGGACGAAGCAGTACGTTCGTAAACCTCTGTCTCTATGCAGAAACCAATTGCAACTCTTCAATGAGCGTGCTCAAAACGAACTGCAAATGAGCACGACGAGAGAAGTACGTCTCTTCAGAGTAGAACTGCAGTGGGCAGTGTTGAAGTTGGCAGTACTCAGCTCAGTGAAGGACGGAGTCAGACTGTCTATTGTCAATTCTACCGCCTTATGACTTGAACCTAGCACTTGTTTATAGCTAGTGCTACTAAAATCCATAACAAAGTAGTCCAAGTATAAACTATTGATTTATTTAATATAAACAATATAAGCTATGGGCATATAATACTTAATATACACATATCTTATACATAAATATACATATTATTAATTGATTTCACTTTGCTAAAATAAAACAAATCAACAATTAATCAAACTAGTTAAGTGTAAAATAAATTGAATTAACACTGTGGCGTTTTTAACTGTAAAAATAAAATAAATTAACGCTGTGGCGTTAACATATGTTTTATACCATGGCACAATTTGGATTTTTATCTGTAGCACTATATTAAAAAGAAGAGTGAGTTTGTTATGTCGATTTAATGATAAAACTAATTCATGTATAAGGACCTGATTTGAACCCATATTACTTGATATAACTGAGGAATGTCACAAGGTATAGTTGATCCTTGAGTGAAGAGGAGAGCAGCCAAAGAACAAAGATCGGCGTCCCAGGCAAGGCAGCTCTGGTCCGAGAGTCGTAGCACAGGCAACAAGATATAAATAAGAGGGAAATAAATCAAGTCAAATTCACTCCTTTACTGAAATGGAGAGGATATTTCAAAAATCCCATTTGAATTGTTCGGTGATATCGGTGTAAATCAGGATTAAATTAGCTCCCTCATTGATAATGCTATGATGTTCTTGTTTTAGGGAATTCACGAATAGCTGCCACGAATATGATCTTATTACTTTTACTTACCTATATATGAAATATATAGTAAGGGAAAGCGTAGCTATCATGGAAATGTTGTTATCCGAGTTTTCAACAACAACAATATACTGAGGTCTCCTGAATCCAAATAACCGAACTTTGTCAAAATAGTATCTGTGTATGTGTGTGAACAGCTCGCTCTAAAACGAAAAGTCGTAAGAAATTGAAATTATCGTTCTGTTTACAGTAATTTCTATCTTACGCCCAACGAAACATGCGGAATTGACCATAAGAGAAAAACTCTTGCAGTTTCATTGGGACATTCTATTTCATCCAGACATTGCCCCATCCGATTATAACTTGTTTCTTTCGTTATAAAATTCTATCCCAGATAAATGTCAAAAACGCATAAGCTATATAAAAACGCATGAATGTTTTGCAAGTAAGTCTCAAGAATTTTGAAAAAATGGTATAAGAGGCTTCCTGAGAGATGGAAGAAGGTAATGGAATAGATCAGTTCATATATAACACAGTAAATCAATCTAAAAACACCCATAAAGAAATGTGAAAGAACATACTGGACAACCTAATATATAAATATGTATGAAGAAGAGAAGAATGGTTGGGGTGATCAGCCAGAATTAAGAAGGCAAAAATAAATAATAATATTTATTTTGACATTTGCCGACATTTCGACCTGAAGTTCAGGCCTTCATCAGGGCTAACAAAAGAACCAGATAACAAGGTATGAGAAAACATAAATAATGTAGGTAAAAAAATTAAAGTAAAATAATGAAGTGGGTAGAAAAATGACAGTAGTAAGAACTAAGAGATAAATAATAATAACCGTTACAAAGTGTAGAATGATGAAGTAAACATAATCAAAAAATGTGACATAAATATTAAAATGTTAATCTTAGAATACAATAGAAAACAGAAAAAAAGAATATGAAGTTATATAAGAAATGAAAATAAATAGTAAAATTATAATACTGAAAATATTGAAAACTTTTATATTTTCATTTCTTATATGGCTTCATATTCTTTTTTTCTGTTTTATACTGTATTCTAAGATTACCATTTTAATACTTATGTAAAATTTTTTATTATGTTTACTTCATCATTCTACTCTTTGTAATGGTTATTATTATTTATCTTTTAGTTCTTGCTATTGTCATTTTTCTACCCATTTCATTTTACTTTAATTTTTTTATCTACATTATTTATATTTTCTCATACCTTGTCATCTGCTTCTTTTCTTGGCTCTGATGAAGGCCTGAACTTCAGGTCGAACCGTCGGAGAATGTCAAAATAAATATTATTATTTATTTTTGCCTTCTTATTTCTGACTGATCACTCCAACCATTCTTCTCTTCATTATTCACGACAGTCAACCATTAACCCACAATTATAAATATGTATATTGATTTCTGTTTTTACATTTTAAACTTATGATTTCCATTGCATAACAATAAAGTATACAGAACAAGTCTCGAGAAAAATTAACGTTGACTACGCTATGTTGAATTTCGATGAAACGTTGTTCCTAAATCATCAAAATGTTTGTTAGCTAAACCTTAAGGCGGACCTTGGGCAAATGCCATGGGCATTTCTCAACCATTACTCCAGAGCTGTGAGAACCCAAAGGATTCAATGAACAAGTTATCAAAGAATGGATATTGAAATTAAATTTTCTTCTTCATCTTTTTTTTTTTTTAGAAATAATATATGTATTATAAGAGAAAATTTCTTTTGATTATTCGATCGAAAAAATTTAAAAAAATTTATATTATAATTTAAAAAAAAACAGTATTTATATTCTCTTAAAATATAAGCAAAGCAGCTCCCACTCTTCTTTGCTTAGGCGCCGGGACCTACGAAAGATTGGGGGTGGGACAAAGGTTAGTGTGATATCACTACAGTAGTTAACACCTGGGAGGGGAAGGCAGAATAGAACGATATACATAAGAAGCAGCTCAGTAATTAATAGGGAAAGGTGTGGCAGAATAGATTAACGCGTCTGCACAGCTCAACGAGTTGCCCGGCAACCAGATAAACGAAGTTATGAGATTAAAAAAGTAGGAGTTCGCGTCCCGTTGCCGGAGAGGATTTTAAATTCTCTGCCCTAACTCTCCGGCTCAGGAAAATCCCGTATAGCCTAAAAGGCGAGGAGGTAGGAAAGAACAAGAAAAAAAAAAGTTATCTGAATACATATCTACATATATATATATATATATATATATATATATATATATATATATTATATATATACATATACATATATATATACATATATATATATATATATATATATATATATATATATACTCTACCAATTGGCTGGCAGAGCTGAGGTGTCTGAATTGATATTCAGATATATATATATATATATATCTGAATATCAATTCAGACACCTCAGCTCTGCCAGCCAATTGGTAAACTTTGGTTGTTTAAAGCGGCGGGGTGGCCGAATGTGATAACGTATGTGCACAGCACTGCCGTTGCCCGGCAACCTGATACATAGATAAACTAGTACATAGAGTTCGCGTCCCGGTGACGGACTGAGTCTTTTAAATCCCCGCCCTCGTCCCCTGGCTCGGGAAAACCCCGTATAAGTTCCTTAAAGGCGAGGAAGGGAAGGACCAAAAACAAAAAATATATATTATATCTAAAAGTTGTTTTGTCGGTACGTCATATCTTTGTTAATTCTTCATCAAATCCAATGATTGAGCCATAAATTTTGAAGATTATATTCTCCTTCGTGTAGAAAAAATTATAATGTCCTTATAGCCAGAAAATCGGAAAACGATTTATGAAGGAAAGGAAATTTTATTTGAGCATATCTCAAAAAGTATATTATTAATGATATGTAACAAAAACATTTTTTTTTCAAATCGGACCATTTTTAGCAAAGGCGCAGCTAATTCTATTTTGTGCAGATGATTCGTTTTATTATTTGTAATGAAATAATATTAATATGGATTAAAAAATTAATTTCTCCATCTCTGAATTTGAAAGCTTTGAATTTCCTCATTGTATTGCCGTCTGTTCACTGATCGACATATTATGGGAATAATTCGCACGGATCAACTAATAATCTAATTTTACCTATATGATTTATTGAACTATTTTGGAATTATTTTAAGTAAATGATTGCCAAATATTTAAGTAAATGATATGCGAGATATTGGCTCTTCCATATTATAATATGAGAAGGGCAATAAGTGCCTTGCTCCCTCCCCTCATTGACTATGCTTCCATATTCCTTACCACCATCTGTAATAGTGCCCATGAGATTAAGATTACTTTATAACGCGACAGATATTAGTTAATGAGGATTTGCCTTTTCAGAGCTTCCATCTCCTGGATTTCATTAGGAAAGCAGTTTGGAAAAGAGGAATTTTAAAGATCTTTCTTGATTAAACAACTAGTTAAAAAACTAGAGTTGGAAACAACCCGATAAACCCACTTGCTAATTTTTTTTTTGCTCACAAATACCAGTACCACTAAGATATTTAGGGTGAATCGGCAGTTTTTAATCGGTTCTTTCGATTATGGTTCTATTCGGTAAATATTCTTGATTCTATTTTAAAACCATAATTTTGTTCTTATATCACATTTCTTGGCTAAAGTGGATGTGGTTATGATATCTGAATGTTAGCAAGCTATTTCATTAGCTATTGTTCTGCAACATTTCATATTTTTTATGGCAATGAATCTATCTATCTATCTATTCTGATAACTATATTTCAATGTATGTAAGTCTTTATTTTTTATCGAATTTCTATTATATAAGTAATTATTACTATGGCAGCTTTTTTACTTTCACTTTCATGTGTAATATATATCAAGGAGAAGTATTGCGATCGTTAAAATGTTCGAATCTGAGTTTTCAACGGATATACATGTTTTCAGGTCCCTTGAGTAACGAAGTCTCGCAAAATGGTCTGTGTATGTGCGTTTGTGAACAGTCCAGCTTAAGAACGAAAAGTCGTATGAAAGTAAACTTGCATATTTAAGATTTGTATATACCTGAGATATTACAGCAACTTTTTCGTCAAAGTCGGCTAACCGGAAGTGGCACATTATATCATCGTTGTTATACATTTTTACGATTTTCTCAAAATCGACTCAAATGATTTTGTTCAAACTCGGTATATCAGTGTATTATTAACCAGTTTTTAATATAATGAAGGTTTTACAATGTTTAAAAATGGTTAAATATAAAAAACGAAAGAATATTGACTATTTCCTCAGGATTGTTGGATGTTAATAGTTTTTTTTATATATATTGTCATTATTATAAGGATTTAGAAGTTTTAGAATTTTTTTCTTTAATTTGCATAGGCAGGGCATTCTATAATTATATGCTGAATGGTTTCTTTTTGGTTACATTTATTAAAATATTGATTGGTAATTAAACGAGATACATGGAAACAGTCGAGAGCGCCCGACCTTAGCTGATTTTCTCAGTTTTCAAATATCTGATACTCCTCTGTACAGGGCTTTCATATTGAACTTTTATATATTACTTATCTATAATTTTTTAAAAAGGTTTCCACGCGAAATGTTAAAGATCTTCTAATATAAACCTACTAATATACTATATTTACCAACGGAAAGCTATTTTTTCGACGAGTTTGATGATAAATGTTTCCGATATAACTCAGAATTTTTCCATTCATTTTCATTTTCTCCGCAATCATTTATTATTGTTTGATACTACACAAAGTCGTAAAAGGAACTGTAAAGAAATGCAAACATATAAATTTAACGGATCCGATGGCCGGGAAAACAAGGTTATTAATTGTTTTAAATGAAGGTATACCGTCGTTTTCACTTTTACTTACCCATATATGAAAATACCTCTATACTCTAAGGTTGGTAAGTAAAGTTGTGTGATCCGTGCATCGCACCATTTTTTTTTTTATTGAGGTGATATATTTTCCTTGAACGAGACGATTAGAGTGGTTCTTTTAAGATCTAAGGTCATCGAGCATGGTCATATGTTTCTTTAATACCTAATAGTTGTCCTAATGGCACCCATGTGCCCTTGAATTAGATTCAAAAGTATTTTCTTTAAAACGAAATTATTTCCGAAACACTGCAACAGTAGTTTATTTCGTGTCATAAAATCTAATATCGATCATCATATTGATGATAATTTCCGGTGAATTATATATGAAATCAACAAGTTAGGTGTTATACATTAAAACAATAACAATTCAAATTTCATCATTTTATTATTCTTAGTGTACCATAATTCTTAGCGAGATCGGAATTTCGTCTTTTGGAAAACATGAGATAGAATTCTGAATATAAGTATTAAATTTATTACTGCCAGATTTACTGAAATAATAATGATTAATTTAAATTTCTTGCTGCAAATTTCCATTGTTTTTCTCTTAATGATGAATTCACAAAGATTATACGATAAGAATACATTACCAAGTTTTTGAATAATTAAAGAAATAGGAAAGATATCTAAGAAATTTTAAAATCATTCTTATGGTAGCAATGATCTCAATTGAGATATTTTTAAGGCTACAGAATCATATTCTCAGCGAAATACACAGCACATACTGCATTCGGCTTGGAGATAAGCGGCCGAAACATGAAAGAAAGTCCACACCTTGAATGGTTCACCGATAAAAACAAAAGCGAACCTGTATTTTCTAAAGACTTTAATTAATAGTTCCGCGTGATTCTTATAGTCCTTCTTCCTCCTAATCTCAAGCTCGAACCACTTGTCAGGGTCAAGTTAACGTGGGAAAGCTTTTAAATCTATCGGGGATATGGTACAATTAATAATATGATCATAATTACTTTATTATAGATTGACTGTTGTAAAGAAAGTTTTCGGAATGAGGTCAGTGAGTGAGAGGTAGTTTTGTGAAACGTGGTTTACCGCTGGAATTGCTTTATCCATACACAACCTTCAGGTTGTTAATCAGTAAGTATACGATCACGTTCCGCGTTGCTATTTCGTCAGAGGTCATTCATTAATTATTATCAGTTCTCAGTAATTTTCTATTATTTAGCATACCGGCCATCGCCGCATAGCCAGGAGGATAATGAAATGTGTTGAGCGAAACCTTTGTAACATTGTTTCTTGTTGAGGAAGCGAATGTTCTGTTGAATGATAATTTCTTTAAAATATGACGTTTTTTCATAAAATATTTTTTATTTTTAGAAAACAATATTTAAAAAGAAATTATGACAGAAAAAGTCGACTACATAAATTGAGAAATTGTATACATTCTAAAAGAATGCACGACTTGCACAATTACTTGAACACTGAAACAATTCGTAAGGAAATTAACCTTTATAATAAATTCAATATAGGCAGGGGTACCCACAATGGAGTTTAATGGTGCAAGTTGCATCATCAAAATTTTGTTGAGGGGGCACATTTTAACGGTTTTTTTTTAATTTTTGAGGGGAACAAATTTCGATGAAGTTATGATTTTTCCAAATGAAAAGTTTCAAACCAGGGAACGAGAGGAAAACAAAGAACAGACCACTGAAAGTGTCATTGCATATGACTTATTATTTTTAAAATTTTACTTTACCTTACACTGGTTTTAAGAAGATGAGAGCAATAAAATATCTTTGGAGAAGGTTCATGTATCCTCGCTCTTGGGAGGGGAAGAGGGGGTAAGAAGGGGAGGAGCACCCCTAAATATAGGTGTAGAAGTCGAATGATCGCAACAATTTGATGTTAATGAGATATAATTGGATTATGCAGATTATTTACTTACGTTTAATAAATTTTATGTAAATTACTTTAATTTTTGTTCTGAAAATAAAAACGTCTTGTTGTTTGTTTACTCCCAAGAAACAGTGTTGTGTTTTTATTAAATAACACAATTGCTAAAGATGTTCTAAGGTTAAGCCTCCACAACCTTGTGGCAACTTAGAGGTAGAGAAAGAAGAATAAGTAAAATTCTTTCGGATGTTGACATGCACCGATACAGAGCAAGAAATCTACTCACCAGGAGCCGCAATGAATAGCATAAAGCACCCAACAACTACACTAAATTTACATATTCGTACATTGTATTTTTTTTTTTTTTCATTTCATAAGATTTGGTTCTTGTACTATTCAATAAAATAAATAAATCACCTTTAAACTGTATTTGTATTACATAACTCCAACTTTCTAAATTCGGCTAGAATAGGTTTGTTAGTGATAGGATAGTTCGTTCCTCCTGCTCTAGTTGGAGGATACAAGGATGTCAAACTGACATAATAATATAATAATTGTGACATGTATGATATCACAAATGTGATTTAGGATTTATGTGGGGCAGTTACCAAAGAAGTTAAAATACTTCTGATTTACAATTTAATTTTTAATATCTAATTTCTATTAATTAATTGCCAGATGTTTTTTTCATTCCTAAAAAGATCCCAGAATCAATCTCGAATTCTTGTTTTTCCGGCAACTTTCAGAGATGAAGTAGCCATTGTGCAACACTGGTAATATATGCCTTTAAGGTATATGTATGTAGACAGATAGATACAACTATATGTATATAATAAGATTTGTATATACCTGAGTTGTTACAGCAACTTTTTTGTCAAAGTCAGCTAACCGGAAATGGCACATATAATCGTTGTTATACATTTTTATGATTTTCTCGAAAATGGCTCAAACGATTTTGATCAAACTCGGTATATCAGTGTATTATTAAGCAGCTTTTAATATAGTGTAGGTTTTATTATTATTTAAAAAGTTGCTCCGTGTGTTTGTGTCTCTCTCTCCCTCTTTCTTCTTCTCTAGTTTAATATCTTTAAATAATAAATTTAATTTTTTCAGGAACCAGACTTTGATTGGGACTCCAAAACTCAAGGGCTGATACTCAGTTCTTTTTTTTATGGCTACATATGCACCCAACTACTTGGGGGTTGGTTTAGCACAAAATATGGAGGTGCGACTGTATATGGACTTGGTGTTACAACAACAGCATTCCTAACCCTAATCACTCCTCTAGTTGTCAGTACATCATCATATTATCCTCTAGTAATCCTAAGGATAATAGAAGGATTGTTTGAGGTGATTAATGTCTTATTATTTCTTGCTAAATTTATTTAATAATAATTTTTAAAAACGTGGATAAGAACAGATTATGTATGAATGGGATTGTATGCTATGAATTGGAAACACTAAGAAAATTACAAACCGGAGTACATCTTATTCACTAAAATAATTTGTCTGTAGTTTATATTTCTTGACAAAAAATTTTAAATCTACCTTATTATTTTGAATATTTAATGGTTGACCATTGCATTATAAAGGAAGGAGATGGTCCAGGGTGTCGGCCATAAATAGGCTAAATAGTGGCAAAACTATTTTATTAAAAGCCAACGTTTCGACCTGACTTTGCAGGTCTTCTTCAGAGCTAGAACGGACAAGATACAAAAAGATAGAGAATTGTGGAAGTTACATAATATTTAGACAAAAAATTATAAACAATGCGAATAAGCTTATTAAAATTATAAACAGTAAGTACTTTAAAATATAAAAAGAGTAAGCTAAGTAACAAGATCCTAAACTGAGGTAAATAAACTGGTAACAATTGTTGTAGAGTAACATATAATATATGCAAATGTGAATATACTTCTACAGATCTACAGGAGAGATTGAAAGAAAAGGAAAAAGGAAATAAATAAATAAGTAAATAAAATTAGAAGAATAAAATAGAGACTTACAGGTGTGTTCAGCTATGAGTTTCAGTTAAAATTGGAAAACCAGGGTAAGGGCAGGTATAGGAGAATTTGCTGACTTGTTTGGGTAATGGGGAAAAACCTAGAAAATTACAGTATCTAAAATTTGAAGATATGGATGGATACAAGGGAAAAAATACTGTATCTATGAAATATATAAATTATATAATATATATAATATATATATACATATATAAAATATAGAATTATAGAGATTATAGATAGGAGTACAATGTGAATGAAAACAAATATGGAAAAAGTAAAACGTAGATAGAAGTAAAATATAAATATAGAAATACGAGACCATACATTGCAGAACTAACTTGAAAGTATAGAAAGAGGAAAAAATGTGAATAATTATAATATTTTAATTCATACATTACATTAATAATTCATAAATTGATACATTAATAATTCATTCCACCTTAAAGAAGAGTTATCTTCTCTCCATATTTCTGACAACTTTATCCTTGTTTCTCTAGACGCCGAAAGCCTATTTACAAACAACCCAATAGACAAAGCCTTCCACGTTGTACAGAAAAACTGGACAATCATCGAATCTCACACCACCCTTAATCTCTCTTCATACCTTGAATCCGTTGAGTTTTGTTGCAGATCCGGATACCTCACCTTCCAAGGAAAATTCTTTAATCAGATTTCAGGTCTAGCCATTGGAAATTCTTTAGCACCAGATATTTCCAATATTGTTCTCAATGACCTTCTAGACTATTTTATCCCTTCTTTTCATCAAGACATCATTTTCAGCAAAAAATATGTTGATGACCTCCTTCTTGTTCTTAACCCTGACAACATCGCTCAAATTCTTTCTTCATTCAACTCTTACCACCATCGTCTCCGTTTCACTATAGAGAAAGAAGTTAACAATTCACTCCCTTTCTTAGACCTCCTAATAATAAAAAACACTGACTGTGTATCTACTGACTGCTACACTAAACCTACGTACTCAGGCAGACTACTCAACTTTTATCCTCAACACCCATATCACCAAAAAATCAATACCGCCAAAAATCTTATTCACCGATCCCTCTCTTTATCTGATCACAATACCACCAAGCCAACACTCAGCGTGTCAAAAATATACTCCTTTCTAATAATTTCCCCCTCAACACCATACTTAAACTTTTAAACTGCTATACAACCAAAAAGAGTACAACCTCCAATTCTCCACAATCACCTACCACTCCTTTCATATACAAATCTCTCCCCTATATTCCTATTCTCACAGATAATATATAAAAATTCCTTAAATTGACTATAACCATCATACATCTTGGCCTTAAGTCCCATAACAAACTTTCTTTCCTATTCACCAACTTGAAGTATCCCATACTTTTACAACACCGATCTAATGTAGTTTACTGGATACCTTGCTCTACTCCTAATTGTAATAGTTCCTACATTGGTGAAACTAAAAACCATCTTAAAACTCGCAATTCCCAACATAAAACATCCATAACTTCAAGGAACCCTTCCGCCTCCAAACTATCTGAACATGCCTTAACCCTCAACCATTCATTTGATTATGGAAAAACCTCTATTCTTGCCACGATCCCTAACCATGAAAAAATACTCATTTCCGAATCCATCCACATTCAGATGGAACAGAATCCTGTTAATCATAAAGTAGATAAAAACTACATTTCTTTAACATATAGACACATTTCAAATCTTATAAGTAAAAAATAACTTATATATTACATCTCATTATTTTTATCTACTTTCAATTTTTATTGATTAATTCAATATAGTTATTCATTATTCTAAATATTTTCGCTTTGTATGATCTCTCTTTTATTTTATTTTATATTATATTTACATTCTATATCAATGTATTATCATCCGTTTTCACTTTGTGCTCATTTTACTTTTTAACCATGTCTCAATATTATCTAATATTTAAATGTAATTTTCTTACATATGTACAACCAAATATAACTATAATTATTCATATTTTTTCCCCTCTCTATACTTCAAATTTAGTTCTGCAATGTATGGTCTCTTATTTCTATATTTATATTTTACTTCTATGTAATGTACGTTTTACTTTTTCCATTTTTGTTTTCATTCACATTGTATTCTTATCTATAATCTCTTAATTCTATTTTATATATATATATATATATATTTATAATTTAATATTTCATAGATACAGTATTTTTTCCCTTGTATCCATCCATATCTTCAAATTTTAGATACTGTAATTTTCTAGGTTTTTCCCCATTACCCAAACAAGTCAGCAAATTCCCCTATACCTGCCCTTACCCTGGTTTTCCATTTTAAGTGAAACTCATAGCTGAACACACCTGTAAGTCTCTATTTTATTCTTCTAATTTTATTTACTTATTTATTTATTTTTTTTTTCTTTTCTTTCCCCACATTCCTTTATGTCTATTATTTCCTTTTTCCTTTTCTTTCAATCTCTCCTGTAGATCTGTAGAAGTATATTCACATTTGCATATATTATATGATTACTCTACAACAATTGTTACCATTTATTTACTTCAGTTTAGGATCTTGTTACTTAGCTCACTCTTTTTATATTTTAAAGTACTTACTGTTTATAATTTTAATAAGCTTATTCGCATTGTTTATAATTTTTTGTCTAAATATTATGTAACTTCCACAATTCTCTATCTTTTTGTATCTTGTCCGTTCTAGCCCTGAAGAAGACCTGCAAAGTCAGGTCGAAACGTTGGCTTTTAATAAAATAGTTTTGCCACTATTTAGCCTATTTATGGCCACCCTGGACCATCTCCTTCCTTTACCTTATTATTTGTTTCTAAATTTGTATCATTTCTTTCTTGTAATTGATTATTCTAAATTTTAAATTTAAATTTAAATATTTTAATTATAGGGCGTCACTTATCCTTGTATACATACTGTATGGTCAAAATGGGCACCACCCGCAGAGAGAGCATCAATGGCTTCTTTTGCGTTTTCTGGCAGCTATGTGGGAACAGTTATCGCTATGCCATTGTCTGGTGTATTAGCTGAAAATTTTGGTTGGCCATCAATATTTTATGTTACAGGTATGTAGAGTAAAATTTAATTTAAGCAAGCTGAACGTTATGTAAATAACCTATGATGGGTTAATTGCAAATAACCTCTGTTTGGAGGGCAATTATGAATAGCCTTCCGCTTTGTCGAGGACTAGGCTATTTACACTCGTGAATTTAATTTTCTTAATACGAAACCCTGGCACTGGATATAGACTTTTTGAGGTTGTTTAACTGTAATTGGGAATTCGGGAACCGAATGCTTTTGTGACACTGAGTGACAAGAAATAATAAGTATATATATATATGAAATGTGGGACTGAGTAAATACACTTTAAATGAATTGACTTACCTGGTTTGTTATTCTTCAATTGTGAGGCATATAGGACCAACTAAATAAAAGGACTATTTTCACTTCTGTATAACAAAATAATTTATTTCCACAACTGTAATAAATTAACTCTATTAAAGTGTTATAAGTATAGGCTTGATATTCTTAATCTTTAGTGTAGTAGACTTCTCTTCTCAGGTAATGTTGTTCTGCCCTCATGCCCCAGCCTTAAGTACCTTCTTTTCTCTCTGGCATCCTTCTCCAGTTGCTGCTACCTGTTCGGTCCTTTTTCAAGCTTCTTCCTTCTTTGTCGATTGTTTATCGATATGAGACTTTTCAATGAACAATTTGTCCACAGCACAATTGAGTACAATTCATAGTGCAACCTCATATTCCTATTTATTCCTTCTCATTCCCTCATTCAGTGCCGCATAAAGGAGTAAATACTGATGGATGTCTACTGCAGTTAAATTAATTATAAACATTATTAGATGAAATATTTCATTCTTACAAAAAAATGAAAATAATTTTTTTTATATTTTTAGGTATTGTTGGTCTCATTTGGTCTTGTGCTTGGTATTATTTTGTAAAGAACACACCGGAAGATGACATAAATGTTACCCCGGAAGAACATAAGTACCTCAAAGAAGCTCTAGGTGATGTCAACACAAAAGAGGTTATTATGTTTTTAAAAAAATTGTTTTCTTAAGTTTATTGTATAAATATAAAAAAAAAAAAGCTTCTAAATAATATAAGTAAAATAAAGTGTTTTTTTTTACTGTCTATTTAGTTACATTAATTATGAAATCCACAGATTGTTCATCCTTGGAAAGAATTTTTAAAGTCAATGCCACTTTGGGCAATAGTTATGGCTCACTTTTGTGAAAACTGGGGATTTTACACTCTATTGACTCAGCTTCCTACTTTCATGAAAGGTATGTTCTATGCAAAAATCCATTATTTTCTGAATTTTATCATAAATAAAAAAAATATATAGAATATAAAATAATATATTTTTGTTTTTTATTTACATTTTAATTAATATGATTGGATAATATTAACTTGTATTCTCTTACTTATCTAGGTTAACTTCATTAAAAATTAATATAATTTAGACCTCATCCAATTAACTTGTCAAAAATTCGGTATTGTATGATAATTGGATTTTTCATCGAATGGTTTTCTTCACAATTTTTTTTTTTTACAAGTTTCATGTAAATATTATAGAAAAAGGATTATTAATAATTCTGTTTTCTTATTCAGTATTGATTTTAAATTTTATTTTATTAATCATAATATTTATGGTTTCAACTACCTCAATGATTCATCTTCTACCAATCCGGTGAATTCGCATAGAATTTCTCCAATTTTGAAATAGTTAGATGCTTATTGAATAACAAATAATAAAATAATTAAAATATGAAAATAACTAAATTTTAATTATGCTCCAAAGGTGGTACAATTGATCATTATTTATATATTCATGCTTTAAATGTCTACATTTTAGATACATTGAACTTTGAATTGACAAAGGCTGGCATATTGGCTTCTCTCCCTTATCTCGTAATGGCAATTATTATGCAGTTTGCTGGTAGATTATCTGATTGGCTTTGTAACAAAAAAATTCTTTCTGTGACAAATGTAAGTATTGTATTCAATATAAGTTTTAATGGATTTATGTTTACTTTCACTAATTTATATATGAATTATGTAGTAAGGGAAATAATTGAATGATTGACTAAAGAAGAAATATCGTTGGGAAGCTAATGATTTTTGAAAAATTAATACCTAACATATAATACCACAGAAGGTAATGCAGAGTAATAGAAAATCTATGACTAATAATTGTTTTAGTTAATAATATTTCATATAAATTTTAACACTGCCTTACTTAGTTTTTGATGAAAATGAGTAAGATGTCTACCATAATTTCTTTTTTTTTTTATGCCTAAATGAATGGTGCCAATTCCAATGCATTAAAATAATAAAAGTTTAATGAAAGAAAAGAAAAACTATGAATGCTTTGGGAAATTTAATCCTAAACCTAATATCAAAGTATAATTATTATTTTAACAAATTGATTATGTAAACATTAAATTAGTTGTTTTGTAAATATATCTTTTTTTATAAATTTGTATTTGTATTACATAGGTTAGGAAAACATTTAACTGTACAGCATTTCTATCCCAAACTGTATTTATGATACTTGCTGCACATCTAATGACTGCTTCAGGTGTGATAATTTGTTTAGTCTTAGCAGTTGGTCTAGGAGCATTTTCATGGCCTGCTTTTGGGTAAGAAATGAACAAATCACATTAGTTTCTGCTATTTTTTTTTATATATATTAATTGTTAATTACTCAATATCTTTTAAGGAATTTTATGCTGTTTAATTTGGTAATAAAAGAAGTTTTTATTTATTTTTAAAAGATTTTATATTATAATGAAGACAAGAATAGTTGGGGTGATCAGTCAAATAAGAAGGCAAAAATAAATGATAATATTTATTTTGACATTTGCCGACGTTTCAACCTGAAGTTCAGGCCTTCATCAGGGCTAAGAAAAGAACCAGATAACATGGTATGAGAAACATAAGTAGTGTAGGTAAAAAATTAAAGTCAAATGAAGTTGTTGGAATAATGGCAATAGTAAGAACTAAGAGATAAATAATAATAACCGTTACAAAGTGTGGAATGATGAAGTAAACATAATCAAAAAAGGTGACTTAAGTATTAAAATGGGAATAATTGTGGGTAAATGGTTGACTGTCGTGAATAATGAAGAGAAGAATAGTTGGGATGATCAGTCAAATAAGAAGGCAAAATTCCCATTTTAATCCTTATGTCATCTTTTTTTATTATGTTTACTTCATCATTCCACACTTTGTAACAGTTATTATTATTTATCTCTTAGTTCTTACTATTGCCATTATTCCAACAACTTCATTTGACTTTAATTTTTTACCTACACTACTTATGTTTTTCATGTCATGTTATCTGGTTCTTTTCTTAGCCCTGATGAAGGTCTGAACTTCAGGTCGAAACGTCGGCAAATGTCAAAATAAATATTATCATTTATTTTTGCCTTCTTATTTGACTGATCACCCCAACTATTCTTTTCTTCATTATTCACGACAGTCAACCATTTACCCACAATTATTATATACGTATATAATAATTTAATTTTTTTTTTTGGAAACAATAAATACTAGTGAGAACCGATTAAAGATAAAGATAAGGATTAGGTAGAGGACCTTAATCCATACCAGATATTCTTGATTTAGATTTAAATATTAGCACTCTCAAAAGAAGAAAATATTGATACATGGACAATTTACCATCACTCCTAAGAGTAGCCATAAAGCTAAGATATTTGTGTTAATTCATAAAATTTCTCTGGAAAAGGCTCTAAAAAACTATAATAATGAATAGTCATTCCATAACTAAAAATAATGATTCAGGTTATTTGGGAGTGTCAATTATCTATTCAGTGTGTTTCACTAATCAAAGTTATTTTAAAATTATACCAAATCTGGATGATTATTAGACTTACATATTACTGTTTCCTTACTTCAGGGCATAAATTCGCTTTGATTGTATTTATTTTGGAATACAATTTTTGGCATTGTTAGTTATTCAGTTATCTGAATTAGTAGCCTTGACATACTCATAAATACTTAGCTTTTTTGGTCTTGTTGGGGTCATAGTCCTAAAATTCAAGGCATAATTTACTTTACTACATTTTTATGAATGTAATGTAAGGAACATGTCATTTTAACTAGTAATAATGTAAAGGGCATGTGATCTTTTCATTATCATTACTCGATAACAAATCACGACAAAATACTAGTAGTGCATCATAATCTGCTACTTGTTCTCTAGAATTCGTCACTGCATGAATAAAAGATGTACTTATAGTTATCAACAAATATTGAGTTTCTTATTTTTCTTCGTTTCAGTGTTAATCATCTAGATATTGCACCTCAGCATGCAGGTGTTCTAATGGGATTTTCAAATACTTTCGGGACCTTACCTGGAATTTTTAGTCCACTCATCAGTGGTTTTATAGTTACCAATAGAGTAAGTATGATTATCTTTTCTTGCTATATAAATTAAACTGAAATAGTTTGAATCAATTCAATAAAAAATATTATTTAAAATTTATATTAAAAGATTATGTTACATTAAAAAAATTAAATAAAACTGATTATTTTAGACAGCGGAAGAATGGGCAATTGTTTTTTACATAGCTGCAACTCTCTACTTAATAGGAGCTATATTCTATGGTGTCTTTGCATCAGCAGAAAGACAGCACTGGGCATTAGACAAGGAAGAAACCAATATGAAAAAAGAAACCAATATGAAGAAAGAAACCAATTCCTATGTAAACGGAGCACTCATTCTTGATGAAACACAAACTGTTTAGAACATATTTTGTACCAACTGAAAATTAAAAATGTGCTGCATTATTTATGTAATATATTTAAAGAGTTTCTTTAGTTCATATAATTGGCACATTATAAATTATACTGTGTATAGTATTAGCTTTTAGCATTACCTAAGATACAAAATGTAATTAAAAAAGTATGCAGTATTTGTTTTCAAGGTAAAGCTAAAAAAAATATTTAAAAAAATAAGTATGCTTTAAAAAAGATTACCTTTTAGCTGTGATTCAATACCACATTTTGAAAATATTTAAGTTCATCATTTTAATGTAAATATGTGTTCATGTAATGTAGAAAGAAACATTTCTGGCTGTGAATAAATGTTACTTGATGAGGGATATTTTCTATTTAAATGCCTACTTTCTAATTATTTATTAAAATCTGAATTAATTAAAATTCATTGATTTTTATGAGTCCATTGTTGAACACCCTTCAGTAAGATAATTCCCATTGACGTTCTTACACAAAGGAGTTGAAAGTCATCAATTTTAGAGATTCAAAGAATATCGAGCATGTGCAGTAAGTCATTGCACTGGAATCTGTTTGAGTGAAGTGTAATGGGATTGAATTCTATGTATTTATTCCTAATAATATTTTTGTTCTTATGTGAGTTTCATTGGTTAAAAGTATAAGTAAAGAAAATGGTTTATATAGTAATGAAAGGAAAATTAATTTATTTTCAATATTGGTTTTTTTCTTATGATTTGAACAGATATATTTTTTATTATTAATTGTTTTGTAGTATTATTTTTCAAATAACAATAAATTTTAATAGATATTATGTAAAATATCTCTTTGTAATAGGGACTAAAAATTCTAAAAGCTTTTCTGAAATTCACTCTCAAGTCACACATGGCAGTTCATTCAAGTTAAAGTGTCCCATTAAAACTAATAACCATTATTTGGTCAAATGGTATAAAGATGGAAAAGAGCTTTGCAGGTAGCTAAACAGAAAAACAGATACAATTAATTATCAGCAATATAAGTATAAAATTTATTATGCAATACCCTTATTTTCAGATATTCGGGCAATAATAAATTAAACTTTACAAAAGTCTTACAGAAAAATAAGAACGTGCAGAAGGTAAGGGCTGTTGTTAATAATTGTTATACTCTGATATAAAATGTACTAAATTATAAATATTTTCTTTTATGCACGCAACCAATACATGTCATTTCTTTTTTAAATTATATTCATATAAACTAAGTCATTTATAATCAAAGAAATGACAATTTTTTAAAATATTAGACTAGTAGATCAATCCACTTGTATTTAATCCAATCTTCATTCTAATTTTAAAATACTATTTATTTTTTTTTTTTTGTCTAATAGTGGAACTATATTTTTGTCCTAATAGTACTACATTATATTACTTAGTAAATTGTGTTTCGTTTGGTTATGATATTCTATTATTATATCTGAGTCCAAAAAACATTTATTCATTGGAGGTAATAGAAAAAGATGTATGAGATCTTAACTTTATTTAATTTTTTCGTGGATGTAACATTATTTGATCCATTTAAAACTTAGGTGAAGCTCAGGCTTGTTGGGTTTTCCCATTCGTTCTACCGCGCAATCCATGGTGGATTTGTTTACTCTAACAATGATACTTCTTCATTAGACTTCTATCTTTTAAAGGTTATGTTCCATTTCTAAATCTGCCAACCTGTTCTTTTCTTACCATATTTTGAAAATCATCTTAAATTTTGCACCCAACAAGCGAAATTCTCACAAAATCATGTCTATTCTGGGTGTGTTAACATGCTATGGCATATTGTGTTTCAAGTAAGGTTGGAATTATTTTATAAATATTTAAAAACAACAAATCAGCATAAAATATTGATATGTACAACTCCGTTTTATGATATAAAAGGCTTACTTTAGCGTATGACTGTATTTAATGAAGACCTGATTATTTTTAATTCAATAAACTTTTCTTACCAGAATTATATATGTGAATCAACTAACATAGATTTGATGGAGTTTGATGTCACAAAAAGTGGATTATATACTTGTCATGTTATTGTGGAAGTTGAAAAGAGGCGGAAAATTATAAGAAGAAGTGTGTCAGTTTTAGGTAATAAATACTTAAATTTTTAAGTTTATGTATTCATTGATCATTTAAAAAATTATAATTTTTCTATTTCTGCTGCTATATTATAATTTTGCTTTCTCTTTTCGGGACCATTCTCAAAATAAATCGAACTTTACACATTTTATGAATAGTTGTGACCTTGTCTTGAAATGGTAAAATGCATTGTGGTAACTTTGCGTTACTACATTCTAGTTTAATTTTCCAAGTTAAAATTATTTTATCCACATGCATATCCAATGCAGTTTTCAGCACAAGGAGTTTGTTATGAATGTTACTTTGTTAAAATACACATACTAAACCTTTTAAATAAAATCAGAAAATTTTTTTTTTTAATATTCACAAAACTACATTATATTACAATGTAAGTTTTTCTTTTTCTTTAAAAATTAACAAAGCTGTCCAGTGGACTACAATAACAGATCATAATTAAAGAATAGCTTTTTATTAAAATAAACCTTAATTCAGAAGAATTTGATAACTTTCTAGAGAAAATTTAAATTATTTCGTAAATAGGCACAAGTATTTTTAAATTTAACCTCAAGCAAAAAAAAAAAACAATTTAACACGGAAATCAATTTATGTGGATGGAAGAAAGAAATATTATAAATATACCACCATATACCTTTATCCTTTGCATTTTTCCAATAATATCTCATCACCTTTATTACATGACTTTTCAATTATGTTCATCAAGCTAGTATTATGAAAATTTAAACAACTCTTTGGTTAAAGCAAAATCTATTATTTTCCATTTCTTAATATTTTAAGAGGATGACAAAGAAAAACATAATTTATATGCCGTTTAATTGTGGCTTCTAATCTTCCATAAAAAAAATAATTAACTAATATATATATATATATATATATATATATATATATATATATATATATATATATATATATATATATATATATATATATATATATATATTAATGTAATTCATATTTCATAGAAAATGCACAATTCTTAATCATATTTAAAATTGTCTAATAATAAAAGCACTCGGCATGCTTTTGATGAAACTTCATGATTTTACAAAATTTAATATACTTCCTATTTTTGAAAATTTGGGATGGAATGGTAAAATAATAAACCATAGTTTGTAGCTGGTAAGACCTGTATTCTTTAACATAAAATATTCAAACCTAGGTATGAAAGCAATAACCAAATGTTTTAATCAGTTTACCCAACAACTGGACCTGTCATAAGTGGTATCAAATCATCTTATGAGGAAGGCGAGATCATACAAGCTATCTGTACAGCTTCACCATCTAATCCACCACCTTCTCTTGTGTGGTACATCAATGGAGTTGTTGTAAGTTTACTTCTTTATTGTTTTGCTTTTTATCCAACAAAAAGGCCACTTTGGCTATTGATTTTCACATAGATCAATATAACCTTTCATTTTATTGAATTTTATGGCATAATGTTGCCATTTTTTTTTTTAAAGTTATCTCAAATAGAAGTTTTCTTCTAATGCAGGGCAGATAAAAAAAATTTTTGTCATCCATATCTCCATTTGTCTAAAGCATGCATTTAGTGTCATTTACTACATGGTGTGGACTGTGTGGTGGCAGTGCTAGGCTAGTCCTTTCATTGTGAGCCTGAACCAGTTGAACATTGTATTTTCACAGTACTGTTCATAATCATTCCATGGAAAATTACTTAGTCTTTTAACTTTTCTAAAGCATGGTTTAGACAAAGATCTTCAGTTTCAATGTTGTTTCTTGGTGCCCAGACAATCAAATAATTTGGAAAAAAAAGATAATTTATTCCTGATATGGTTTCACCATAGGCGCAGACTTTAGAGGGCCAAAATAATGTAGTGGGGGCAAGAATATCGCCTCCCCCTCCAATATTTCTAAGAACGAAAATCAATGATAATTAATCTACATGAAAGAATGAAATATGTATACTGGAATCAACTTATACTAGGATTTTATGATTTATTCATGTGCACTCTTCCATTTTTACTGAACATTTTATTACATTTCGGGTGGAAAATTTAAAGCATCAGATAATAGAGAGTTCAACTCACTGCCTCAAAACTTTAAATGAAAATAACAATATGTAATATATTCAATAGCTTTGTTAAGATATTTTGAAATACACTCTTATTAAAAAAATATTTTTTTTTTTACAATAATTATGTTTATTGTGTTACTTATCACTCATAATTTTTATAAATCATATAAGTTCCCATGAATTTTTTTTTGTGGGGGTTAAGGGAAGAATCCATCGTCTCCCCAACCAGAATGGAAAGTCTAGTGTACTAGTCTAGTCGCTTATGGTTTCCAGTGTTCCTATTAAACCGTATATCACAATGTGGAACTGAAGAGACCTAGACTTAGACGTAGACAAAACAGAACTGGGAACTGACCCCTGTGATCTTCCGGAGATTGGTTTAAATGAGACCTAATGTTTTGTATAAAATACTGCCCCGGAAAGGAAACAATACTCTTATATAAATATTCACCAATTTTCATAACAAACGCAAGGATTAAGTAACTTAGGTCCAAATGTGGTAAAAAGTAAAGCCGTTTTTAAAACAACAAAGACAGCAAGAGTAGTTTGTTTCTCCTGGAAATCATCCTTTATTTCCTGTGTAAAACGTGCCATGTGTTCTATAGTTTCTTTCAGTGGTCCAAACCTACTGCTCTACATGCTTATCGGATTTCAAATATTAATTAAATATTTATTTTCCTACAATTAAAATTGAAGAAATCATATTACAGGCATTTGAGAGCCACTAATTCTAATTCTGAATTCCAAGTAGGTATAAAAAGGTAAAATAAAATTACTTCATAAACCACTACAGTCTAGTACAGAGGAGCCTAGTATGTAATGGCTCACTTTCAATGATACTCCAACACACCCTTAATTGTTCAAAAGTTGGACAAGGTGAAGTTATAATCTAAGTTTAGATTTAAATAGGTAGAAAATATTAATATGTTAAAAGAATTTTTAAAAAACCGAGGAGCTATATAAAACAAAAAAATATATATAAATTTATGATTCTAATTTTTATAAATTTTTGTTAGGCCTATGGTTGGAGCATGGTCAGCTATCCTTGTAAGATGACCAAGGATGGACTGTGTATCCTCAGGTTAGGTTTGAGGATCTCTGCTACAAGAAATTTGTTTCCAAACGGGATAGCAAGTTTTGTTTGCGAAGGTGGAATTTTAGCATTACCTCCAAAGAGGGCCTTTATGACAAGTGTTCTCAAGGGAGCAAATAATACAGGTATCTAACTCTTCTTAACCATTACCTAATTCATTAACTTGAAGGTCTTATTATTGGTAAAGGTGTCAAATATTGATTTAATTTTCCTCTCAAATATCTCAGGGCAGGTGTGGGCTAGCAGGGGTTCATGAAAAAAATTGTTAGCTAAGAAAACTAAGTGCTGCTTAGTAACAACCATGTCCTAGGTTTTTTTTTAATATGTGGCCGTTACAAAACTCTTCCATAAATTAGACTTGTATTTTTCTGAGACAATCAAATTTTTCTAAAAATCTACATATATAACTATTTAACAAGTATTTATATAACTACATTATTATTAGCATGATCGCGCGAGTACACTCGCTTTAGGAAACGTTCATTTCAAGTGAACCAGAAAAAAAGTAATTTATTGTTTTACCATTGTTTAATAAACTATTTTTTGTTTATGCATTTATAAGTCATTGGAGTGTCTGAAAAGAAATAGGTTTGAGTAATTATAAAGTAATCAGTTTGATATATAAATTATCTTGACTAACTGCAGTGTGGTTTCATGAAGCTTAAAGGCTTCCACACTAAGTGTGAATGTGATCTCTGAGCACTATTATAAATGTCCTTGAGACAGATTGTAATATTTTTCCATAAATAAGTGTTAAAAAAAAAAAAAAAAAAAAAAGACTCCCACACTTAACGATTCATCATCTATCGCAAAAAGAATTTTTCAAATCGGGGAAGTAGTGCTAAAATTAGAGCGTTAGAGAAAAAAAAATAATATTTTTGCTTTGTATATTAGTGAAGATTGCACAAATTGTCATAAACAGAATTCACATTGCAAAAAAAAATATATTGCACTTTACATAACTTACATGAGCTATATGAAGCTTTCATATAACTTAAAGATTACTTTATATAACTTTCAATGCGTGTCACTAACATTTAATTTATTTTTGCAGGTAACATTCATTTATTTTATGGAGGTGCTTTGGGTGCAATGATATGGCAAAAATTGTTATTTTTATAAAAACTTTGAATTATTAATATCGATTTTAAAATAAAATACTTTTGATAAGATGGATTTGCTTTATTTTAAAATTTTCTCTATAAGTCAATGAAGAACAGAGTAATTACGGCTGTAATGGCCATTAGGAAACTTCTTGAGGCTCCAAGGGATTGACTGGTGTTAGAGTCATCCTCGATTTGGATACTCATTCGCGTACTGCTTTCTCCAAGAACCTCTCGAACCCATACCAGATCCGTGTAGATGGTACAATAATATATTGGGCGGGTATAGATGTACTCTGTTATGTTGTAGTAGCAAAGCGGGGATCGCAACCAAGACATGAGGCCGACGACTTTATCATCGCATACCAATGGGCCACCGGAATCGCTCTGAATATTAAAAAAGTAAATAAATAAATTAAATTTTATAAAAGTAATATATACATATGCTAGTAAATTAAAGATCATAGGATTGAATCCCGGCCTACTTCCCACTACGGCTGGTTACCTCGGGAAGTAAGACAAATACTCCTTTATTAAGGGAGACCTACAAGTTGAAACATACTCGTACGAACATGGTAGCAAAAAAAAAAATGAATAAATAAATAAAAAAGTAAATAAAATAAAATATACATATATAAAATGTAATAAGCTATTATTATTTTATTGAATTTTGGCCAATGGTAACCATAAAATAAATCATTTTTTTTACATTCCTGTCATTGTCAAAGTTTCGACTTCATGAGCCATTTTGAAGTATTAGCTGTCATGCACCATTTAAAAAAAAAAAAAAAAAGACGGTACCACTACAATCCATGAAGGATCTGGGGGCTCAGTACTATTTAGGGAAAGTACTGTTTCTAGGTCAACGGTTGTGCAAGGAGGTGATTTGACGGAGATCACGATAAATAAATTTTCTGTACGAGCCGGGGTTCGAACCTGGGACCTTTAGCATTGGAAGCTCAGTACCCTACCACTACACACTACACAGAATTTAATATCATTTTTATACAAATTGGTTCTTGTAATCCATTCTGTATTGCAGATAATTTCGTTGAGATAGATAGCGGTTGATGAAAGACCTGATATCCGATTTTTAAGACTAAGTAGAAAAAGAGACAAGTGTAATCGGACATCAGGTCTACCACCAACTTGCAATCGCCACGAAATTTCTGAAATACAGAATGGATCACAAAGACGAATTTTATATTAAAATACAATACTTTTACTTCAAAATGGCACAAGAAAACGAAATATCAACAATAAAAGGAATGTAATAAAAAAGGTGTCAATATTTTTTTTAATCCTTAGCCAAAAATCAATAAAATAATAACATTAAAATATTATTTAATCTTTATATATCTTTTTTCTTTTTCTCTTCTTACTTGGTTATATTTATTTATTTTCCTTTCTTATGTACATATTGTGTGAATGAATCAATGAATCTAGTATCAATTCCCTTCACTGTGGCAGACTGCATTAATAGTCAATAAAATATTTTTTTTTTTTTTAAATGGCACCAAACAGTAAGGATAATAAGGAATCATCCATACAAATAAAAATAAAGTAAGGAATCATCCTGCAATTCAGGCAGGGCATTTTATAGGTGATGTCTTTACAACATAAATGGGTTTATGTTTTGCATTACAACTTACTTGACAAACAGGAATCGCATTGTTTTTTTCATCGTAGGAGCAGAAGCCAGGATCTTCGTCGTCATCCCTGACTTCACCCTGCTGCGTTTTTGCAATAAAACGGCATTTCGAGGGATTGAAAAGTTGGACGCTTATTTCAGAAATTGTTGTTTTCAAGTGTGGCTGTAAATTATGCGAAATTATGAATGCATCTTCAGAGAAAAAAATAATGCTTTAAAAATATAACGTATACCAACGAGTGGTTTGATAGTCTTCCCTCTTCCCCAGCCAACCAGTTTACAATTTCTTGATGGATTCTTCTCGAATAAAAAGGTTTCGAGAACAGGAGCTTTTTGGACATTATTTTGCTCAATGTATGGCATGTCTGTCTAAAAAAAAATGTAAAAAATAAATGTTAATTATTAATAAACAATTTCCTATCTACATCTTTTAAATTTATTATAGCTGTAAATAAAAGGTAAAAATGAAAAGTTAATTTTGAATTTTAGTAAAAGAACGATTAATACACAACTTAGCACCGATTTTTTTTATACAACTAGGATTCTCGTGCTATTTGGTGGTGTTTTGGAATCTTGAATGGGGGAATGTTGGTATAAGGGTGAATGGTAAATGGTTGAGCAATTTACGTTTTGCCGATGACATCGTGCTCTTTGCCAAAAACAGTCAACAATTGAAGGAAATGATTATACAACTTTTAAGGTTGTGCGAACAAGTCGGTTTATATCCAAACTATAATAAAACCAAAATAATGTCAAATAGGGAGCCAAAAGAAATAAAAATAAATAAATACACCTTAGAATATGTAGACGAATATGTGTATCTAGGCCAGCTGGTGTCCTTCTCGGATAGAGCAACAAAAGAAGTACAGAGAAGAATCGCAATGGGATGGAACAAGTTTTGGTCACTGAGGCACATAATGAAAGGAGATTTAGATGTGGATCTTAAAAGACAGATCTTCGATAGCTGTATCCTCCCAGTAGTGACATATGGTTCTCAAACTTGGTCGTTAACTAAGGCCCACGAGAGAAAAATCCAAGTGTGGCAGAACAGCATTGAGAGGAGTATTATGAAGGTAAAGAAAAGAGACAAAATAAGATGCACTAAACTAAGGAAAGAAACAGGCCTCAAAGATACAATTTTACAGTTGAGGAAAATTAAATGGAAATGGGCTGGTCACCTCTTACGTAGCAATGATGTTAGGTGGTCGAAAATAACAACCGAGTGGACGCCATATGATCTAAAAAGGAAGAGAGGCCGACCAGTGAAGAGATGGTGCGATGTATTCAGGCTGACGATGGGACCCCTCTGGTGGAGAGACGCTAAAGACAGGGTTATATGGAAAAAGAAGTGGACAGAGCTCACGGACCCCGCTTCTCAACAGGGCTAGTCACCCAGAGAAGTGCTGACTACTACTCCCTCACGGGAAGGCCTGTGCAGGAAGAAAGACAGAAGAAGAAGTGTATAATAGTGTATGTGTGTATGTGTGTGTGCGGATCCACGTAGATATGCATGCTATTTTATATTAGTACTTATAAAAAAAAAAAAATAAAAAACCATTTGTACATATGTAACTACTTATTTTGCATAATAAAGGCTATTTCATTTCATTTCAGTAAAAGAACGATTAATACACAACTTAGCACCGACTTTTTTTATACAACTAGGATTCTCGTGCTATTAACAGGCACGGATAGGGAGGGGAGCAGCCAGACCTATAGCTCCGTGGCCTGATCGAAGAAGGCCAGGTCTGGAAGTCAAAGTTTAATCTTTCACTTTTAATTTTTTAATGGTTATACAAATACATTAATTACTTATAGTCCGTGGTGCAGACTCCTTTTTATCAAATTATTAACATTCGCCTGAAACTTCGTGAATAACTTCATTTCATTTCACTACAACTATTTTAATAACGAAAATTCTCGAAATTGGACGTTTTAAATCTGGAGATCGCCAAAATTTGTCTATATAATTACACACTATAAAGACGTAAATACCCATTTGCTTTCCACTTGCATCGTAAGATTTGATCACAAATTCGAGATAAAAGGTGCCCTACAAAAATATTGGGCCGTTTGGCATATATAACCTCGTTATTTTGACATATGGGGGGTGTAGCCACTAGCGGATCCAGGATTTAATTTTGGGGAGGGCTTCAGCCCGAAGGATTTTTTTTTCATATATATAACTGATAATTAATTTGAAAAATAAAAAGAAAGAAACTAACTACCCATATGACAACCTAACCACATGGCCATAACGTCTTAGTTATTCTTGAAGTCCTATTAAATGTAATCACACGAACAATAATAATTTAAAAGATAGTTTTTAATATTTTTTTCTATAAAACATGGTTATATTTTACCATTTTGGGGGAGGCTTCAGCCCGAAAGCCTCCCCTCCTCCCCCCGTAAATCCGCCTGTGGGTGTAGGTCACTACAAACGGCCCAAGATTTTTAAAGGAATGGAAGGAAGGAAATGGGTATTTATTAACTAATTAAATAGACAAAGTTTGGCGATCTACAGATGGAAAAAGCCCCACTTTCGAGAATTTTCGTAAATAAAATAGTTGTAGGTTACGATGAGATGAAGCTATTCACAAAGTTTCAGGCGGATGTTAATAATTTGATGAAAAAGGGTCTGTTACCACAGGCTATTATTAAAATATTATACATCTTATATATTATTGAGTTAATATCTTTAGATAATCTTTTTATTGCATACATTATATAGGATGAGATTGGGTTTCAGTGATGAATTGAACATTTGAAAGGTGGCCAGAAAAAAATCTTCTAAACTAAATAATGGAATGTCAACACCCTAATAATTTAAAGATTTTTATGGAACTCGTACGTTCAATTCACACTCAAAGAACGTTGCCTATATCTCTTGACCAAAACCAATCAAAGCTCGACATTATTCCGATTATTCATCATTCGTAAATAGATAAATACAAAAACGATTACACAGACAATTTCATTTTTCTAAGTGTACTACATTCCTAGAGGTATAATTATATAAAACTAGTAGGCCCGTGCGAAAAATTCGCACAGCATATTGTTATCAAATGCCAAATTAATAAGAAAAGAAAATAATGCAATGTATCAAAAGATAAAGAAATCAATTGTTACTTTATCCATAAATATAATCCACAAAGGAAACAAAATTAATTTAAATCTTCATTTTTGTTTGGAACCAACATATTTACAAATTTCAATAAGCTGTATCTTTGCGAAAAATTGTCCGATTTCAATGATTTTTTTTTCCTTTTGTAGAAAATTAGTAACGTTTTATACAATCATGGGAATGACCAAGGGAAAAGTGTGTAATTTTTTATTTATTCGCAAATAAAGTTTTTTTTTTCATAACTTGTTTGCCTGAATTTTCGGGGTGATTGGAATATTTTTTCCGCCTGAAGGAGAAGGAAGCCTTCGAAATTGGTGGCTCAATCTTGAGATTTGGTGAACAATTAACGATGATATGGCTTACCGATCAAAAACATCATCGATAAATAATATAAACTCCTCCTGTCTCGATCATAGAGACCTCAAGTCGACGAAATGAGACATGTATCCAATGACAGTACTACAATTAACGTCAGGTTGTGTGGATGCGAACCCCATGCCTTGCGTTATCTCGAAAATGGTACGTTTTGGGGCTTAAAAACGCAGGATCCGATAGTTCCGGAGGAACTATCGGGTCTTGCTGTACGCATCAAAATCTTCAAGGTCCAATTTGTCCCGCATCGATCTACAGACCTACACCGTTCCAGTATTGAAGCCTAGCAAAATGTTTGTATCGACTTTATTTATTTTAGAAAGAAAAACAAAAGCGGAGAATACGATTCGCTAACCCCCCGTGAAATTCTGAATCCAACGGTACCCCATTCATGGTATTTGAGCATGACAGGAGCTTATATTTGGTACAAAACCGATTTCGAGCCTTACTGTAATAATATATGTACGGATAAATCTACTGAAAGAAAAATAATCATATTGTATGCTAATGCCGATAAAAGAAAATCTTTTCTTTAATGGTACAAATATGGCCATATCGATAACTACAAAAACCTTTAACAACGCCAATTCGTGAGCTGGACTTCCTTTCTTCTTCTTAGATAATTTAAAATCCGGATGGATCACGATCCGCTCTCCAGTTCGGACCTGCCCCTCAGCCCTGAAACAGTCACTGAAAGGTCATTTTAACTAGGCTTAGTATTGCTACATTAGAAAAAATATAATTACTTATGATACAATGTAAGCTTTTCCGGATTACATCAGTTGCATTTCTGTCGCTGTTCAACTCATTTATGTTAATGAAGAAGAAGAAAATTAAATTTTATTCTGGGACATTTAGTCCCCTAAGTATAATTATAATGAACAAAAAGGTGATATTTGTCTGACATTAGAAGAAGATCAAAACATAATTAGTTAACATAATAATCTAACCTTAAAATTAAAATAAACAAAGTTCAAATTTATTTTTATTATTAGGAGTTTCCACAAGTAGTAGTTTTCCTTAAACTAGAGTGCTTGGATGGCTTCTTTTCATAATGTCCTATTTTAAGTCCATTCTTCCGTAGACCATGACACATCATGGATTCCTCCAATTCCTTATCCCAGGTCTTCCTTGGCCTTCCTCGTCTTCTTCTTTCCTGGTTTTCCATAAGTGGACTTCTTTGGGTAGTCTTCCTTCAGGCATTATTTTCAAATATCCATACCACTTCAGGCGTTTTTCCCAACTCTTCACGATTATTGCAAATTATTGTTTTATATCTCTGACCCTAAAGTAATTCAAATACCTAATTTGTATTGTCAATGGGAGATTACGGACGTGGGATCACTGATTTCAATGAAAAATTTTTGGGTGATCTTAGGTCGAAAAATATTAACCTCGCATCCAACGGTTCATGTTAATGCGCCCTAGGAGCCAAGAAAAAAAATAATATCCAAAACATTAATTCAAACCTGGGGTGTCCATCCCCTATAGAAAAATAAAATAAATAAATCCCCTCCCATTAAATTTCAAGTCCGCTACTACTGAATGTATCATGTAATACCAAAAAACATTTACTTTAGTAAAAATAAAATAAAAACGAGAAAAAACTTTAGAGCCGGCGATTAAAGACTGAATTATCAGGTCAAATTACGGATTGTAAACAAAAGAAAATGGAGGGAGAGCTTCTACAAAAGATTGCAATCTGTTTTTTCACATAACTACAATTTGCAAGGTTCTAAAGTTTGTTTTTCCAACAAATATTCATATATTTCATATAAGCTCATGCTTTTCAGTAGACAGAATGATTAACTCCAATTTCAAAATTTTCGAGTTAAGTCATTTTAGTTATATTTCTGGTGAAAAATTTATAATATTTGTACAGACAGAGAGTAAGAAGATTCCATAGTATGTGATTGCAGTGTTGAGATATAGAACTGTGAATAAAGGTATACATTTTCTTACTAGAAATATCACTAAAATTAATAATCAAAAATGTTGAAATTGGTGTTAGTCTTTCTGTCAACTGAAAGGCTCATATGTACTTTAAAGGATTTTATTCTCAATATTCCTCTCTTCTACTTCGGTGCATAATATATAGTTTCCAATTTATTGATTTTAAGCCAACTTACACCAATGTTTTAACTACAAAATCTTACTACGACGAGCCATTTTCAAGTCTGTCATGTACTTGTCCATTATACTTCTTATGTGAAATACATGTGTCTTCTTATAATAACAACTATCACGATCGTCATGTCTATTTTAACTTATATGTGTTAACCAACATGTTGTCAGTTTCATTGCTATTGAGTAGTAAGATTTTGTTGTGAAAATATAGATGGTTTTTAATAAATTCAATTTATTTATATGATTTAAAAAATAAAAATCTGGTGCGCGTAACACACAACTTTCACTTACTGATCTACTTTGAATAGAAATTATTTTCTGGCAATGCTGGGCTATTATAAAATTTTTTGAAGTGAATTTTAAAAGGGAGCTAACGCTTAAAGCTTGCAGATAACAAGCCATTAAGACCATTATAATTACGGGCACTCAGAGAAGGTTCTTAGGTCTCAACAATTAAAAAAATATATTTCAAATTTATCCAAATTTTCCCCTCTTCAGGGAAAAAAACTAGAGACCATATCTTTCCTCCTAATTGTCCGATTTTAACGATTTTTTTGTTTTGTTTTTTTTAGGAAATACCATCAACTTTTAAAAAACCATATCAACAAAAAAGCGTACACTTTTTTAGTTATTCGGAATTTAATTTTAACACCCCTCGTAACTTTTTTTCCAGCTTCTTTTCGTTGAAGTATGTTATATAGATAAATTTAAAGGGTATCGAGAAAATGACTTCAGCGAAGTTTCATTGAAATCGGTACATTCGTTTAGGCGCTACAGTCTGTAGGAACGCAGGTTTTTCTGCATTTTTTTTTTTTCTCCTCTATTAACTTATCAAATTCTTTCAAAAGTTATATGTACCATTTTTTCGCAGCTCTGAATAATGCGAAATGGTTAACTTTTTAAAATAAACCATATTAAAGATACTTTAGAGGAAGACATATACGAACATTGGGCATTTAAGCCCTGTAAAGTGACATCAACGGGGATAAGACCTAAATGATATTAAAGACCACTTAATTATACAATGATACACCGAGTTTGATCAAAATCGTTAGAGTCTTTTTTGAGAAAATTGTAAAAATGTGTTTCAGCGTTTATATAAAGTGGCACTTCCGGTTAGCCGATTTTAACGAAAAAGTTGCTGTCACATCCGGCCCATATACAAACCTTAAATACTTAATATCAGTTTCGTACTACTTTTCGTTTATGAGTTAGACTGTTAACACACACAAACACACACACACAGACTATTTTGCGACACTTGGTTATTTGAACTCAGGGGACCTCAAAACACGTATTTCCGTTGAAAACTGAGATTCGAAAATTTTCACGATCGCAATACTTACCCTTACTATAGATTACATATATACATAAGTGAAAGTAAAAATAGATGTAGGGTACAAACTAATTTATATATAGTTTTTAATTAATATGAATTTCTGTAAACGTTTTTTTAATATCGGATATGGTAAAAAATAAGACATTCTAGAGGTTATGAATAACTTGAATATCGGAAATTGGTTGGATAAGCGGGGTTCTATAGTACCAGACAAATGCCTACAGACCTGGGCAGATTTAGTGTGAGAGGAGATGGGGGGGGCCTACGAGCTGAAATCTTAAATGTAAAAATAATACTTTTTTCAATGGTCTATATTTGTTTCTGTGTGCGATTTAAACTAAATACTTGAACAATCAAAATATGTGCATTCTTTTTTAATTTTAGTGCGTATACAGCCACTAAATATAAGCACGTATCAAGAAAAAATATAAGAAAATTATCTATAAAAGCATTAATGTTCCTGTAATTACTGTTGTTTTTTGTTACCTTCAAGATAGTTTTTTCTCTTTCACAGTAATTGTTGTTATTAGAGAACAAATAAATAATAATAAAAAATCTCACCCGTCCCAAAATTTGATCCTGTATCCGCTACTGTCCTTAAATAAGAGTTGGCTCATTTCAATGAGTTAGTGGTTCTGATTTGATCATTGGAAAGAGCGATTTGCCTATCTCTAACAATAGTTTTGGAGAAAGACGTTTTATTACACAAAGAAATTATTTAAATAAGTGATATTTTATTACAATTAATAATAACGCATTTTAATACAAGTAACAAAATATGTATATATTGAATTAGGAGTAAATATTAATTCTCACCTTAGAGAAGTAGCGCCGGCTATTATTTTGAACGTTTTAGGTTCTAAATGTATTACGGACTTCTTCATCTGCTCTTCGGTAAGTGGAGCTTCTGTTGTGCTCGTGGGAAGTGCATCGTTGAACGGTAGCGATCCATTTTGATGAGTTCGTTTTCTACTTCGCTTGTAGTTATCATATTTTCTCTCTAACCTGCTTTTAATAATCATTAATTGATGAGGTGATAGGAAATTATTTCATGTATTATTAGAATGACATGATTAAAGTGTGACATGATAACAGTTCCTTGAGGTGCCGTTTTTACAATTTGGCGAATTATATGGTAAACTATTATTGTAACATTGATAATATATTCATTATAAGTATAAAAAACTCTTATCTACAAAAAGAAAAAAACAAAAAACTTATAGAAAATATGATTTGAAATCTGCTGATCTTAATGTTTTTTTGGTGTGCTGAAACCGGAAAATAGACTACATTTTTTATCAGATTGAGTTGAATCTCGAAATCTCGTGTAGGAATAAAAATAAAAATGATGAAGAATTAATAGATAGTTTTTATTCATTACATAAGTATATTGTTATAAATATTTTACTTAAACCTGTACAGTTATGTTCACCAGAGTTATAAGCGATATTTATTTAACTTTTATGTATATATTTTTTTATTTTATAAATATTAATAGGTGTAGTACATTTCTTAATTGAAAAGTGATATTCTCTGTAAAATTAATTTTATTTATTTTTTAACATACCTGGTAAGTTTAAATACTAAAATTAAACTAAAATAATAACAATAATTAAAGAAAAATGTACAGCATGCTTTAAATATTATTATGTAATTACCATCAAGCCTGTTTATTATACTATATTTTATCCAACAGAATACTGTAATATTCCAAATATAGATAATTTTTTAAATACCTACCTTGAATTGCGGTATTTCGATTGCTGTGACGGATGTTGGACCCGCAACTGAGAATTGTTACGGAAGCCTGCTGTAAAAAGTAAAGTAGAATTATGAAGTTATAAGATAAATAATAAAATACATCGAAATTATAAACTGTTTAAACTTTAGTTGACATATAAAATAATTTTGGAAATGGCTAAAAGGGATACACAATGGAAAGGTCGAAGTTGCTACAGTGTTGACATCCATAATTCTGAAGGTGCGCTTAGACATTTCACAAACTATGAGAAACACAATCATCTAACTTAACCAATAGCTTATTGATAAACCAAACTATTTATTATATTTCTCTTGATACTGACAGCTGCTGGAAAATGTCAAAAACAAGACACAAAAATACTAGAATAGTGAAATAACAATTTATATATTTGTTTGTCCCATAGTTTGTGAAATGCCTAAACGCACATTTAAGGAATATTCGTCATGTCATTATTTTATTTGTTCTTATGAGATTCATAGTGGTCCAATTTTAATTGATGATTAATTTGTTACTATTAAAAATATTTTAATATTTTATTTATGACAACAAACTTAACAAAAGTTAAGTTATTTATATACAATCAATATGTTGCAGTGTATCCATTACAAAATCAATACAAATACGGGGGAAAAGTGATGCGGAGAGCGATGTAAAATATACGTGCATGGTCTCAACCCCGTTTCAATAAGTGGCAGTCATTTGAACCCTTAAAACAATATAAATAAGCTAAAAAATGAAAAAGAAAAAAAGAAGACAAAGTAATTGGAAAACAAAAGAATATATTAATTTAATTATGAATCGAGAGATTACAACGTACAATTAACCTAAACTATATAAAATTATAATGACATATAAACTTCACAAAAATTATAATCATATGTATATATGTAAATAGTAAAGAAATTTTCCTCAGAAAAAAAATTAATAATATTAATAAAGAAAAAAAGGGGGAAAAAACTTCGAAATTAATTATTTGAGAAAAAAACAACAAATTAAATTTATATTGATATAAAATTGGGAATTAATAGATATAATGTAAAGTAGAAATTAATTATAATGAAACAATGTCAATTATCTGCTTTCCAAAAAAAAAATGAGGAGGTGATTCTCGCTGGGAAATTTATGGTGAAGCGTATAAACTATGGCGATGTACTATTATAAAAGGTTTGATTCCACAATAAGGAAAAAATTATTAGGCCTGATTTTACCGGTTTTACTGTTGGAGTCACTAATGGATCGAGTACTTAGTTTTGGGGGAGGAGCCAGTATGATTTTATATATATATTAGGATAATTACTTCGGAAGAAAGAAAGAAACTAACTACCTATATGAAATATTGTTTAAGTGATTCTTTAAGTTTTATTCAATGTAATTAGACTAACGATAATAATTTTAGAGGTAATTTTTTTCATAAAACATGATTATATTTTACCATTTAGGGGAGGAAGGGGCTTTAGCGAGAAACTTAACTATCATTGACATAGAACATTGATATCTGTAAAAATGTTTTTAAAATATTTTGTTAACCTCAAAACTAACGAGTGAACTGCCATTAAAAAATATATAATACAAAAAGAAAATAACATTTGAAATCAATACAAAACGTTTTATTATATTAGATGGAAATTATTCGTCTGAATTTTAAACGCGGGTATTTCACATGACAGATTAAATAAAATATACAACCATAAATATTCGCAGTTTGTGTAACTAATATTTTATTATTGTAAGTTATTTTTATTCTCATTTATCTATATATGTAATACATAGGCATTACAACTATCATTTGTGAAAAATATGGAACCAACCCTGAGAAAAATCAATGTTTATACTATTCTGCTCATATAATCTTACTGCCATTTTGAACTCAAATTAGACTGAATAATGGTATGTACGTTGAAAAGTAACATTGAGTATATTATTATTTTTTAAATTATTGATCAAGAACTGTTTTAACGACCTAGCCTATACCCCTATTATCTATTTTACCTATAATAAACGAGATAATATTTTAGATAACTTGCGCTAATCTTCTTGAAATCGATTTGCTCTTTTTCTTGGACCAGGCTTCAATGTCAGGTGGTATTGCGCTGAAAAAAATAAGCAATGAAGCATTTACTTAATGTTAAGAATTTTAAGATATTTTTTTATAATTGCTATATAATAGAAGATTATTCTCCTTCCTATTCCTATTTCCCTTTTTTATTTAATATACAACAAATATATCATAATCAACGTTTCTATATTACGCGTTTCTATATCCACTATCAGGATCTCACTATCTCAGTAAATTACAGCAGGGCTTGGAATAAAATTTTAACTTATTTTTAGTGGGTTTCAGTGCAGTCACACCAATTTTTAATTAAAATTTGTTTTTCTGTTTTTTTCGGAACTTTTTTTCCCTGTCATCTTTTTAAGTAAAGGTTTAACAGAACTTATTTTTAAAAAATTTCTATTCAACCATCGTCCTTCTTACGCCTACAACCTTCTCCAGTTCAAATCCTCTGTCCATTCCCTGTCCACAAGATCTCGACCTTCTAACTTTTATATGCCTTCTCACAGATCCGCTTTATTCCAAAATTCCTTTATTGTCCGCTCTGTCAATTTCTGAAACTCCCTCCCTATCAAAATTCGACATTCCCCATCCATATCCACATTCAAAACCCTTCTATTCCAATTCCTATCCCAAACAGTCAGATAGTTGATAACCATTCGAGCTGATTTTAATAGAGAATTTGATATATTTTTATTTTTTAATTCTTTATTATTTTCTTAAGAGTGTATACTGGTCTATTAGTGCAAATAGCTTTTAGTGTCTTGTCATAGTATTAATTGTTTTGTATACAGTTTCGTTTGTTTTGTATATAGAATGTTTACCTTATATTTTCTTTACATTATTTCTTTTTTTCGATTGATTTTATTTTGGCCAGATGTGATCTTTTTATTTTGTTCTATTTTGTTATTCTCAAGGGACTGTGTCCCAGAATAAAATTATTTTTCTATTCTATTCTATTCTGTTTAAAAGTTCTGTTGATTTCATCAACAAGTTTACGTTTCGGAATATTTACTCCCATCTTCAGAAATACAATCTCAATGATCTTGTGGCTAGAAGGTTTAAAATTAATGCGCTCCATCGTCAGTTTCTAATTCATGTTATAATAATCTAGGTATATAACATCTAGAGCAACATCTTGCTTTTAGACTAATTATTGGGTGTCTGCAGAGATTGTGGTTATGAAGATGGGAGCAAATATCCTGAAACGTAAACTTGTAAACATGCAATTTTGATAATACAACAAATATATTCAATTGCTGCTAATTGTAAGTAATCATTGCCAAATAACTAAGAATATCATACAACTTCCCAGAAAAAAGAATAAATATATATGTATATAGAATCTTTAAATATATATTATTTGTCAAAGGTGATTTCTTGTTCCTATATCATATTTTTGAAGATCTTCTTTTCCTTCAGTTGGGAAAAATAGTCACATTCTCTCGAAATTTCAGGAAAAAAGTTATGAAGGAAAATAAACTCAAAAGTATACATTTTTTTGTATGTATTGATTACTTGAAAGATTGTCAAATTCCCTACAAATCTCCACTATTAGCTGAGATACAGGTTATTATAATTTGTAAACAATTCGGTTTAGAACATGAATGAAGATTTATATTAATTTCCTTTCCCTTGGTGGATTAAAATTACCGAAAAAAAATAGAAAATGATTCCTGCGTCTTATTGTACGTTTCCTTATTATTTTGTCATTCATTCCCTGACCAATGTTCTTTGCAAATTATTCTTAGAGGCCAACTAATATGCATATATTAACTAAGCTGGGATTAACTGTTTAAGCAGAAACGATAATTGGATTTGTGTATTCCGTAGGAACGCCTTACCCTTTGGAATCCTGTGTTCTTTTGTAATGTTCCGGTGTCAACATAAAACAGTAAGGAACTGATAAAACCCATGAAAATGTTACTAATATCCCAGTGCAAATAACCTTCCTGGATTTCGCAAAGCGTATTGAAACCTAAACAAATTGTGCTTATTAGAAGAAAAAGAAGATTTCTAAATATACATTAAAACTGAATATTAAAACTATATCTAATTTTATAAGTCAGAAATATCCCATTTCTGACCATCAGTCTAATGCTAAGAGTCCTACAAATAAGTAGACTGTGTGGTAGTGATGTATTTCTGGTGCGTAACTTTTGAGTTGAATAATCTGTTCTTTCCAATTTTTTTTTTTTCAGTACATTTTTAAAAACGTGTTGAACTTTACATTTAAATGGAGAAAAAAATTATATTCCGTAAACCTTCGGGGACTCGCACGCTAACACCCACAGTTCACATGACTGTGACTATTTCTAGTGACATACAGCTGTGCCACATGGACCATGACAGCTGCAATGGAGCGACTTATGAATTGCTTGGAGCGTGAGATCTTATGATAAAAATCTTTTGTCCCATTTGCAAGACCGACGTTAGGAAAATCCGAGAGCATGTCGAGGAGAGATAGGTTTCGGAAGCCTGATCTTTGAAATGCAAAAATAATTTTATCTGTGACTACAGTCCTCTAAGAATTATAACAGAGTTAAAAATTTATGGCTCTTAGTCTGGCTTAGAATTATAAAAAATGCACAATAATTAAGTGCTGATTGTTATTGTAACGGAGCAGTAGATTGAAATTAAACAGTATACAGATACAAGTAATTTTACATGTTTGAATGTGGAGTAAGTAGTGGAACAGGAGTTGTTTGAAGGAATTAGTGGACGAGGATTGATGTATGTTGGTAGGAAGAGAGTTCCAAAAGGAGGTAGCACCAATGACAAAGAACTTGCAGAAGGAAGTAGTTCTTGTGGCATTCACTAAACGAGTTCAGCTCAGTTAGTCGGGCTTGTTGAGAAAATGTTCTCAGAAAGACAGATGATACCTGAAGGATCATGAATTATGTGCCTTGTGGAAGACGACTATGAGAAAGTCTAGGTCTGTTCCAACTGGAGGAAGTCGAGGAGTGTTATGGAATATATTATAATATCGGATTCACAATCAATTGTCTTTGTTTTTGGATAAGCGGTGCCCATCCCCCTCAAGGCCGATGGTGTCATATCGCTTCCTCCCAAGATCATATTTTCTTAAGAACAGAAAAAGCGAAGGTAGAATTAGAAAAATCGCAGATCATATACAATTACACTTGCTGCGGTTTTCCCCTTGTCCCTTAGTCCAAAAATTCATAACCCTGTCGAAATTTGCCTCCCACAAAAATTCAAAAATCCATCAAAATATGCCCCCAAAAATTTTTAGTGCGAAACTTGTGCCATGAAACCCCTTTTGTGCACCCCTGGATATAATATATATCATATTTATAATCCTTGTAGAGAGGAGATCATACGTTTAATATATAAAGTAACCCACAACAAATATATTCCAATAGGCCTCATTTTCTAAAATGTAGAAAGAATTACTTAAGATTGCATAAGTAACAAATTATAAAGTGAAGTCAACTTACGATGTACGGGTATTTTTCAATATTTATGTATTCTCCAGTTCTAGAACCAGTCGCATTTGAAATTTCTTGATCTTTAAAATACTGGCCACTCACCAAAGGTATCAAAAATACCAAAAATTTGTTTAATAAAAACATTAGGTAAACATGCTTTAGAATATGTATGAAATAAAAAATATATCATATGATAGGCGAGTTTTCATATCAGATAAATTCCTTCTACACTTTCCTATCGTTCTATTGATTTTATTGATCCGCAAAAGCAGAACGGAGTTGCTACGCCTAGTAACCTATACTTTCATTTGCTCAGTTTCTTTTTTATATAAAGGCACGTAAATTCGTAATTAACTTAAATCAATTGATTAATCAATCGCTCTTAAAGGACTTTTCAGATTAATTAATATTGCTATATATTCGCTGGGACATATTAATTTGGTATGTATTTATTGCGCGTTCTTCCAGATGGACTATTAATAACTATCGTTCAATGGTAACGATTTGATTTATATCCATAACGGAAATAAGTAAAAATGTTACCAATAGAAGATTCTTCTAGTTCTCATCGTCGAGTGTATAGATATATAAAATAAGGTTAAAATTTTAGGTTAAAGTTTAACAATTTTGTCAAGAAATGATTTACTTTTACCACATCCTATCATTAATAAACTTTTCTGTTCAGTGGCGTATGTATGATTTAGGAGGTAAGCGGCAGCCATATTTTGAGGCTCAGTAAGCTTCTTACCCAAAAGTTCTTATACAGGGTGTCTCAGTTCTTAATGGCTAAACTCTAGGGGGGAAGGAGCGTGATTCTAGACAAAATTTCCAACAAATAAGTTCATTTGATGAATGGGCCGATTCCGAACAGAAAAGGAGTTAAGACCATTTGTGTGTTGTTTTTTTAAAGGTAGTCTCGGTTTTTGTTGAATAAAAATAAATTTCTCAAAAACTGTTCAAGATAATTAAATTATAATCGTAAAGTAGACAAAATTTTCTTTGTGAAAACAGTGAAGAAATTTGCCAACATCAATGATAAAAATAACTTTCAGGAGGTCTAATAACGCAAAGCCTATCGTTATGCTGAATTACTTCACTAATCGGGATTACAGAGATATGCTGCTCGGGTATGGGTACTGTAACTGCAGCAGTAAGACGATATTAGATCTCCTGAAAGTCCCTTTTATCACTGACCTTAGTGAATTTAATGACTGTTTTCTAAAAAAAAATAAAAATAAAATAAAAGTTTTATACTTTACGATGGTGTATTTAACATTTAATTATTTACGACGGTTTTGTGGAAATTCCATTTTATTCAATAAAAACCGCGACCATCTTAAAACAACACAAAATTGTTCTTAATTCTTTTTCCTTTCAGAGTCGGTCTATGCACCAAATCTTTTTTGTTGGAAATTTTGTCTAGAATAATCTTCCAGAGTTTAGCTATTATGAACTGATTTTATATGTATTATAACCAATAACCAACATTGTATTATAATACAATATCATTGTATATCACATTGTATTATGAGTCAATATCATTAGATGATGATATTTATGTCGAAATGTGTTACCTAAATTGGTGGTTTAAACTGTTAATTTAAGAGTGCTCATTATTATAAGCTTACAGTCATGGCAAGTTGCGCAATTAAAATTTTTGAGATTTTTACTTTTTTTAAGGGATTATGAATTTTTGATGGGAGCGAGTTTTACGTGTTTGTGCATTCTTGAGAGTGGATTTTCATGGAGCTATGAATTATTTAGAAGGAAACACATTTTTGTGTATTTTCGATTTAAGAGAATTTTCAAACCAAGGAACAAGGTAAAAATACATGGAACAGATTACAGTAAGTGTAATTATTCAGAAACTACAAACTTTATTGTTTGTTGAGGAGAAGTTGGTTAGGTATTGTCATTGAAATTACTCAGAAGTAACTTATTTTTATTTTCTTTGTGCCGACGTTTCGGCCTAAGCTTCAGTTATTAATTAATAAATAAGGCAACAATGCTTTTCACCATCAATTTTATTTAATATTACGTTTCGGTGCAAAATAATAAAATTATAGATAAATAAATATCAGTATGTTTCCATAATTTTACTTAAAAACAGCCTACATAATATATATATATATATATAATAATAATAAGGCTTAGCGAACCCGAAGGTTCGATGCCGACACCACCAATCGTTTGTTACACACCTCCCTCCACCGTTCGCCGTCCAAACCCAGTCCCTTCAGATCAGCTTTAATGCAATCTTCCCACCTTCGCTTCGGTCTACCCCTCCGACGCTTACCATTCGGCACAGCAAATATTAACCTTTTAGGAATTCTCTCGTTACTAAGCCCAACAACTTTACAAGCCCATTTGATTCGCCGCGATGAAATTACCTCAATTATATTACCCGGATATAGCTCACGCAATTCGGCGTTGTGTAACCGTCTGAACTCTCCGGTTAACTCATCCTTCTTCGGTCCGAATATTCTACGCAATACTTTATTTTCAAAAACCTTAAGACGCTGCTCATCCCTTAATGTAAGCGGCCAAGTTTCGCATCCATAAAGAACTGTAGGCAAGATAATTGTTTTATAGATTCTAATTTTTAAGTTGCGGGACAAGAGGCGCGAACTGAGTAGTTTTGTCACAGAAAAATAACAAGCATTCCCCGCCTTCAGTCTAACTTTAATCTCTTCTTCAATTTCGTTTTTTCTAGTTATCGTAGAACCTAGATACCTAAATTTATCTACCTGTTCAAACATATTACCATCTATATCGATATCACCAGTAGTATCGCCATTTTTGCAGCTAACCATATATTTTGTTTTATCCACGTTTATTTCGAGTCCTAGTTCTTTACCGGCTTTCATTAACGCTGTCGTATTTAGTTTTATAGTTTCAACGTCTTCGCTTAACAGTACCAGATCATCAGCATAGCCCAGCACGGATGTTGTCCCGCCCAGATCCAACCCTTTCTCGGTACGCATTACCTCCCTAATGGCATGTTCTAATGCCAAATTGAACAGGACAGGCGAAAGAGAATCCCCCTGTTTTAAGCCCGAACGAACCTCAAATTTTTCGGACAAATTATTACCGATTCTAACTTTATTGAGTGTCTCCGTCAAGCACATCCTGACTAGATTTACTAGTTTTTTTGGAATTCCCTGCTCGATTAGAATATTATACAGTTTCTGGCGGTCAATAGAATCGTAAGCCTTTTTAAAATCTATATACAGCTGGTGAACAATACCGTTATACTCCAATTTTTTCTCTAATATTTGCCGTAAAGAAAATATTTGATCAATAGTCGAACGATTCCGTCTAAATCCGCATTGGTAGTCTCCGATAATTTCCTCGGCGTATTCCGTGATTCGGCTGGTTAAGATTACAGTGAATATTTTATAACATACCGGAAGGAGTGAAATTCCTCGATAGTTATTACAATCCGTTCTCGGACCCTTTTTGTGAATCGGAATAAGAATAGATTCTTTCCATTCTTCAGGTAATTTCTCGTTCACCCAGATCTTTTTAACCAACCGATGTATTTTAGAAACTCCAGCTTCCCCGCATGCCTTAATTAGTTCAGTAGGAATATTATCGATTCCCGCTGCTTTATATGATTTTAATTTACCGATAGCTACTTCAACTTCCTCTTTACTTGGTCCTTCTATCAACGGTTCAGCACTCTGGTACTCAGAAGGAGGACACAGATCATAATTTCCCGTATTTAAAATATTGTCAAAGTGGTCCTTAAATTTATTCAATATGTCCACCGGATCGGTCAGAATATTGTTATTATCATCCCTAATTCCAGACGTTACGGGCCCTACATATTTACGTGATCTGTTTATACCTTTGTACATGTCTCTTACGTTATTTTCGATTCTATTAGTTTCTATTTCAATTATTTTATTTTTAAGATACTTCCTTTTTTTATTTTTGAGCAATTTTGACGTTTCGTTCTTTGAGATTCGGAAGTACTCCAGATTGTCTTCGCTAGGATTATTTAGAGCTTTTAATTTAGCGGCTTTCCTTTTTTCGCACATGTTTAAGCAATCTTCATCAAACCACGGTTTGTTATTCTTAGTTTCCTTTTTTCCTAGACACGAGTTACCGACCGCTTTAATATTATCCCTGATCTCTACCCATAACTTGTCAATATCCTCGTGGTCCTCGTCAGGAAGCTCTAAAGCTTCAAACCTATTCTTAACATCTAGCTCGAATTGGTTTCTAATTGATGGATTTTTTAATTTTTCCAAATTAAAATTCTCAAAATCGAAACGGTTTTCTTTTCTCTTTTTTATATTAAGTTTTTGTCGAAGTTTCGCGATTACTAATTCATGATCCGACCCACATTCTGCTCCGCGATAAGACCGTACATTGATTATACTGCTTTGCCAGCTGTGTTGTATCAAGACATGATCGATTTGATTTCGTGTTTGCGAATCCGGCGATGTCCAAGTATATTTATGAATATCCTTACGTTTAAACGTCGTACTTTTAATTACCAGGTTTTTCGAGATGGCAAAGTTTATCAGACGGATCCCATTATCATTACTATATTCGTGCAAACTTTCTTTACCAATCGTCTGAATATAAACTTCTTCCCTTCCTACCTTTGCGTTCGCGTCACCTACAATTATTTTCATGTAGTTTCGCGGTAGTTTATCATAAACCCATTCGAGTTTATCGTAAAATTCACTTTTGACTTCATCGTCACTGTCTTCGGTCGGACAATGTATGTTTATTAATGCGATTTTAAACCAACGTCCCTGAAATGTAGCTACCGAAATTCTATCACTAAAGAATTGTACGTCCCTCAAAGCGGATAGTAATCTACTCCTAATTAGAAACCCGGTACCTAAACAATGATTCCCGCTTCCTCCGTACCAAATAGTGTACTTTCCTTCCCTCATCGAGCCCTCCCCTGGCCAGCGAACCTCTTGCAGAGCCACGACATCCAAATTGTACCCATTTACCTCATTCGCGACCGATTTTAGCCCCCCTGCTGTGTTTAAACTCCTTACGTTCCACGTACCAATATTTAAATCCCTATATTTCAACTTGCGGCATGAATCCCCTAAAGCAGTCCCCACCCGGAGACCCGAACGGGGGACTAGTTTACCTCCGGATAATGAGCGTTTTACCTTAGGGAGATCCATGACTTTTTGTGGTGTTTGGTGAACTAAAGATATGTGAGTAGGGCGTTCAATCCTACGTCACACCCTCCAGCAAGTCTGGTGGGCCCCTACCTCCAGCAAGTCTGGAGGTCCCCTCCCTCCAGCAAGTCTGGAGGGCCCCTCTCATTGTTGGTCAGCGAGTCCATCGGACTTAGCCGGGAGGAACTTCCAAGGAATTTCCACCGACCATCCCCACATCCGCCACCCGTGGGCGGATATATATATATATATATATATATATATTATATATATATATATATATATATATATATATATATATATATATATATATATATATATATATATATATAACTCTGAAGTAATAATAAAATGAGGCTGTACGAAAATTTAATTCTCATACATATATCCGAAAGATTGATTGCTGCGGAGATGAACGAATAATTAGTGCTTAAAATAAGTTAAAGAAGAGTTTTTGTGTAAGGGAGAAAGGAGGTAAGGAATTCCAAAACAAGATAACATGCATTATAAAGTTTTTTTTTAAGGAATCAGTTCTACGAGCAGGAAAATATAGGTGTGTGTGCTGAGATCTCGAATTTAGAGAAGGGACAGATGAACAAGGTGTTTGCTATATAGATATTTTTATTCTTTTTCTTCCAGAGTAATTACTGAAAAAGCTGTATATCAAATAAAAAAAAAACTTCTAAATTAAATCCTGAATCGGCTACTGATCTTTCATTCAATTTTAATATTTTGGATGTTATTCGCTTAATCAGATGCATTCGATCATTTTACCTATCATGTGTATAAAATAGATTTGTCGATAAGCCATATTTATCGCGGATGTGAGTGCAGCAGCGTTTATAGATGAAACAACATGTTACAGATGAATACAACTCATACAGTTAGGAGTGTTCTTTTAATACATGACATATATACATATAAATGAAAAATATATCCAAGGTAATATTTTTATTAAGGTGGGGTAATTTGTGTATATATATATATTTAATTATTATAGTTTATTCTATTTGTCTAAGGAAATTCCTGTACAAATAAATTCTAAATCAAACCCAAGATATATAGAAAAATCTGTTCCTTTAATGTTACCAGACCAGAGGATTATCTTCAGTTCAGGGCTCTGAATTTAAACAAATTAAGAGCCGTTAGTCGTCTCAGAGTAGCAAGTAAAGATTTTATGAAAATATACTTAAAAGATGCTACTTTGACTATTAAATCCAATGAGGTATGTGGTACATGCAACTGCCTTGTAACTGACCCGATAACTCATTTTCTGATCCAATGTATCAAGTTCAACGAGCCAAGAAATAAGTACTTGAAGGCATTTATCACTGAATCCAGAGAAGATGCTAGTGTGGAGGAGATACTGAAAATAGACACTACGAAAAAAATAAACCAAATGTATTATTTCATACAGGGCTGTTCATTGAACTGTTAAGTGGTATAGTTAATCGTACAACATATATTAATGCTTATTTATATGGTCATTTGTGTTATACCTCTGGAATATTTAAAAAAAAAATGTATTATTGAAAAAAAAAAAGTTTTACTAATTGTTATGTTAATATATATCGTTTACTAATCAGTTATTATATTAGTCATACTTAATGCTGTGGACATTGTTAATGTTATGTTTGAATGCAGTACTAGACTCAAGATCTAACATTGTTAATTATACCATTATATTTATTTGCACAGGAATTTCCTTAGACAAATAAAATAAACTATAATAATAATAATAATTAATTGTTATATTTTAAAATTTCTTGCCTTGTTTAGTTCAAGGTTATTGTTTTTTACTATCAAAAATGTGCGTAGCCAGGGAAGAACAAGGAAGGGCATCTAAAGGAAAAAAACCTCAAACTAAAACAGCAACAAATATAAAAAAAACTGATTTCTAAAAATGTGATTCATAGCGACAGGTTGAATATTGCATTTCGGCATATTAACTAATAATGTAAAAAATAACACCATTTATCTGAAAGAAATTCATTTTTTGGGACTTTTTATTTTTTGCAAAGTTCCTCCGCTGAATGCTTTGTATTCACTGTGGGGAGAAGAAGATGAGAGGTTAAAAGAAATGATCTTCTCTAAATCAAAATGTTTCACCCGGGAAATGCGTTATCCTGAGTAGCCAATACGCGAGTATAACACATACTACCGTTCATCCGATTTTTATATAATTTTCAATTATTGTCGGTTCCTGGATGGCCCCATACCACTGCTTTCAGTTAAGCATACAATGGGTGTGTCATATAATAATTTCATTATATTACAAACCATGTTGGGTTTATGATGAAAATATGTAGTATTTAATGTAAAATGATCCCAAACATAAAAATTTATAGTTTCTTCTAGAGAACCGACCTCTATAGATTCACTTATGAGTTTTAATAGCTTTATTTGACATCAAAAACAAGTATGTTATTTTTTTTACAGTCCCTTGATACAAGCATACGTCATGCCATAAAAAAATTCCGAAGTTTTTCAGATATTGATTTATTACTCCAAAACAGTATTTCCTTGCCGAAATTTTAATTCAAAAAGCTAACAAACGTTAAATTCTGCATCGAATGCATACTAAATATAATATATCACTGATTTATTATTTGTAGTTTTTTTACAAAATAAAAAACTGATTATCTCTCAATGGTGATCAGTATAATTATATATTTTATATCCCTCTGCTATTTTTTATAGTAGCATACTACTTATTACAGTTGCTGACTACAAAATGTCACCTTTAATACAAGTAGAATAAACATGGAAACTTATTACATACGACCTTTTGCACTAACAGTGGCGATATTGGGTCTTTATGTTTTTAAAAATGGTTGTATTATGCACCAGCGGTTCCAGGATTTAATTTTTAGGGTACTTGAAGCTTCTTTTTTTTCATATATATAACACTAATTACTTTAGGAAAAAAAAGAAAGATACTAACTACCTATATGAAAATGGTGCTTAAGTGATTCTTAAAGTCCTATTAAATGTAATTACACGAACAATAATACTTTAAGAGATATTTTTTTTCGATAAAATATGGTTACATTTCACTATTTTTGGGGTGGAGGGCTTCAGCCCGAAAGTCCCTTCCCCCAGTAGATCCGCCTGTAGTATTATGCACTGATTCTCATGGAAAATTGTTCACTTTTTTTAATTGGAGTGTTAAAATGCCGTCACAGGAAACGCGAAGTTTGAGTTCAAGAAGTGATTCTGAAAATGAAATTATAAATTAAATTTTATGAAATCCATTTAAAAAATATATATTATGCAAGTTCATTTCAAATTATAATTATTTTATACTAGACGATTATTGTACCGTAGGATGTGTAGCATGTTATTGTGAATCTACTCGTACTTTTTCATATTCACCCCAGCGAGACGACCAGTATGACAAACCTGCAACAATTAAACAGAACACTAATTAAAATAAAATTTTAAGGACGATAACTGCCAAAATTTAATCAAATACATACAAAAAGACACCACAAAATTCAAAATATATAAACTTGTATTTTATGTATAACAATAAACTCTTGCTTTTATAACACAGTTGCGAGCTCACAGCACACAGTTTCTCCCTATCACGAAAAAGTAGGGGAAAAATTAAGAAAAAAAAAGGAACTTAGTAATTCAAATTTCCTAAATTAATATATTTTTGGAATGTATTGATTATTTTAATGATTAAGTTCTACGGAATATAAATATCGTGGATTTACTGTTTTCAAAGCCAATATTATCTTTTTAATCGTTTATCAACAATTTGGTATAGAAGCTACTAAAACGTTAGTGATCAAAATGCCATTTGATAAAAAAAAAAATTATAAAATAGGAAAAAAATTAAATAAACTTTTTCCACTTACGAATCAATTAAATGACACGTAAGGTTGCAGCAGGACACACTTTTAGTGAATGTGATTTTACGAAATATAATGCAAATAAAAAAAACAAACAATAAACCAAAGTTTTAATAGAAATATCTGATATTTATCTTGTATAATTAGTTCTATAACTTTTATCTATCTTATAAAATGACATGAGTTCCGACTTACATAAAGAAATAAAATATTAGAAACCTTAATTAAATTCTAAAAATATACTATTATTTTTCACAACCACCCGATTTTATAAAAACTACAATAGTTTAGGGTGAATTCAGAAGATTTTATGATGCGGATATGGCACAAAGTACTGGGGCTCCAAAGATATTTTGGGGTGTATTTAAAACCAATGAAATCGATAAAAGGGTATGGACGAAATATGCCGACTTCCTTGTAAACTACTGCGCCCGGTAATCGATAATAATGCGCATCGTTTATCGATTTATGGTTTGACTGAGTCCTCAGTATACATTTGAAGGTTTATGTTCACTGTTATTTAGCCTGGAAAAAGGTAATTTCTGTTATCATTGTTTTGTTGATAGATATAACGTTATAGAAGACTGTTAAGCAACCCTACATTTATGTTATTATTGTTAATTCTAACTACTTTTGTTTTTAAGTCTTTGTTTACATGTATGTTACTTGTTTAATTTCAGTACAGTTTTTTGTTTTCAGTGTTGGAAATGGCTGCTGTATTAGCTGAGAACTATCAGCTAAAATGGCATAGTCACAGTACCCATCTTCATAGCTCTGTAGCCACTCTTTACCGCTCTGACAATTTCACTGATGTAACTCTTGTAACTTGTGATGGAAGATATTTAGCTGCTCATCGCTTTGTATTGTCAGCATGCAGTTCATATTTGAATCGTGTTCTTCAAGTAGGTTCAGTAAATTCTGGACCAAACTCGAATCTAGTCATTGTACTTCCACCAGATATATCGTATCGTACCTTGGCTATATTACTTCAATACATGTACAGTGGTGAAGCAACGGTGAGCAATGAACAATTAAATGGAGTGCTAAGAGCTGGTGAAATTCTTCGTATCAAAGGTTTATGTCATAACAGAGAGAAATCGAATAGTCATGAGTCATCATCTGCTGACCCATTGCTTCAAAAATCAAATTTTGATAGCAGTCATAGTTCCAACTCATTGCCAGCCAATAAAATTATCTTGCAAGCAGGAAAGAACAATGAAAGGATTGAAAGATGTAGCTCTGCATCTAGCTCTGTAACTGAAGGAAGTATTCATAAGCAACCAGTGTTATGTAATGCTAAATTAACTTCAAATAATTCCAAACACGAAGAAACTTTCAGTAAGTCGACCGGTGAAAGTAAAACCTCATCATCAGATCCCAAATCAAGTTCTTCGAGTAAAGAAAATCGTGATTTGGGAAGTCCGTCAATTGAAAAGATAACTGACGACATAAGAATTGAAGAAAACATGAAAATTGAACTGTTGGTGAAAGAAGAGCCTTTAGATTGGAATGATAATGAGGATACTAATGTTACTCAGGATGATAATACAATGGACCAAGATATCAGGATTAAAACTGTAAGTTATGTATTTTGGTTGTACTTTTTTTTTCATTATGTGACCACTGCTAGTTCAACATGAATCTATTGTTTTAATTTATCTCTCTCACATTCTATTCAATTGCTTAAGCCAATACATATTTTTACTGGTATTGCTAGCTAGATAATTTTTGTCTTTTATTTAAAAAAAAAAAATTTTGTACCAGTATATCTCATAAAGGATCTTGGGTGCTGTACTTTGTCAGGAAGGATTGTTAAAAAACCAACGATTGTGCAGGGAGGTGATCCGGCCAGGATCACACTCAACCCCCATGTTTCCCCCTTAATTAATTATTTAATTAAAAGTACCCACTTCTTAGAGGCTGAGTGTGCCCCAGGAGGGTTTCCTGACAGCAGGGTTTATTTTTTATCTATGAATCAAATTTCAAACGTATTATTAATATAATTTCTTAGATAGGCTTCGGAGGCTATATTGGACGAGGGTTGTTAAGCAGTACAGAATGGTGTGGATTCATTAACCACTTGGATTTGGTCATTATTTATTTTATATTAGTCCTGTTAATATTGCAATTAGCCAGGAATCAGTGTAACTGATACCTAGATTCTGAAATTATCTTTGATTTATTATCAGTCAACCATCATTTATCTATTGTGTATTTCAAAATTTGACTGAATCATGAGAAATTATATTTAATTTATGGGAATAAGTAGTTTCAAATCTGTTTCTGAATTACTTCTATGTCTTAATATTACCATTGTGAAATATAAAATAAAAAATTCTCAAAAAAATAAAGCTATTTTCTTTTTTCTCATTTTCTGTTCTTTTAACTTTTAGCTCTGTTTTAACTATTCATTTTAAAATGTAATTTAAAGCTTGCGATGATGATGGAAATATGATTTTGCTTTAATTGTAATGTAAATGCCTCTCAAAATTATTTTATTGTTCCCTATTATCTACCCTTCAGTGATTTTAAAAAGAATATTAACCCACATTAAAGAATATTTGGTTATTTACTTATTGATTAATTCTTTTAGAGCTTATTTACTCCTAAATTTTTAGTATAATTAAATCCAAGGTTTAAAGCCTTTGCATTTTGGAATAATTGTTTAATAAAAAAAAAGTGTTGAAATAAATTTTATTTATATTATAGGAACAATTCTCTGATAATGAATGTGATGAAAACAACATGTATGCGCCATTGACCTGTGATTTGTGCCACAAAACATTCACCACTCCTGCATTATGGGTTCGGCATATTGAGACTCATCCTGTTACAGATGTACCAAGAAGGAAAAGAAGAAGAAATCAGGTAAGTTTAATGTAATACAAAATTCTATGGATAATCGTAATTCAAACTGTTGTTTTAATATTCACTCTAAACCTCAACATATAGGTTTTTCGTACTATTTTAATTTTGTTTGCTGTTTAGGGACAAGTTAATTTATAGATTAAAGTACTAAGAGTTTTTTCCACTTTTTCGATGTTGTTAATATCAGTTTTAATCAAACTGATCAATCCATTTTATATATATATATATTTCCTAGAATGGATGACATAGTATTTATTTATACATCTCGAATAATGTAGAAATCAGCTATAAATTTAACAGAATTCATTGATCAAGTCCAGACCATGTTTGAATAATAGCAACAAATCAAATTAAAGTCAAATAATTGTAATAGTAGTGAAAGGTTGACTTTAGATTCTTACAAAAGGAGCTGGTTGGGAATTGCAGTCACTAGTAGTACATAAATATATATATATATATATATATATATATATATATATATATATATATATATATATATATATATATATAATATTTATAAAATATATCATTTTCTTTGTTCCAATGTTTCAATCTAAGTTGCAGACTATCAGGACTGCAGACCATTCGTTCAAAATATTTTGAACCATTGGCCTGAAATGTTTTGAATGATAGTCCTGAAACTTACACCAAGATGACAGCACAAAAAAAAAATAAGTATATATTTTTTTTGTACTTCTAATTAGTGCAATCCCTAACTGACTTCTCTTGTAAAGTTGAAGAGTATCATGAAATTGGTACAAAAAAAAAAGATTTAATTATGATACCTATGAAGAACTTGTTAATGGAAACATTTTTAACTGCACTGATCATCTCCAGTTTTGAACATGACAAAATCTGGATCTATATTTGGCCAAATAAGACACTATATAGAGATTACTTTAATGTTGTTACCATTAAATTCTTATAGACCTAAAATTTTGTAATTAGAAATCAGTTTTGTTTCTTTCTTTTTTCTCATTGACTAGATCTTACAAGCTGATATTTTTTTCTCATTTTGTTGCACTGATGTGAGTGTGGTATTAATACTAAAATGATTTACAATTATTACATTAATTTTTCAGACTGAAAGCGATGACGGAGAAGATGATGAATATCCTACGCTTAGGTGTGAATTGTGCCAAGAAGTTTTTACTTCGCCTGCAGAATGGGTTCGTCACATTCAAGGATCACACACAGAACAACAACTAGCTCTTAGTAATGATTTAAGATCAGGAAGAAAGTCTCCTCGAGCAACCTGCCCATCCTGTTCCAAAACCTTTCCATCGATAGCCTCCATGCTAATACACAGTCGCACACATACTGGTGAAAGACCATATGTTTGCTGTGTTTGTGATAAAGGTTTCAATGTTAAAAGTAATCTCCTAAGGCATCTCAGAACACTTCATGATCATCTTATTAACCCAGGTAAGAAAAATTTCTTCAGTTTTTCATATTTTATTTATTTATTTTTATTTCCTATTTTATTCATTGGTCAAAATTTGACTAATAGTACTGAAATTTCAATAATACTTCTTTTTCTGATTTATTTATAAAATTACTGTTGTGAAATATCTGAAGTTGAATATCACAACAGAGATTGAGTGAAAATTTTTTTAACTTACACATTTCTTTATGCTACGTTGAAACCAAATTTTTGTCATATATTTCCATTATTTTTTATTCATTTATTTTTTTTTATATATTTTTTTTTACAGACAGTTCTTACAAGCCTCCCCTAATTAAGAGGATAATGGTCTAAATTCCCTCGGGGGCCAGCTGTATTGGGAAGTACGGCTGGGATTCGATCCTATGATCTTTACTTTACTAGTATAGCGCGCTAACCACTCTGTTATACCAGCCCCATTTTCATTATTAAGAGACATTAAATGAACGTTTAAAAAATTTTCACTAAAATGAAAGTCAAATATTTTAGATAATATGAAGTGATTAGTATTTTATTTCTTTTACAATATGTTTTCATTGACATATATACATATATCTTTGGAATTTTCAAGATTATATTTAACTTTTGTTCACAGAGGTTCCATGAAAATGAAGAAAAGAATTTCTTCTTGGTGATTTAAAAAAATAATACCAACGAATACATCTTTAAAACTTGAGTAATGCCATATTCATTATCTCTCTGTTTCTTATCAACTATGTTCTGTAATGAAACGAAAAGAGACATTTTCTTAATAAAAAATGACTCTTTTATATTTAACATGTTTTTCCAGTAGATTTAATGTTTATTTATTACTTTGTAAATTTATTGTGATCAAATGTTGTAATGTGTATAGATTTGTAAAATCTTATGTATGCTATAAACTTATAGCATGTATTTTTAATGACTTTGTATATTCTTCGGTTTTCATAAACTTTAAAATGACCTCTAAATAATTTTTCTATTTTATAAACGACTTAGCTACTCATCATCGTCATATGAGTATGATTGTTACATTTTCCACTTAATTTAAATTTTCTCTATTCAAATTAATAATTAATTATCTTCTTATATATTTTATAAAAAAAAAAAATTATTTAGTGATTTAATTTAGAATCAGATTACTTTTTGTATTTTGAATTGAAAGTGTTTGGTGTTACTGAAATTTTTTTCTTAATAGTATCCTATAATTATATATATATACTTTATTTTATTTTTTGGTACTTGTAACTTAGCCGGTCGCCACGGAACCTTTCTTCTTGTCTCGTGTAATCTCTTCTTAGCGCTCGTCTCCGTTTAGTTACTTGTACGTTCTTCTCGCTATTCAGCTGCTTTTTTTGTTGTTGATAGTGTTATTTTCTTTGGCAATTGCCGTCTTCAGAAGAAGTTGTTACTACTACTTTCAGAAGTTCAGAATAATTCCAAAGATGAAATTATGTGAAGAAGGTCTGACATCAATTCTTCTCATCAGATGATAGGAAGTTCAAATGGAGATTTTTGAATTGGAGGGCCTGGAAAAGTAGTTGAAATAGACGAAAGTGTTTTTCTAAAAGAAAAAAATCATGTAGGGGCAGTGTTCCCTGAACAATGGATGTTTGGTGTAGTTTGTTGAGAAACAGACAACTGTTTCATTGTAAAAATAAAATACAGAAAAGCAACAACTCTATTAGAATATATTAAAAATAATATAGAAGAGTTGGAAAGGATATAACACCCAACAACTAAATGAAGCAAACTACAGCCATTTCCAGGTGAATTACCGGTATAACTTTAGGACCCATTCCTCACTATTTTGTCTCCCAAAATATATAAAATGTTATAAAATAAAATTGTTTGTTATTGTTATATTTCTTTTTGTCTATTTCAATTTCCATAGATATAAATAAGAACGTAGGTATTATCACTATGAGAATTATCAGTGTTCAGGTTCTTTACAATAGCAGATAGCAGTCCGTGGTGACTGGCTAACTCACAACTACCATATTTCTTTTTAAGAAGTTAATTTTTAACAGTTTATCTGTTATCTCCATGATGGTACAAATATTTATCTTTCTATTTTAAAATTTAATTAAGGAAATAAAATAAATTACATAAACTTTATTGATTCAATTCAAGAATGTTTATTGAGCATTTAAGAATATACATATATGATTTTCCAAATTAGTAGTAGAAATTCACTTAATATTTGAATTCCTAATTATTTTTGGCCTGCAAGATCCCATATCCTGCAGAGAGAGATTCTACATCCATCATGTCTGCCTTTTTCATCAGTTTTGTAACTAAATGGATTAAGGTTGGAACAAACATGTCCACACAGTCTGAACCTCATCAGGCTGTATCTTAGATAGATCTTGATGAAACCTCACATCGCCATGTGTTGTCCTAACCTAACCTAAGTGTATATTTCAAACTTCATTACTTCTTGATTTTGACTCCGGAGGATTGTTCAAAGTATGTTTTAAAGATTTTTGCATGTAATTTGGTCAAATCTCCCAAAACTTTTGAATTTCTTCAATTAACTTTTCAATATATATTTGTGACTTACAACTACCCCACACTGACACCATCAGAAAGTAAACCAAACTGAACTGGTGGGGTACAGCCTCTATGTGGTGATGTGAGAACTATTGCTGTATATCGTAAGAGACTATTACCGAGGGGCAGTGCGGCATGTGTGTCCTAACCTTCATGAACAGGAAGTCATATTTGTGTAATTTTACTCATATATTTATAGGGGACCACATTCTTGAACTGGTTTTAGTGGGTAACTCAAGAGTTTGTCGAGCTGCTTTACTTACCAAATTTGATTATGTATGGATTTTGTTAAATACTTCGTTTATTTTCATTCAATAAATCAGTTGCCAAACACTTCAATTTAAGAGTTAATATTTAAAGAAATGATGCAATTGGCTGATGTGCAATAAACTTTAATTTTAAAAATTCTTTTTGTAAATAAGTCTACTTCATTTATGTTAGAAGTATATACCAATGTAAATTAATAACTGTGCTATTTTTATTATCATTTGTAATGCTTTTTGTAGTATAAGAAAGGAAAGATAGATTATGCAAGACTTATGTTTCTATTTTTTATTTATATTTCAAAAACTTATTTTTGTAGAGTATTAAGAATACTTTATATCTGAATATTAAATATATCCCAAAATGTAGAATTTATTACCTTTACAGTATTATTATCTGATTTTCACTGTGGAATACTAAGTTACCCCAACTATTAATGTATATAGAGTGTAGATCAATTCATTACATAATTATTAAGTGCTTTCATAATTCATTTGTATAACCTTTATTTCACTCATTTATTTTGACTTTAATTATACCTACTCTAATAATAATATCTGTAACTACAGCTCACACTGCTACATATCACTAAGATTTTACTAAACTAAAAAAAAAAGTTTGCCATCTTCATCTGAATGATTTCTATATAATGTCTGAACACTTTCCATTATTTTCTTACAAGTAATATTCAGCATATATTGTATTTCAGTTCAATATATTTTTGATGATAGAAAGTTAACTTAATAATTTGTATTGTTTTCAATACTTCCAATCTTCTAGTCATTTTTGAAAAACTGTATTGTAATTTATATGTATGGTAATAATAACTTTATTGTAATAGTTGTTTGTCATTACAATTTTATCCCACTTTTATATCTTGAATAGACCCAGACTGATGGTGTCGCCATCGAAGCTTTGAGTTCGCTAACCCTATAATTAATATTATTATATATCTTGAATGTTTATATCGTTTTATATCCAGTTAGAGTATATATGAATAACAGCTGCTTTTCTTTTAAATGATTAATATCACTATATAATTTCAATATCACAACTTCAAAACGATTACTTTATTAATAAGTATTACAATCTGCCTTAAAGAATCATAGAATAGCTATTGTGATTAAAGATTGCATTTATGCTGTGGAAAGAAATTTTAAAATTTATTTCTCAAAAATTATAATAAATAAATGACAGGCCAGTAAAATAAAGAAAATTTCAGAAATATCCGAACATTAAATAATTCGTCAAATGAGTGTCTTACATAATGAATATTTTGCCTTGGAAATAGCTATTAAAAATTATAAATTCATCGTGTAAAAATTGTATAACAGTAAATTTCTGTTTTCAGTAGTAATATTACGTTAAATTTCAAATACAAATAATCTACTAACCATTTGCATGAATCACTCAAAGTAAAATGAGTCAGATTATCTTCCTCAATCACTCCATCTCTACAATTCTTACTTCCAGACAGATGAGCTATAAACTTGAATATTGGTAAAATGGCTATAATCCTGTAATGGACAGGATAATTCTAAGAAGTTAAATTTTTAATTTTTAACTCCTTGATTATTTGTGATGAAATGACATAAAATGGTGGACTAAACAGTAATACATAGTTATAAACAGATTGGGTCAATAGTCACAGAATTTGTGAAATCTATAATTATGATTCTATTAATGTTTACCATTTCATAATTAATGAAACAAAAATCATTTCTCAAATTAACTTACCAAATTAGAAAAAAATGAATGTTCGAATTTGGTGTCTATTTTTATAGATAAATATTTTCAGAAATAGAACTGTTCTAGGCAGTTGTTGAAACCTGATATAATATTATTATCTAGACACTGCAAATTATAAACTATTCATAAAGGAGACATTTTACAAAACACAATGTACATTTCATCTACTTCAAGGATTTCATTCTCTAGCCCTTGAATTTTCCATAATTATTTTTGATCATTTTTTTAATTAATTTGGATTTAATTAATAACCAAAATTATTCCAAAGCAAAAAGTTTATTAAAAAAACAAAGACAAGATAAGATAAAACAATAGGAATTTTGATTTAAGAAGAATAAATTTAATTTTTCTTAAAAACATTGCTTTAAAGCAAGGAACCATATTTTATATCCCTCTATCTTATGGCAACTCATAATTATTAAAAATGAAATGCCTGATGTCTCCTTAATGTATCCTTGTAAGACATATTTTATGGAGTACCTTTAGTAATATTTTTTTATAACTGATGTCAGCAACTCGTATAATCATATTGTAAGGGACAAATTTATTCAGCTATAATTTTTGTTTGCTAACAAATCAAAAAAATAATTAATCAAATGCAGCATAACAGTCAAAATCTTTACATATAAATTTTTTAGTTTTATAACACTAATATTACTTTATTTTTATTTTTTTAATTTAATAAATTAATATTAGTTATTACACAATATACAAGATACTAATTGTAATGTTTAAAAATTAAATAAGTTTGTGTATTAGATTAAAAAGCATTATCCGAAAATGAGAGAATATCGTAGAAAGGAATTAACTAATCCCTAATGAAATATTATCTATTATGGATGAATTGTTTCACCTGCCTACTTTCTTAAACTTTAAACAAAATATTGTTAATATTTGAATCCTAAACCAGCCTTATCAAGTATCAAAAACTTGCAAAGATTCCAAATATTGTTCAATTTTTTCAAGTAGATTTGTAGCAACATTTGCAAATTGTTCCCATAGTCTGTATTCACAGCTTTCTGTAATATAATCTGGTGCTTCAGAGCCTTCAACAATTCCAAACAGTTTTTCCTCATCTGGGCAATAAATAAAATAAATAATCAGTACTGTTTATAGTACTAATATCAAGCAAATGTATATCTTTACTAATGTGTATATTAAATTATACCTAATAAATCAACAAGTACAGTCAATAAATTGTTTGTAGCTTGGACACCTAGCGCTGCATATAAATGAGTAGAATCTATGCAGAAATTCCAAATAGCTTGGCAAACAAGGCTCGCCAGTCTCCAGTCACCATCACTTGTTTTTTTTAATACCATTATAAGCCTAAAAATTATAAATTATAGTTAGTTTAACAATGAATTGTAAATTTATAATATTTATCTGAATATTATATTTACTTGTGAACTCCATTATTCTCTTTAAAAGCTAATCTTTTATCCCAGTCAGCCATCAGATTAACAAGTACCCCAGTTGTGGTAAACAGTAATTCTTTATTATCATGTTCCAAGCATCTTACCAGCTGACTAATACCTATAAAAATAAAATTTATACTATTTAGTTACGTATTTCAAAGTATCATAATGAATGATTAGGTTTCAAACTTATGCCCTGAATATTCTCATATGTCAAGTTTAAATTCAACAAATTATAATTTGTCCTAAAATTAAGTTTTTAATTCAGTATATGTTAGTATATATAAGGTTACATATACAAATTTTAAACTACAACTGCTTTAAAAGTCATTGAAAAACATGATTTCCAAAACGTATTTCAGTTTTCAGTCAAAAGATCAAGACAAGACAAAGTGTGCTTCAGTTCTTGTGGAACATTACAGTCCTGGGGTTTTAAAGTCTAAAAATTTATCTTTTTTTAGATAATATATGGGTTTAGTCTAATTCTAACAATAGTCACCTAGATGGCAAGGTTGGTTTCAAATAATTATCACATATAGTTAAGGTTTTTAAAAATTAAAATATCAGTATCTATTATATTTTATAATAAATTAAACATCCCTTGAAAAGGAAAATAGTTATGAGATCTGTTTGGCACATTGGACAATACATAACATACATTTTGATATTTTTTAATAAAAACAAAACACATTTTGTGAACACATTTTTCTTTTGTTGATTATTAATATTGCCTTATCCCTTATGAAATACTTATCTAGATATTGCTTCGATATAATGCTCTAATGAAGGAGAGAATTACGAACCTGCTCTTCGGTATCTACGCAGCAGGTCTCAGTGAGTACATATACCGGTTAAATATAAATTTACAGCTAGCTAAATCTTATTGCTTTATAGCTGAAATGAAAAATTATTTATGAGTGGGGCAAGCGGATTACTTATTAATTAAATTGATTCTTCAACATAGCCATTATAAAGTATTTTCACCAATTGTATGTTATATATAGACTTTCTGGGTAATATTATATTCTTCACTGGGAATAAACATGGTTTCCTAACTTATAGATCAAATGTATTAAAGCAAAAAAGGATAGATAGATATTAAATGCTAGAGTGCACGCCTTGCAAAGTTGTACTAGTCTCACTATTAATATGATAACTACTGGTTTTAATCATAAAAAAAAAACAAAAAAAAAAACACATTGCAATGCACAATTTATTTATTGCTACTTTAATAGAAATCCAAAGTAAAATGGGTGTTTGCAGAGATGTCCAGAAGGAGGTTTCAAGGCACAAGTTGCGCCATCAAAAATTTTTAGGGGGCGAAATACTATGGGTTTTTTGAATTTTCGGGCTAAGGGACAAAGGGAAAACATGAAACATAATGCAGCAAGTGTAATTATATATATGTTTTTAAGAAAAAGTGAGCAATAAAATATCTTTGGAAGAGGGGGAGATGGATTTTTGTGCCATCGACCTTAGAGGGAATGGGAATCACTGGATGTTTGCGAATATGCAATCAATAGACCAATCATATTTCATACATTACAACTGTTTTAGAGGTTTTTTAAATTTATGATTGGTTGTTATAGCTGGAAGGGAGAAAGAACAAGAAAATGGTCACTTTCTATAACTCTTCAACAATGTTTATTTGGCATAGATTTTACAACAGATTCCTCTAGTAATACATTGCTCATCCTATGAATACAAAACAAAGCCCCTCTTTTAATTATAGCTTCTCCTATGAAAACACTTTCCAAAATAGTATTGAAAAGTGGTGTAATGTAGTTACTTTATCTGAAGTTAGAAGTTCCCAATTATTCCCTAGACTTTCAGTCAATTAAAAGATTTTGTCATGGTGCACAGAATGTTAACTTATGTAACATACCACCAATTTCTAATATGTAATCTCTAACATCTTTTGATCTTGATAAATTTCCTAATACTCTTGTCACTTCTATCATGCTGTCTTCATTTTTTGTGAGAAGAAGGGTACTTAAAACTGTAAAACAAATAAATATTAAATGTAAATTAATGCATGATTGATTCAATATTTCTATTATTTTTTATTTATTTGTTAATTTAAATTTAAATGAAGAGTTACCTTGAGTAATTTCTATCTGCCTCATAGTAAATGGCCCTTCAGTGGAGGCTTGTGGGTCTGAATAGAAGGACAAATTATTTAAAGTACTCAAAGCTGACATTACTAGTTCTTCACTTTCAGTAACTGATTTGCGGCGAAGAATCATTAACAGTATATCCAAAAACTTGCCTCCATCCTACAATGTTGGCAATACCCTATAATCATTGTTTAATACTTGGTATCACAAACAAATATTTTATTTATAATTGATTTTTGAACCAAATATATTTCATTTAAAAATTAACTTTTAACTTTAATAAAACAAGTCGAATATATATTTTTCTGTGTACAACTATAGGTAAACAAAAGTTTTTGCTTCCAGTTTCAAGGAGGTCCAGGTTTCTAAACAACAAGCATAGTGCAGAGTTTCTTGTATGCCTAAATGTTTTTTTTGTTAAACGAAATAATTTGTTTTGTCCTAATTTTCCACTGGATTTAACATTGTTAATAGCATGAGTTATTAACATGTTACTAACATTTTTCAAAGATTTGCATTAAAAGATATCCATAACTTGCTAATAAAATATTATTACATATAGATTAGGGTTCAAAATCATTATTTTTTACAAAATATTTCACAATAACTGTAACTGCATTATTTTTAATTGAAAAGCTAGTTTTTGATCAATTGAAAAATTTAAAACTTATTGCGTAAATGTAACAATGGTTAAGTTTATTACTTATAATAACCGTTTTAATAATAATTAATAATAGGCTTTTTTCGCTTTATTTTCATAACTGGCAAAGATATGGACATATGGAACTTTTAAGTAGGCATAGAAAAGTCAAACTTCAAATTTTGAGGGGGAGAGGTATCAATTTTTTTTCTTCATTTATTAATAAGGTTCATTATTGAGAATAATTAACCAGAAGTTGACAATTATGAGTTGTCACACACAACACCATTGTTCAAGATTTCAAAGCACCACAATTAAACATCTTTACAACAAAAATGTTTACAATTGTAAACTAAGATGAATAAATATATACTCTTGCATTGTGCCTCTTCACAGGATATGTTGGGTCTTCCATGTCTTCAGGAGGAGCACAAGTCATTCCAGTGCCAACTTCTGGATGCATGCTCATGTTTGCAACAATCCTTATCATCTAAAATCATATTTATTTTTTAAATTATCTTAAGAAATGCTATGACTATTTCATTTTTCATAAACACTTACCTTAACTATGACGTCTTCTACAGATCCATCAGAAGCCCAGTCAGGACTTTTTATTCCTTCTCCGTATGGTCCAGATGCCCTCATTATTTCAAGATCTTTATCAAGGTAATTTTCAAGGAGATTTAGAATTGAAGACATTGCACCTGGTTCTTGATAGAGCTGTAAGTAATACATAAGGCAATAAAAAAAGATCTTTTATGTAAGTTATTATTTCATTTATAAAATTAATTTAGCTCTGAAATTGTTAACCCTTCAACGATGGTGGACTCATATATAAGCTGAGAGCTAACTGGGCCCAGGCGAAGGTGACTCATATATGAGTCAAGAGCCTGCTGGCTATTTCTCATTAAACAACAGGTGATCAGTGATGAATTCTATCTATTTTCAAACTATCTGCCGTGGTTTCTATGAGACAGTAAAGTAATGTAGGTAGGTAATAAAACAAAATAAGGATGTTTGGAACGATGCCCTATTAGGCATAAAGGCTAAGTAGTGAGTAAAGGTGATGAAAAGTATTTCGTCATAGGGACAAATGAAACTGTCAGCTGGCACCGTCCTCAAGGCCATTCCGTCCTGACTGCTCATCGTCACTAAACTATTAACTAATATGTTTATTTTAATGTTGGTGCTACCTTAATACATGTATTTTTATTACTAGAAATAATTCAAAAGACTGTTTGGGATGGTTCATGTTCAATACATTGAGTAGTGGAGGACATGTACAAAAAGCGAGGACTGTTGTACTGACATAGTTTTGTAAAATAGAAGAAACATTACTTAATTTACAAAAACACCCCTATAAATATTTATAAGATTTTTATACTTTATTTTTCATAGAACGTTGATTTAAAAGAATCGAGATCATTTACTCTCTTTTCCTTAAAGTTGTGATGTTTAAATTACAATTAAGATGGGTATATGATATTATTTGGATATTACGTCTATTTATATTTTTTAAAGGAATAAAAAATGTTTCAAGCCTCTATTTATCTAAAAATTACCCAAGTTTTATTTATGATTCTAAGAATATATATCAAAATACCGAAGTTCATTTAGTAATCTTATTCTTTAATAAACAAAAATGTTGCTTAGATTACTTTTTATTTTTGACTGAACACCCCAACCAACATCTCTTTAATTAACTGAAGATTACCGTGGTGTCTACTAATCTTAATTTATTTAATAATGCATTACCGAACCTAGGTCCTTCTGCGAGCACTTTACGCATCCACCAATGTTTATGTTTTTGCATTCTTTCACTCATAATTAGCACTAAGCAGGAACTGATTCCACACAAAACTATGCCCTTCATGGTGGACTTCGAAGATGAAACAGATAAATTCACATCATAGTGAGGACGCTAGAGGAGACAAAGAACTGTGTCTCTAGACAGTCAAAAGACCTTGTCTGAAGACCGTCTGTAGACAGTCTATAGACAACTGTCTGCTAATGTGTACTAGACTTGAGCCAAAAAAATCATTCCCCTTAGGGCTTCAAACAAATTTTCAAATGATTTTACTATATAAGTCAAGAAAACTAAACATGATTGCATTAGGGACATCAAGTTATATTTTTGTAGTTAAAGTAATTCCTATGTACTACATATTGAACAATTCAATTAGTTAACTAAATTATTATAATCATTTTATTCTGGTACTGATTACCTTTATCCTTGCATCATCACTCTTAGTAATTATATTACCAAGGGCATATCCAAATCTAACGATAATATCTTGACGACCTGGGTATTTATTCAATATTTTTGTAATAGAGCGAAAGCAATTTTCATGATTAATGATGGATTCACAACACTCATCATGTGTTGATAAAATGCTGGAAGCAAGCAAACACATCATTTGTAATTATATATATATTACAAGTATATATACAAACACATGTATATCTGTTAAACATAAAATATGTTTAAATACAAAAATGATTTAGCACCTAATTGTTCTGGCAATATTACTGATTAAATCTAAATCAGCCGAGAAAAGTTCCATTGATGTACATAATTCTCCTATTGCACCAGTATGAACAAAGTGGCGGGAAGTGGTTTCTTCACTTGCTACATTTCTCAGTGCACCAGTTAGTTGAAACATTCCATGACTTGTCTGCTCAGGAATTGGCAACAGGTCTAATCTCTGATCAACACAACCCATTAATATCATTAGACAATTTAATAGATCACATTATTATCAAAATATCAGTTAAAATTACAATGCTCTTACAGCATTATTGACTATTTTCAGATGAAGAACCATCAGCTCTAAAATTCCAAGTTTTAATGCAACGAGGAGAAGCTGCTGGTTCATAGTTAAAAATTTCAGTGCTCCATATCCATAAATACACGCTTCAGCATCATCAACAGGACTAGCCCTTCCAAGTGAATCCACAAATAGCTCTGTAATCAGAACAATTAGTAAAAATGATATAGTTAGTTTAAATATATATCAATATCATAGTAATACAATTATTTACCTAGAATATCACCCTCTAGAAATAATGAATCATTTTTATCACTTCGAGAAACTTTGAAGATCAGTTTTGTAACAGCTAATAAATTCACACCATTTACCTTGAGCTAAAATCATTCTTATTATAAATATTTCATTTGTTAAAGCATTTTATTAATTTCAATTATTTTAAATCTATTTAATTAAATATAAATTAATACAAAAGCCTTATTAAGGCCACACAAAGAACTTATAGGGACCGCATCTTTCCTGCATATAGTATAATAAATTAATATATAATATAAAGTTTCCATCACCTGATGAGAAGTGTAAAGGATATCCCAGAAGGGAATGTTTGTAATCAAAGGGAAGGTTGTCTACCTAAAACATATTTCAGTGCCACCTACTGCACATTTATATATCAATCTGTTCTAGAGACATTATATTTCAATGAGTTTTATAATAAAATCAATATTTTATTATTTTATTTATCAACAAATATTTTATTTGCATCTATTTGGCTTCCAGCTTGGGGATGTTTTACCCAAGGTCTTCCCGCTGCGCATTCCTATTTGTTCCATGTGGGTGACACAGGACATTCTTGGCTGCCTCTTGGTCTCCATCCTATTGGTTTTACCTCCATCAGGTAAGACATGTCCATACCATCTCAGTTGCCTGTTCTCTAGGGTTCCTGTTACAATATATACATATTATATATATATATATATATATATATATATATATATATATATATATATATATATATATATATATATATATATAATCCTCTCGTTCCAAACATAGTTCCTCTGTGTTTTCCCCACAATTCTCCGTAGGAACTTCATGTTCAAAGCAGTGACATGGCTTTGTAGCCTCTCATTGATAATCCAGCTCTCCGCTCCATAGAGAAATACAGATAGGAAGAAGTGGAGCATTCTGTTCCAATCCCCTTTTTCCGATAACTGAGTTTTAGATAGGGTAGTAAACGGAATTAGCCTTGCAGATTCTGCTTGAGATTTCTGAATCCACTTTACTAGATCTACTGGTTTCACCCTTAATATTTATACCAATGCTCAATTGAACTTTAAAAAAAATAATAACAGGTACCAACAAGTTAGTTAATTATTATTAAGCAACTATTTCAGTTGATCATGTCTCAACCTTGTAACTGTCATGGCCTTAGTCTTATATCAGAACCAATGCAATATGGATTTATTGTATTATATAGCTTATAAAAATGAGAATAAAATAAATTTTATATCTATTTAGTTATGGTACTTACAGCTAACATGACTTTTGCTATATAAAGTAGAAGAAGATCTGTTGCTGATTCAACAAATTTAAACAGGACTTTGATTATCAAAGACTGCTCATTGCTTGGAATTTTATTGTTTCCTTCGGCTTTCAACTTCAAATATAGCATACTAATTGCATTGTTCAATTCATTTTCATTGGCACCTGCAAACATAATTAATTATAACAACAAAATAAGATTATATTTCTTTTAATTGTTCAGATGGTTCAAAACCTGATAGTAATTTATTAAAGTTAAAAATTTGGATTTAATTATATACATTTTTTTTGTAAGTGAGGTTTTTTATTACACGCACACACTCACACACATGCACACACAACTTAGGAGAAAATCTTCTAATGTGTATGCAACCTTTTGCTATTAAAATAAGAACTATTTAAGAATTAGTGGACTTGATTGAAAAAATATGCGGTGTGTTCCAGAAGTAAAGGGAAATATTTAAGGTGATAGTAGATCTCAAGAACTACAAAAATGTTCTTATATTCCACACAGAAGATCAAGAAATTGAAGTTGTTTTTTTAAAAATAAATATTTTTATTATTTTTTTAATAGATTTATTCATGTTTAGAATAGGAAGTGATAATTAAAGACACATTGATCGTTGATGATATATAATCTTCCAGTGTGCTACATTCCCCAAAAGCCTGGATCGCTTAGAGATCACATTCTAAATTTAATTATATGTTCAATCTGGACATAAAGAAAACTTAGAACAATAAAATATTGTTTTATTGCCCAATAGGTATAAATAAAGTTTAAAAATGTGAAAGGCTATGGAGATAATTTACCATAATTCTAATTTAAAGAGAAATGTTTAGGGGTTGCGGTTAATAGTAAAATATTATATTAACGTTTATTTAATTGCCAACGTTTCGAACAATGTTTAAAAAATGTAAAATGGTGTGGAGATAATTGGCTGTAACAATAATTTATGGATAAGTTAGTTGGGAGTGTGTCAATAGACATATTTTGTAGATTATAGTAGTGTTTATCTTAATTACCAACATTTCGAACTATGTAGTACGGAGATAATTGATTGTATTCTAATTCAAGGAGATTTTGGTCAGGTAGAGAGGAGGGGAGGGGTGGTCAATAGATACATACTATAAATTATACTTTATATATATTATAATGAAGAGAAGAATAGTTGGGGTGCTCAGTCAAAAAAGGAAGGCAAAAAATAAATTATAATATTTATAATATTATAATTATAATATTATAAAATATTATAATTTATTTTTTGCCTTCCTTTTTTGACTGAGCACCCCAACTATTCTTCTCTTCATTATCCACGACAGTCAACCAATTACCAATTATGTATATATATTATAGTTTATTATTATATAATAAACAATATAATAATATAGTTTATTATTATTACAATTATTATAGTTTATATATATTATACATTATAGTTTATCTTAATTGTCAACATTTCAGCCTACGTTGGCAATTAAAATGAATGCAGGGGCGGGATGGCAGAGTGGGCTGTCCCAGTGCCAGAGGAGCTTTTAACTCTGGCATTAATCGCCCGCCCTCACCCCCTGGTCCAGGAAAACCATGTATAACCTAAAGTTTGAGGAAGGGGAGAAAAAATTAATGTTACTATACTACATAGTATGTAACTATCGACCACACAATCGACCAATTTCTCTCAAAAAAATTTCCAAATTTTCCTTTGCGCTCCCATGACACACTTCTTGAATAAATCTTCCAACCAAATGAATCAACTCTGGATCCATAGCTGATATAACAAAATAAATAATCATTTGTCTAACTTGACTGGATTCCGAAGAATCAGGAATTGAGTACCCACTGAGCAACCCCAATCTCTTAAGAAATAACATTATATATTATTTATAACAAATAAATTAACTAACGTAAATGCAAAAAAATATCTGATTTAAATATGATCATTTCAAAAAGTATAATAAAATAATAAGATTCAGAAGTGATGGTACAACTTTTAAGTTTTACCTCTTTCGTGAAGAGTGTCAATTTCATTGACCAGGGTAAGTATTTCATTATCTTTTGGTTTTGGAAATGCTTCTACAGCTTTTTTCTCATTTCTTCTATTGTCTTCTATAGTGACATCTAGTTCTGAACTTAAATAACTTCTTTTAGCAGAAAGTGGTATGATATTTGGAGCTTTAAAAAGCTTTTGCTTGGATCTGTCAGGATTATCCAAAGTTAAAGTTTGAACATCTTCATTTTCATCAGTTTCTTTTATAGAATAATTGCTAGAAAGCCTACTTCTGCTGTCATTTCTGCTATTCAAAGGTCTATACTGACTATATTTTTTTCTTAGATGGTTTTTATTTTTTTGGCTTGCTGGAAACGATAAAGAAAGAGGAAGATGACCTTTTCCTTTCTTAGGTTCAGAAAATTCAGTCCGCTCCTGAGGGCTGCTGTGAGTTTCTCTTACAAGATCATCAGGCCATACATCTATTGGTGGTTCTGCTTCAGTTTCTTCTGGTACTGTAAAAAACATATTAAAATAAAATAAAAGTATAATATTTATAAACCTGTTTGTTCTATGATATAAATAATGTACAAAAATAATTTTTCTTTTATTTAATAACCTAGCTGCATGTAATATTATATACTGTCAGATTACTAGCAGGAAGTAATAAAGAGTCAAGAATGAACATGACAGTTGTATGGTATCTAGGAGTAGCTTACCTACACTATTTGGGGCCAAATTTATTTTTGAGACCCCAAAAAAAATTTTTAAAAATTTGTGCCATCTCTATTTTGAACATTATAAAATTAAAATAGAAAAGGACGGAAACGGTTCTGGGTGATTACCAGTGTGGGTTTAGACCGGGTAGGTCAACTACAGACCAGATTTTTTTCAGTAAGACAAATGCTGGATAAAGCCTATGAATACCATATTACATTACATTATTTGCTTGTGGACTTCAAACAAGCATATGATTCAGTAAAAAGGGATAAAAATGTACGAGCGACTGGAGAGAATAGACACTAGTCAAAGAAATTAATAAGGCTGGTCAGGATGACACTGGCAGATACATCCAGTAGAGTGCTTTTTAATGGGAGACTCCCAAATTCAAACTCTGGAAAAGTTCTCACAGGGAGAGCCATTATCTACAGTGCTTTTTAACTTGGTATTACAAGCAGCCATAACAAAAATAAAAACAAATGGCGGGGGTACAATTTATCATCACATGACACAGCATTTAGCATATGCAGACGATGTTCTCATAACAGCACAGACTGTACTAGCACTTTCAGGTGCTCTTGAAGAATTCCTGAGGGAAACTAGAGATCTAGGTCTAGAAATTAATACAGACAAGAGCATGTACTTTATGACCTCAAGAAGAGACCAGTTGACAGGAGAGGAAATGAGAATAAGGAACTGGAGATTTAAGAGCTGTGACGAATTTAAGTACATCGGTAGCACGATCACCTGCAAGAACCAAGTAGAAAAAGATATCAAAGCCCGTTTAGCTGCAGGAAATTGATGTCTGTACAGTGTACAGAGGCTGCAGAATTGCAAAAATATGTCAAGGACAAAAACTATAATATATAAAACGATTCTGAGGCTTGTTGTGACATATGGAAATGTTAAATGGTCCATGACTAAAGAAAGCAAAAGGATACCCCATATTATCCCATACACCTTAACATATATGGAAAAAGAAAGTACTCCAGAAAAATTATGGGCCAATCAAAGTGGGGGCTCAATGGAGAATTATGTCTAACCTAGAGCTAAAAGAGCTTTATGGTGAACATGACATTGTTAGAGTCATTCAACTCAACAGATTGCGATGGTTGGGGCATGTGGAAAGGATGAACTCTCCAAGAATGCCGAGAAAACTTCTCTATGGAAAGCCGTGAGATGGAAGAAGGTGTGGAAAGCCGCAGCTCAGATGGTTGGACAAAGTTGAGGGTAACCTAAAGGAGATGGGGGAGGCGCTTCGATGCTGACAGGGATATGTAGAAGAAGACTTTAGGAGGGCCATGGTTCTTCAAGGACAATAGAGCCCAGCAAAGAATGGACAAATGAATAAAGTTACAATAACTAGTAGAAGCCAAAGACAAGTGCTTGTCTCTCTCTCACAAGAAACATGAAGTAAGAAGGATAACTTGAACTGGAGAAATGATATAAGATAGATAATACAATGAGACTCATGTTTACATTAGATATACCTATATAAGTTTAAAGGTAATTGAAGTTGAGATAAAGTAATTAAGCATCGCTAAGAAAAGCTGGGCTTCCTGCAAGTAGGTACTTTTAACCTCAGTGCTCTGAAACATCTGGAAAAGTCCAGACTGCTTTATTATGCCATAAAATCTCTTGGAGATGACCCTTCCTACATGAATGAAGCAATATATAAAATAGAACATAACAATGAAGATAACTGGAACTTCAAATAAATAGAAAACAGCCCTTTTAACATTCAGAGATTAATATAGATCATAATATAATTACATTTAATGGCATATTATATTAACACTTTATACAATTTTTATAAAATAAAACTGGTACTAACAGTTTGTAAGAGAAGATGACAGCTTAAGTCCTAATCCTGGTAGCCTCCAAGGAGATTGTTTTCCTGAAATCCTAGCACTACTGTTTGTGGCTTTTAGAGGTGGTAGCTTGACAGAATCAACTTCTTGAAATTCAACTTGTCTTAAACTGGAAACAACAATTACTAAGTGAAAAGAATCAAAGCATATTCTAAAAAAAAAAATAATAAAGTACATTTTTATTAATGTTTCATAGAAACTTCATAATCCTTTTATTTAGCTTAATGAAAAAAAAAAATCAATATGAAATATTTGACTTGATATAAATAGTCAGTAATTAAGCTTGCAAAGATAAATTAGATTTTTATTTCTACTTTCGATGATATCTTTAGATAGTATATAATCTTATAAATTTATTTTCGTGAATAAATAAACCTGTTATAATATTCTTCAGAAGATAAACAATATCCAGTATATACAGTATTTTATTAATGTGTTCATAACCAGTTGTAAATATTTTAGTTAAGAATCTTTCTGTCATCCTTGCACATACATAGATGCCAAATTAAATAGCCAGCAGAGCATAATAGAATGTATAAATGCAACTAAAAGTACCACTTGCATTGCAAGTAATTCTCGCATTGCAAACAATTCTTACAAAAAATTATAAAAAATATAATTATTGTATAAAGTACTCAAACTTTAAACATTTTTGAAAGTATTAATCACACTCATTGATTAATAAAATCTCATTGATTATGCTCATCTTATCCAATCATATAATTTATATATACTTATATTGTAACTAGCGATTAAAATTGATGACAAAATTTACCTAAAAGCACTGGGTGGTCGACTCGTACCAGCTTTTAGTGGCCCAAAAAGTTTCCTTTGCCTTTCAATAGGTGTGAAAGGACGTTTAGTGTTGACTGGACGAGTTGCCATTTCTGCTCTTGCTTCTTTTATAATTTCCGCACTTGTCTTTATAACATAAGGTGGCCTATAGAAAGCTCGCCCAGGGTCCATTGTCATACCTTATCAAATCACATAATTATTACATTAGTCCTTTACCAAATGTTAACTTAATTTATAGAAAAACATGTAAGCTACAATTGTCAGAGGCGGTGAAGAAAGGTCAGAGAATTCTTTCAACTATACGAGAAAATCCGTACATCTTCAAACATAAATATTGCCCACGTGGAAGGCCACAGCATCTACATAGAGATGGTGAAGTGCAGAATTTTCCCACAGGATCTCTGTTTTTTATGCAAGAACAGAGGAAAATGGCTAACAATTGTTAAGCATACAAAGTTTTATGTACCTGTCATATCAATACAAGAAGAAATTAACTTTATTTTGATTGGTCACATTTGATTTTTCTAACCTTTGACTTATTTAATTTTTAAAGAGAAGTGTGAAAGTGATAGCATTGCGAAGGAATGAATAATTAGTTCTTCACAACTCCGGAATTTTAATGGCCATTTTTACTAGTTATTTACAACTTAATGTAAAACAGAAAAAAATTTAGTCCAATTAATAGGAAATAAATTTAAATATTTAACAAAATTTTATTATAGGATTTAAAATATTTTAAATTTATAAGAAGTGGATATATATAAACAATAGAATTTTGCATTTTATAAATGATATAAGAAAATAATAAAAAAAACTATATTACAACCCATAATGAGTTTCTTCATGGTCCAATATCAGGTTTCCACCATAATCCAAAATTGGTCCATTGCAGGCAAAAAGGAAAAAAAAAGTCTGCAATAGCTCAGATCAAACCTGGATTAAATTCCTTAAAAAATCAAATTCTTGGCATCCTACTGGTTTAGTGGTCACTACTTTTTCTTAGCATTGGGTGGTAAATTAATTAATTAATCAATTTTCTTTCCTTTTTACAAATGCAAAAAATATGACCTATTAACAAATTTCAACACTAGAAATTGGAGATTATATAAGAATACTTGATTAAAGGTGCTTTTAACTTCTATTGCAAAACATTTATTGCCAATTAATACAATGTTTCTCAAATTAAAAATTACTTGTTTAAAAATTGTCCCTAAAAAAAAAAAGAAACACTAAAAATATCTCGCAATAGATTCAGTTGATACAATGGAAAAAATTATTTCCTTTCACAGTACTTGCATAGATGATACTCTATGTTAAAAAAAAAAGTACAAATGATTCCAGGTATTAAAGATAACGAGTTAAAGCTATTTCTAGAATTCATGAAAGAAAAAAACATAATGCAGAAACTCAGAAGTCAAACAAAGAAACTATCTGTCTATTGTACTAAAAGTAAAGTAGTTTGATCTTTTCAAAATTTCAAGTATTTTTGTATCCCACCTTTAAAATTGTAGTTTTATACAATACAAGATAATATTTACTACCGATTTTACAATTAGATGACTGATTTGATTATAAAATATGTTGACTATATTAGAAAAGAATTTCAACTATTATAGATTGGCTGATGATTGAGCTTTGTTTAGATAAGAGTTCAAGAGAGCTTGGGCTAAAATGATTGGGCTCAATTAAGATTTTTTTCTACACCCCATGCAATAAATCTCATAATTTTTATAGGAGAAAATTATAGGATAGAAGAAAATTATGGCAGTTTCTAAACAGTGATAATTTGTATACAGTAAACTCATGAGAGACTACAGACAGTTTGTCTACAAGTAATTAATAAACTGTAATTAATAATAGTTAATAAACTTTTCCTAAATAAAATTGATTCAATTTGATGTAATTAATTTATAGTCATATTATTTTTCATATTAACTAGAATTAATTTAAAATTTTGTGGAGATGGTTGACCGAGATTACAATATGAGAAGGAGTTGGTCAGAGGTGCAATCAAATTAAATGCCATATTCTACGATAGTATTTTATTAGTTACGCCGACATTTCGACCCAATTTGTAGATCTTCATCAGAGCTATAAAAGATACAATATATAAAAATCTAGGCATGCAACACATAACTTTCACTTACTGCTCTGCTTCGAATAGAAATTATTTTCCGGCAATGATGGAGTATTATAAAATTTTTGAAGTGCAGCTTAAACGGAGCTAAAGCTTAAAGTTTACAGACAACAAAAAATTAAGACCATCAAAATTACAAAAAGTCTATTTATTTATATCGATGGCCGGAAATAAAAATCTAGTTACTCCCATCTTCTTTTATAAACCACATAACTTCAGTCTCTGAGCCTTTCGGTTGACTAACTCCAATTTCAAAATGTTTGAGTAATATCATTTTAATGATATTTCTAATTGGAAAAGTTATATCTGTACAGACATTGAGTAAGCAGATTCCAGTGTAGGTGATAGCAGTGTTGAAACAAAAACTGTGAATAAAGGTATAAATTATGCCACTAGAAACATCACTAAAATTAATAATAAAGAATGTTGAAATTAGATTTAGTCATTCTGTCAATTGAAAGGCTCATATATGCCAAGAGACATTTGAATATTTAACCTATAAATGATTATGAATTGAAGGATTCTTAGTTATTTTCCATTGTAAAGTTTACTAAAATGAAATTACGAGGCTTTCACTGCCTACCATGGATAGGTCAAAAGTTGTCACACTAATTGTAAGTGGATAACGTTGGGATTTCACAAAGGGAAAATTTGTCAAATTATTTGCTAATTTAATTTTCTAACAGTTTACTTGATGATTTTTTGGAATAAACGACCAATAGATACCTAATCATTTAAATGTTATAGACATATCCATGAAATCTATATAAATGAAATAAAGCTTTTGTCTGTACAATGAATAGAATCAACCCGTTATATGATATCTTTCCATTTCATACATTACAGACACCAAATCCAATTTTAAAAAATTTTTTGTCTGTCTTTATGTCCGCATTGTCCAATGCAATTTTGTCAGGGGCTAGCTCAGCAATGGCTAATGGTAGACTTTTGAAATTTTAACATTATATTTAAGTTTGTTTGGCTTAAAACATAGGCTTTGAATGAAAACAAAATATTGAATAGAACCAAAGTTATGAATTCTCCCGTAATTTGTCTAGAGATCCTTGTTAGGCAATTACTTATTTTTATTCTCATTCCAACTTACTCCACTGCAGGGCAAATTTAAAAGTTGTACTATTCAACTTCGAACTGATGGAAAAAATTATCACAACTCAATGGGAACTTTTGGATTTGAATAGTCTTTGATTATTGATACAGACTTGAATTACTGATTTACTTTTCGATATAATTTATTGAAAACGTATTTGGTTAGGTGATAATCACAAACTTGGAATTCGATCCGTTTGGATAACAATTTGGTACCAACATCCTTGGGTTTTGTTTTTATTTTTTCTCTATAGTTTAATTGGAATTTGACCCGGCTTCGTATTTTAATAATGAATTATTGAAATAACATTTATTTGGCATGAATTTCTTTGAGTTTTTATCTTCTTTTTTTTCTACAGTTACTTGTCACTTGACCCGACTTTGTCTTTTGATATTGAACTATTGCAATTAAGAATAGGTTATCAGCCGCTTTTTATTGAAACGAATTTTGTGGGTTTTAAATGCCTAAAATAAAGTCCAATTTAATTTAATTTAAATTCAAGTTAACTATACACCCGTCAACGACAGGTACATCAGCTAGTATTTTAGTATTTTTAGTGTTAGTACTTTTTTAGTATATAGCTAATATTTTAAACAACGGCACTGGCTTGATTCAGTATATTTTAAATTTTTTTTAAACTTAAACAAATATTTATAGTTTACATTTAGTAAAAAAATGTCATTTAATTTCCTTGGAAACATGTGATTTACATAAAATAATATTAGTTTTCTAAAGTTATTATTTATATTTTTTTCGTCACTCTCCGTTACCTTATATATCTATTTGATATTATTTTTTCTAAAATTCTTCGCTTTTGACCTGGATAACCATTTTTCGTTTTTTCTCCAGTTTTCAATTATCATATTCTTTCAAACTTCATATTTAGCCATTTTTTATAGTAACTATCAATAAAAGAGAGTTATATTTGTTAAATAAACCATATTTCAGGTACTTTAGAGGAAGACGTATATGAACATTAGGTATTTAAGTCCTGTAAAGTGACATCAATGGGAATAAGACCTAAATGATATTAAAGACTACTTAATTATACAATGATACGAGTTTAATCAAAATTGTTAGAGCCATTTTTGAGAAAAATGTAAAATGTGTTTCATGTTGATATAAAGTGACACTTTCGGTTAAACAATTTTGACTAAAAAGGTGCAGTAACATCTGAGGTATATAAAAATCTTAAATCTGCAATTTCATTTTCATGCGGCTCTGCGATTTTGAGCTAGACTGTTCACATACATACACATACACACACACACATAACACCATTTTGCAGGACTTAGTTATTTGGACTTAGGAGACCTCAAAACGTGTATTTCTGTTGACAACTCAAATTTGAAAAATTTCACGATTGTAATATTGTCCCTTATATATATTTCATATATGAAAGTGAAAAAATGAATTATTAGTAGATATTAAACAAGTAACATTTGTCTGATAAAGAAATTAAAGAGCTTATAAGATGACATCAGTGAAGTAGAGGGTTATAGTATAGTTAAAATATAAAGTATTTTATATATATATATATATATATATATATATATATATATATATATATATATATATATATGTAAGATACAAATAAAAAATAAAAAGAAAGGTGAATTCAGCATGTAAGTAAAAATGTAAACAAATTGTGATAAAATAAAAATAAGATATCAGTGGATAATAAACTAGTAAATCATCTATTTATATCTTATTCATTAATTATATCTTATTTATTGTATTTTAACTACACTATAATCCACTAATTCACTGATGTCATCTTATAAGTTCTTTATCAGAAAAATGTTAATTGTTTAATATCTACTAATAATTCATATATTAACTTTGTACATTTTATATTTTGTATCTTTTGTAGCTGTTGATAAGACCTACAAAGTGGGTCAAAATGTCAGCGTACTCAACAAAATACTATTATAATATATAGTACTTAATTTGAACACACCCCCAACCAACTCATTCTCAAATAGAATTAATTTCATTCTAGTTAGCAAGCACATTTCATTAATTAAATTATGCTATTTAAAAACAATATTAAAACATTGAAAATATTCTGTACTTACAGGAGAAAAAGCAATGGAATCATTACCCATGATTATTATATTTATTATTCTTTACAGAGCAAAAGTCATAGCTTGCAGTTTGGATCACATCTGACAAAAAGAAAATCTCAGGTATATAACAGGTCAAAGACATTGAATTATAAAAGCTAAGCAATAGTTATGCTTGATGTACATGCAAGGGCTATTGATTGCTGTCATAGTAACCACTTCCACAATTTGATACAATGGAAAAATACATTGGAATGTTTTTATTGGACAGATTGAATAACAAACTAATAACTTATTAACACACTCACTACATATATTCCATCATTATGAATTCACAATCTAATAAGTAAATCGAAATTTAATAATTACATTGCTCAAACAGATAACAACTACAATGTTTGAATCAAATAATATTTTTATTAGGTAACACAGAAGTTAACCATGTAATTCAAACAAACAAAAAAATACACTGACTAATTCATTGTTTCAGTAGAAATGATCAAAATAGGACTATATTCTTGAAAATTACTATTTTTTTTCTCCAGTAATTTATAAGAAATAAGTTTAATCAAGGCAAACTGGATTATTTATTAATTATAAATAGCAAACTGGATGAATATAAATCACATATGCTTTAAATTGGTATACATTAAAGTTCAAGTCTTAATGTGAATTTTAAAACTTAATTTTGACCTATAAAAAATTACTTAATGGGTTTTAAATCCTGTATCTGGAACAAGTGAGTAAACAGAATGGGTTATATTTTTAATATATAGTTTTAATTATTTTCTTGAATAAACACCAGAAAATTAAGTACTAAGTATTTTATTAAATTTATTTGGCAGGATGATTTAAAAACCAGATGTTCAATATAGATGTAAACTAATTTAAATCTTTCAATTAGCAATATCTTCTTTTATTAAATTATTGATAAATTGTGTTATATTTGAAAGGATATAATTTCCAATTTCCAACAACCTTAACTTTTACTTAGCTTAAAGACACATTTTTTATGAGTGGGTGATTCTATGAAAAGTAACCATTGTGATGGCTTAAAATAAAAAATAAATAATATTAAAAGCCAAATTATGTGGACTCAGAGGTGCCGACAAGGGGTTTTCATGGAGCAAGTTACGGTATCAAAACTTTTGAGGAGACCACTGAAAGTGTAATTGTATATGACCTATGATTTTTAAAATTTTACCTTAGCTTGCACTTTTTTTAAGATAAGAGAAATAAAATATCTTAGAAGGAGAAGGGGGGAGGAGGTCATGTCCCTCGACTTTGGGGGGATGGGTATCCCTGTTTGGAGTGTTTATTTTATACCATTATACTAGCAAAATATTTCTGATCTATCATGATCAAAGGAAAAATTGATTATTCACCTTGCTAATCTCAGTAACCACTTACCAAAGACACAGTATCTGGTATACCTTTCTAGTCTAGTCATAAAAACTAAAATAAGAGGTCAGTTATGTGCCAGGTATTAATTATGTTAATATATATCTTAACATAGGTATAGCTGGTTCTGAAGGACTAGTGTTGCCCAAATGCGAGACCGAGACGAGTCTTGGTCTTGCAAACTCAGATGACATATTATAATTAAGAGTATCTAAAATCTAATTAGTAAAATGATTATATACATAGCTTTGGAGGGCATATTAAGGAAAGAAGGTGGGTACAAGTGTTACAATATTATAATATTGATACAAAAAACAACAACATACTAATAACTAAACCGAATTGGAAAGTAACGCAAAATAAATTTTATAGGTAACCAATTTTAGCGATAAAATATAAAAATAAAATAAGTAGAGTAAATAAATGATTTATATATGTTCCTTAAGACTTTTAAGTGAAAACGCATGTAGATATTTACTATATATTAAATATTTACAAATTAATATGTTTACAAAACAATGAATATTATTTTGGGAGACAAACATATCTCAATACTAGAGAAATATGAAATGACGATCTTCCGGGTCCTCAGAAGGGGCACCAATCATTGTACAGCGATAAAAAATACAAAACATTTGATTGAGGCCGATAGCAAGGGCCCCCAAAATATACGAAATAAACGAATAAAAACAATTATTTTTGAGGCCAAATAGGGAAACTCTGAATAAGGAATTTAGTTCACTTTTGTTGTCAAACAATAGCGGTAAACCTAGAAACCGATGCCATTAGGAACTTCATAACTAGTGTCGGTCGCCGGGGACCGATATCGTCGGGTAAGACATGTAAGAGATGTGCTCAGCAGTTAACGTGTTAATGGTCAATATTTTTTTCTTATTCTGCACAAAAAATGAAATCGATTGATAAGTAACAACCTAAAAATCTAGACAAAGAAAAGGCCAAAATAAATAAGGTAAATTTTGTTTGAAATTATATGATTTTTTTTCTCGGTTCTTAATAGTCCGAGAGCCCGTGGGAAAAAAATCAACATTATTTGATGAAAGTATTTTTTTGAACATTTATAACATTTATATTAAAAAATGAGTCTGCCAGTCGGACCTTGCAACATGTGAAAATGGCAGCTGATTTAATGAATATTAGACCGGTAGCTTGAGGATCGAACGCAAAATTCATTGCGAAAATTGTGGATAAAGTTTCTATTTTTTTAACTTGTATATATTGGTTGAGACATGTAAAAAATAAAATTGCTAACGAGGGTCACTAAGGGAAAACTTTTTACAGCCAAAAAAGTCAGATTTTTTCGATCTTTTTTTTTCAACTATAATTCCTAAACAATGCTCGAACGTTAAATTGTGCATCGATTGAATACTTAAATTTAAGAATTTGGTTAAGTAGTATGGGGGATAATTACGGTCAACCAACGCTGGTTTTTACCAAATTCGTCAAACATTGAGATAAATTACTATAAATGGCTCTGCAGCTTGGAAATGAGTTCTCTAAGAAAAAAACTCATTAGAATAAAAGTTGTATAGCATCCGATTCCGCATCCACTGAGCACTGACATTTTTTAATGTACATCAATTATATCTCTCGAATCGGGATTCGTTATTTCTTCATGAAATTCTATTTTTTTTACAACTCATTTCTTAAAATCCTTCGCTGCTGAAAGGTGGAAAACAGTTCTATGCTATGTATATACTAGACTCTTAACAAGAATATCTCAGTAGAATACACACCCATATTGTTGAAATATTTAATATTAAATATGAAATATTTAATATTAAATATGAAATATTCTGAAGGACTAGTGTTGCCCAAATGATCTTCATTACCCTTCATCTTGATCTTCATCACAATCACAGTTATCTTTATTACCATTTTTCAGCCATCGCTATTAACTACAGATTTCGACCGAGGCAAATGACCTAGATTAAAAATGTTCGTACTCAGTGGACACTGAATACAATGCTCTAGAACTTTGTTTCTATTTTGGCTGTAAAAAGTTTTTCCTAGCTGATCCTCTTTAGCAATTTTATTTTTTTACATGTCTCAACCAATATATACAAGTTGAAAAAACATAAACTTTACCAACAATTTTCGCAATGAATTTTCCGTTCGATCCTCATCAAGCTACTGGCCTAATATTTCTTATTTATTTATTTATTTATTTATACCTTAAAGGTACTATTTGGCTGGCGCGGTCGACGACAGTGACCGCTATTCCACGCTGCCAACCGCTGTTGGCGTAGCTATTTCGCTGAAACTGCTCACTGGGGTTGTTATAACCTGCCTATAACCTTCGAACATTTCGCTGTATCTTCGAAGATAAAAAGATGGACATAATATAAGAATAAAAATGAACTTCCTATAATAATGAACATCTCTGACTACCGCTTTTTTATTTGAGTTGGAAAAAGAAGAGAAAATGTTGTTCATAAAGAGAAGGAATATCAGTATTTCGATGTGATGCTCATCATCAAAGTTCCTCTGATATTACATATTATTAGTTTGAAAAATAATAGTAATTAATACATAATTGGTTAGTAATAAATATCATATATTTGCAATTAAATCTCAGCAAGCGATGTTTTATAATTTTATCAATAGTAATCAGTAAATCACCACTTTAATTAAAAAATACAAATCGTTTTTTCAATGGGTGGATTTTAGTATTTATCTGACGATAAAATTTGTTGGATTCTTTAATTTATGTAATATAGTTTGTATTTCGCTGTAAAATATTTCTGGTGGAATAAATAAATGAATAATCTTGTTACTTCAACCTTAAAAAAATAATTTACTATTGCATTGTTTCAGTTTTAAACAATATTTGTTATAATTTTGCCAGACTTGACAGAAACATAGGAAATAAAATGTATCGAAGTGACTGTTATCATCAAAACAATGCTCTGATATGATAATATAACCTACAACCGCCGAACCGCCAACAGCTCCACTGCTTCAAGAGGAGTCCGATACGAGCAGCTTAGATATGACGTCATACCTAGACTGCCGAGCAGCGCCAGCGAAATAGGTTCCTTTCTATTCCACTAAAGCAGTGGTCAACCGCGAGCAGTCGCGGTCGTGGACCGCGCCAGCGAAATAGTACCTTTAAATCAGCCGCCATTTTTAAGATGGGTTTAGACATTTCATGAACTATGGAAAACACAATTATCTAACTTAACTAACAGAGACGATATTGCCAAATTATTTATTTTATTTCTCTTGATACTGACAGCAAATGCAAAAAATCCAAAACGAGAAACAATAATTGTTTGTAAAATGTCTAAACACACCTTCACAGGTAGTAAGATCCGACTGTCAGACTCTCGTTTTTTAAATATATATGTTATATATATTCAAAAAAATGCTTTTAAAGTTTTCATTAAATAGTGCCGATTTTTTCTCACGGCTGTCAGATATAGTACCCATTGGAAGAAACACTGGCATATATGGCAAATATTTGTCGGCACGGGCGGATCTACGGAGGGGGCTTTCGGGCTGAAGCCCCCCCCAAAATGGAAAAATTTAACCATGTTTTATGGGAAAAAAAATTTAAAAAATACCTCTTAAAGTATTATTGTTCGTGTAATTATATTTAAAAGTACTTAAGGAATAGCTTAAACACCATTTCATATAGGCAGTTAGTTTCTTTCTGTTTTTCCAAAGTAATTATCGTAATTTTTATGAAAAAAAAAAGGTTTCGGGCTGAAGCCCCCCCCCCCAAAATTAAATCCTGGATCCGCTAGTGTTTGTCGGTGTAATATCATCAAAACAAATTTAGTTGAAATCGGTGACCCACTGCCTGTAGACTCTCCTTGTTAGAGGACGGATGAAGGTATATGTAATACACATTGTGGATACGAAACCGACAGCTTACAAAAAAAGGAGAACGAAAATAAATTCTAAGTCCATATGAAAAATCTTCTTCATAGTATAAATTGTTTATGAAAGACTTGAATAAACTAGTTTAGGACTATTTATTTAATACAAAGTTTTCCGTGCGAGAGCTACCCCAAATAAAAAAAATCATTGTTCCATATTTTTTTCAAATCTGAGATACAATGACCATAATGTACAATGACATTATTCTCTTTTCCAATTTTAATACATACACTTCAGCTACCAGATAAATGTAAGCACCTGTCAAGAAAAATATAATCACTAAAAGCATTATTATTCCTGTTAATGCTGATCTCCAATCAAAATTAAATACTGAATCCGCTGCGGCCCTGATTAGGCCATTAGAATTTTTTTTTAAAGTTTATTTTTTGACAATCAACTCTTCAGACTCGAACTTCATCCGATATTGCCTCAACATGATCAGAAATCACGGTCTCAGATATGGATATTTATGTTATTAATTGTTTGTTGTCTTATTGAAACTAACTGTAGGAGATATTAAAGTGTACCCTTGAAATACACTAGAATGTATTCCGATTCTGTATTCATTATTATTTATTTTTTTAAATATATGAAATTTGTAAATTCAAATGATTGGCGGTGTGAATGTGGAGTTAAGGAATTTCCATTAATAGGTTTTTAAAACTTCCTTTGCTCAACTTGTTCATTTAAATGGCACTGCCTACAATTTCCCCCGCAAACCGATTTAATCCGGAGGTTGTTTGTGTTGATGTTGGAAAGGATAATACTAATACTTATGTATGTGTTCTGTTAACTATGAAATGTAACTTTTTTATTAAATTGGTTTGATATTGTGTTTTTCAAAACCCTTGCCTATTTAAAGAGTTCTTTAAGGTATAACTCAGAACCTATTTTGCTAATTTAAAATAGCTAAATACCGATTTTTAACTTGAAGTACTAAAAAACCCAGTGTTTATTTTTAATTCTAATTAATCAGTTTAGTATTAAGCCTTTAATTATGTATGTATGTAATTTGTGGAATCTAGAATTTTTATTTATTAAGGCTACAGAAATAATAACTAATATGACAACTATTGTATATGTACACCTCTTTACTTTTCATTACATTTGTAGATGGATAGTGTTAAAGTTGCCCTACGTATTCGACCATTGGTAAATTCTGAAATAAACATTGGTTGTCGAGCGTGTATTGAACGAATACCAAATGAACCTCAAATCACCATTGGAAAAGGGGCTCAAATGTTTACTTTCAATTATGTTTTTGATGAGAATGAAGGTCAGATTAAAATTTATGATGAAGCTGTGAAGTCATTAATAGACAACCTTTTTAATGGTAAGCTAAGCATGATTACAATGTTTTTCTCTGTATTTTTAAAAGTATAACAGTTATATCTGAAATGAACTAGCGAGATAGCCATTAGGCCATGAACATGGGTCTAGTTTTTTTCAAATTCTCTACCTTGAGATTATTTCACTCAGTTTAAACATTAACACACACTCAGCTACTAAGGTACCCCAAATCATTCAGTCATTTTGCTAAAAAAAACTTGACACTTATTGAATGTAATATTGACAACATTTACGTCACTTCTTGACTTTGTCGCTGCTGATCAAGAATCTGTTTTTGATATAATATTGTTCGAAAGCTCCTTGACAGATGTATTACTGCATGTAAATTAATCTGTTTTCAAAAATGCTTAGTGCCCACCCATAAAAATTGAGCATCACTTGTTAAGTATTATGATTCATTGCACCTGATTCAAAAACAGCCAGTTATCATAAATGTCTGTTTAATTAGAATTTGGCTAAACTTGTCTTGATTAATAAGAAAACTTGATATAATTGATCCTCTTACCATCCTTAAATCCAAGAAATCTATACCAATTCTTCTACCCCTGAGTTGATTCCTTTGATTCCTCCTACCAGTCCTTATTCGTTGATAGCACTACAACCCATGCGTCTCTGTTCTATGCTGCTTCTATACATCAGTGCTTGCATACTTGCACCCTCTCCTAGACTGCTACCTAGGAAAGATACTCTTAGGGTGTGTATTGTTAATGATCTTTGTCTGTAGTATGAGCGTTTGTTTATTGTGCTGTTTTAGTGTAATGTGTGTTTATTGTGCTGTTTTAGTGTAATGTGTGGGTGCTAGTATAAGTGTTCCCCCTACGTCTTGTTGATCTACTAGTCCATCTCTCTCAAACACTAATATAATATATATAATAAACTATGTATAATTTTGGTGATGTGTTGAACCTCACATTAAAAAATTAGGCAATATTCCACTATTTAATAGAGAAACAACCTTTGTAATTATTCAAATTATCTCCAGGATGAATTATACATTTTATCAGAAGCTGACCAAATACAACTTCTGCCAAATACTTGGCATTCAGGATTTATAGTAAATATCTTTCTATTATTTAAAAAAAATAAATAAATAAAACAAAAAAATAATAATATGCATTATATGTGATTAATTAGTATGCCGTGTTTGAAGCAACCCAATGTAATTGGGCAGCACCCTTTTATGAAAATAAAGTGATTCTCTCTTATTGAAATATAATTATTTATCGATATTACTAACTTAAATTTGATTCGGTACTAGTTCACAAGAGTTCCGCACGGATTACGCATGGTTCACAATCACTTCGGTCACACTTGTTCATGGAATCCCGAATGCCTTCGGGTTTATCCGACAGAGAACGAAGGCGACCGATCTCTTGAATTTGTTACGATTAACTTTCCCGCCATTTAAGTACTTCTATAACCTTAACCATGTTCAGTTATATTAACGTTATTTAAAGTATTGACTTAAATTCGAAATTTAGACTACACATTATGAAACCTGAATTGAACATGCACATATATTATATATATGTGAAAAAGAAATATTAATAGATAAAAACATTTAATTATTACATCTCTGAATGCTATTTCACAATATTTTTCTTATTTATGATTTCCATTATTCATTATCTTGGAATCATCAGATATTCTTCTTCAGTTTTTTCCTCAATACGTTAATTCCTTGCTCGAAAATAAACATGATTTTTTTATTTTACGAATGACTACAATAATCGCCATTCGGATTATTTATTATCCAAATGGTAAAAAACTCTTTTATACAATTTATAGTAGATAATATACAACAGTATATGCGTATTTATAGCCACTACATGTAAGCACGTGTCAATAAAAATTTTATTTCTAAAAGCATTTTTTTTTTACAGGCCTTGAAGAAAGACTCAAACATTATTTTATATATGTTTTCTTTTTCTTTCACAATAATGACCGTTATAATGCAAATTAATAATTAACTAATTAGTAAATACACAATTTGTTAATACATTTTTAATAAGGAAGTTCCATGAAGTGAATACGTTTTTTTTTTTCTTTCAAAAATGCATTAAGAGGGACAATAGCTGACGTCATAAAAGACGACAACATTCGGCTGTTTTCGGGATTCCATGAACAAGTGTGATCGAAGTGATTGTGAACCACCATAATCCGTGCGGAACTCTTGTGAACTAGTACCTTTGATTCTTATTCATGATTAACTTGACATAGATATTATTAACTTTAATTTGATTTCTATTATGTTGTAGTATTCAACATTTTGTTGTCCATCTTATTATATTTTTTTTTTAGGATATAATGTGACAATACTGGCTTATGGACAAACAGGGTCTGGAAAAACTTATACAATGGGTACAAATTACTCTGGAGAAGAAGAACTGGGCATAATTCCTAGAGCAATATATGACATCTTCAACAGAATCAATACAGATCTTGAAAATGAATTCAAAGTAACTGTAACATTTGTTGAGGTATTTTTTATTTTTATATTCAAAGCTATGTTTGGTATACTATTGTTTATTCAGATAATAGCATCATTGAAATTTCTTAATTAAACGTCTAACTGTGTATTTTTCAGCTTTACAATGAAAGTTTATATGATCTACTTACTCGAAAACCTCGTGAGCAAAGCATAGTTGAAATGAGGGAAGTAGTTGGAGGAATATGTATTCCTGGATTAACAGAAATAGAGGTGAATTCACCTAATGAAACATTGAATAAATTAAAAGAGGTTAGCTGGAATATATTAATTATATTTATATTAGCTTAAATCTAACTGCTAAGAACTATATAGAAATTAAAAATATATTTCTTTTCCTGGCCAGTTTTTTTCTAGATTAAAATATTATATATATAACCAGTCATTCAAATTTTTTATTACTAGTAGACACCATAACATAGGTTTGGACACAAATCAGTGATTTATTGATATTGGCTCGGACCATAAATCAGGAAATTTTTTTTAAAGAAATCACGAAGTTATATATAAAATTATCTATAAATGTAACTGGTTTATATATAATATGAGCCTTTTAGTTGACAGATTGACTTAAATCCAATTTTAAAATGTTTGAGTAATTTTAATGATAATTCTAGTTCGAAAATTTATAATGTCTATATATACGGTGAGTAAATTGATTCCAGAGTAGATGATTGTAGTGTTGAATTTCTTCAATAATTGGCAAAAATCAAATCATCTCACAACAATACAAGTTTGACGTAACAGTATCGTTTTAATAAAGTTGAACATATTCGAATTTCGTATCTCTTTACTTAGATTAATCCACAAAATTAGTTTTCTGTTACCATTTAAAGAAAACTGGTGTAGAATCGTAATGAATGTTTTTCCAACCTTATGGTCAGCATGTTTTTGGTAAATCACAGCGCTTTGAGTGGTTTAAAAAAAAATTGAAAAATGTCAATTTTAATGAAGAACGTGGAATGTGGGTGTAATCTATTATAAGTTGCATTGTTAATACTAAACACTATCAGCAACAAAGATCTATTTGAATCGAGTATTGTGTGAAAAATGACAATAATATAAAAGAAGACGATAGTGAGCAAAATGAGTTGGCTTCACATACAGCAAAACCAGTGAAGGGAATGATTGAAATATTCAGTTGGGAAATTTTTTTATTAGCAAATGCTAGCTTACCCACTTCCCTTTGCTCTGTCCACCTAATGTGATGCAAATTAAATTAATTTGTGTCAATGGGATACACACTTCTAGCAGTGCTTCACTTTTCTGAAAATATTCGAAAATAATTTGTCGACTAATTTATCAGTTTTTCTGCCATGGTATTCATAAATTGCTAGCAGAGAAATGGGGAAAATGTGTACTTAGCAATGGAAAATATTTCAATTAAAATATTTTTTGAACTTTTAAAAATTATTTTTATATTTTATATGAATTTTTGACTAAATATGGAAGGTAATATCCTAGAAATATATAAAATATATGCTGCTTTATTTTCTATTAAATTATAAGAAGCACAAAACAAATGTGTATAAATCCTATATCTATTAATAAGGGAAAGTCTTGCGTTTGATTTGTTTTCTTGCATATTCCGATCATTGTGCTGCTTATAAAAAAAAATGTCAATGTTTAAATCTTTATCCTTTTTATTAATAGACTGTATAAATGTTCTTTTTGATGCATTATTTACTGTTTTATTTTAAATCATATAAAGAAAAAAAAACACTCCTGCTACATACTACTAAGGAAAGGTAATGGATAAAAATACTTGATTCTCGATCTTAGAATATTCTTAAGAGACAGTTTGATCATTCCTTTGCTCTAACCATCAGACATATCCTGTAAGGTGCTTGGCTCCAGTTATTACATTAGTTAACCTAAGATTTTTAACAACAAGTAAGCATCTTGATGTTGCTTGGAATGCTGATTGTTATTAGATAATAAACATTCAGTTTACATTTATGTTATTGTTGATAACTTTGAATAGAATAAATTCAAGAATTCATATTTTTTTATTTTTAGGGATCGACAGGGCGAGTTGTAGGTTCTACTGCAATGAATGCCCAATCTTCAAGGTCCCATGCGATTTTCACGATTAGTGTTAGGATTGTGAATAAGTAAGTTTTTAAAAATATTTCTTCTTTATATTAATCAAAGAATATATATCTGGGAGATGTGGTTCAAATGAAATAAGTTGTCTTTACTCATTCAGATGCAAATAAAGAGTTAGTTATCAGCCATTTTCTTCCATTTTCAATATTATTTCTGATTAATTCCTTCATCTCTGGTTTTTTCCCCTTATTTTTTCGAAAACTTTTCCTTTGCCCGACTCTATTTAAAATCATGGAACATCATTCTCAATACAATTCAATATTACCATTTCTGATCCATAATGTATCCCCAAGTATTCATCACATATGTCCCCACAATCCATGATAATGTCTCTTGACTTAAAATTCATTTAAATTAACACCTTAATGCTAGATTTTGAGTTTTCTTTAAAATACCACTCTATATAACAAACTCTTTATGTTTGCTGGATTATTCATTGTATGAATGTCAACACTTATTAATCCTCTTCCAAATGATAATGTTTGTTTATCTCTGTAGCATTTCGCTGCTCAGAAATAATTTGATCTTTACTAAGATGTCAACACATGATTTTGATATAATTTTCTTTTACGAGTTCAAACTCGGCCGGAATGGGATCCAGACTGCCAAAAACATCAATCAAGTCTGGGTCGAGAGCAGCATTAATGAATGCACTCTTCAACGGTGATTAAAAAAAATTTGGGTGGAAGACTTCAGCATTGAAGGCTGTAAATAACATGTTAGAAGTTAAATTGTAAATATTCTTTTTGGCAGGAATAGTGAATATTCCTTCCGTTTTTATCGGGGGACTAGGTTATTTACACTCGTGAATATTAAAACAAAACCCCGGCACTGGATATAGACTAATTTATTTCTACAACTGTAATAAATTGACTCTATTAAAGTGTTATAACTATAGACTTGATATTCTAAATCTTGTAGTAGACTTCTCTTCTCAGGTCACATCGTTCCGCCTCAATGTCTCGGCCTCAAGTGCCTTCTCTTCTCCTTAGGTTACCTCCTTCCTCAATGTCCCTGCCTCAAGTGCCTTCTTCTCTCCCTGGCGTCCTTCACCAGCTGTTGCTACCTGCTCCATCCTATTCCAACCTTCTTTCTTCATCGATTGTTTATCAATTTGAGACTTTTCAATGAATAATTTGTCCACTGCATAATTGAGTACAATTCATCATGCAACCTCACATTCCTATATATTTCTTCTCATTCCCTCACACAATGTCACACAAAGGAGTAAATACTGGGGGCTATCTACTACAAGCCAAAGAAGGTCGTGGAAAGACTTTCTCTCTTGATGACAATGTTCTGCAGGCTTTGGTGGAAGAACAACTGTTCAAGAACTTGCAGGGAAACTTAACCTTAGCAAATCGATCATCGATGTCTACCTTAAGGTGATTAAAAAGCTTGAAAGTTGGGTTCCAAACACATTAAATGACCGTCTAAAAACCAGTGTTATGAAGTTTTTGCTACACTTCTTTGCCGAAACGAACACGACCCTTTTCTGTTCAGCATTGTTATGTGTGATGAAAAGAATACTTTACAATAACAGTAGACATTCTGGACCTTGGCTCAACAAAGGAAAATAAACAGAACATTTTCCAAAGCCCCAGCTCATCAAAAAAAGGTGATGGTTACTAAATAGTTACCAACAAATGGTGGGCTTCATTTGGTTTGATACACTACAGCTTCTTAAATCCTGGAGAAACAATCAATGCCGAATTGTATTTCAACCAAATTAATGCAATGCATTAAAAATTAGCAATAATGAAGCCCTCTTTGATCAATCGGAAGGGATCCATTTTGTTGCATATGTGACATGTGCCCGGCCACATGTTTCATTTTGTGATGTCACGAAAACTATTGGAGCTTGGATATGAAACTCTGCCATATCCCCCCTACTCTCCAGACCTCTCGCCTATGAATTATCATTTTTTTATACATCTGGACCACTATTTACATGACAAAAAATTTAATGGACAAAGGAAATTAGAAAATGCGTTTTTGGAGTTTATCAACTTAAAATGGAAAATTCTATTCCGAAGGAATGTTAAAGTTTCCGCCACGTTGGCAGAAATATATTGATAGTAGTTAAGACTATTTTGATTAAATAAAACAGTTGTAATTATATTTTTTTTCTTTAAACCAAATTCATATATTATTTTCCCGGACAACCCAATAATAATTTTATTGTTATATGTGTTTTTCTTTCTCTACAGTACCCTCCCTATCAAGTTCATAAATTAGTTTGGTGGCCAATAATATAAATATTTATCACATTGTTATAACTCTGCTATGTTGATACATATGTGTCATGTTTTGATTTTTTTTATTTTTCTGAAAAATCTATGTTTAAAATTTTATACAACTACAGCATACTCAATGATTGATCATTAATTCTATTGAACATTTTCCGGGAAGGTAAGTTGCCATACTTTCTGTTCCAATTTCAAGTCCACAGGAATCATAAACAATGGAACACATAGCATTTATCACAAAATTTATTTTGAATAAAAAATTCGTGTGGAGTGAGTGTCCTATTACAGCTAAATTATCACACTTTTTTGCTTCTAAACAACTCTTAAAGTATCTGGAAACTTGTTTTACACTCTTTTCAAATAAATAAAAGTTGCTGCAATTTGAGGCCAAAATAAGCTATGTACAACTTCACAAGTTATGTACAATTACTTTCTAAAGTCTAAGATACAAGTCTTCAAAAATTGACCATTTTTTCCCAAAAAGTTTTCATTATCATCTCTTATTTTATGAAGTATCAAAAAATGTTTGTTCTACTGGACAATTCATGTCAATGATGAATGGTGAATGATTTTGTAATCTTGTTTTATAATCTAGATAATATTTGTTTTTTGTTTGTTACGTTTATAATTTTATTATTTTTTTTTAGGAATAATATTGTGAATTCAAAATTTCACTTGGTTGACCTTGCTGGTTCAGAAAGGTCCAAAAAAACTGGAACTACAGGAGAGAGATTTAAAGAGGGTGTAAATATTAATAAAGGATTGCTTGTCCTTGGAAATGTCATATCTCAGTTATGTGAAGGAAATCATGGATACATTAACTACAGAGATTCTAAATTAACCAGATTGCTTCAAGATTCATTAGGAGGGAATTCAGTCACTCTTATGATTGCATGTGTCAGCCCAGCTGACTATAATCAAGATGAGACATTAAGTACTCTTCGTTATGCTGATCGAGCCAGAAAAATAAAAAATAAACCCATCGTTAACCTGGATCCTCAATTAGCTGAAATATCTAGACTTCGGAGGGAGGTAATGTTTTTTTTTTTATATATTAATGACTAGGACTCGGATTTTAAAACTTTATCCTCTTTTCAATAATTCACAAAAACAATTCACAGCAGTTCTATGCTGATCTTGAGTAGTAGATTTAAATCCTATAGGATCTATTTTGATCTAATTTGCTATTTTTCACAAAAAAAGAGCTACTCGGGTCTTCATTCCAAGTTTTATTCAATTGAATATATGTACAAATTATTATATATGCTTTCAAGCTAAATATCTAATAACATCAATTTAATGTGAAAAAAATAGTTAAGCCCTCATAATGCCTGTATATTTGTCTAGAAAGTATTAGTAAGTAATTTATGAAGAAACATTTGCGTTTTGAATCTGAGGAAGTTATAAATTTCCTATTTGATTCACAGAAAGATACTTAATTTACCTAAAAAGCTAGACTTTATTCCTTTGTGAGATTTGTCTTTCATAAAAGAGTGGTTGATAATCACATACGAAATTAAAAATACAAGAACTTCCTTGACGATATAGCCAACTTTCACATCTTCTAGACTACAAATCTTCACTTAACTTATGAAACAAGCGACTGATCTACAACACCTTACTGAGACCAATATGGACATACGGAGCAGAACTTTGGGGTTCAGCAAAACAAGCACACATAAACAAAATACAAACAGCACAATCAAAAATTTTACGAAAAATTGTTAACGCACCTTGGTAAATTTCAAATACTACTATACATAACGACTTAAAACACCCCAACAGTAAAATCCTACATACACGACAAATACACTAAATTTCATTCTTCAACCCAAAATCACTCCAATCCTCTGCTTCTTTCTATCTCCTGTTCCCTGTTACCTGAGCAATGCAGATTAAAAAGAAAATGGCCAAGAGACCTACTATACCAATAAAAACCATATCAAGCAAATACACAAAAACAACAAATTTGCTAGATGCGCAGCCGCAAATTGCATAAAATATAAACAAAAATAAATAAATAGTAGAGTTAATTGCTGATTTTCACTATATAAAATGTAAAAAGTGAGTCACACATGAAAATCTTTGCTAAAGACATAGATGATTGAATAAAAGATACAGCAGAAGATCGTGGATAACTGCTGACTAGCCACCCCGAATGCCGCCCTACATCTGAAAAATATTTTGCTCTCTATATGATGGGATTATCAGGTCTAGCTGTTTTATGAGTTGCTTCCACAAGGAAAAATGATTGATTTGAAGATCTGCTGTACGCAGGTAACGAAATTGGACCAAACATTGCAAACGAAACCTTGAGGACTAGTTGCAAAGGTATTGTATTCCACTATGACAATACCAGACCACACTCCGAAATAATCATACAGCAAAGTTAGTGCAACTTGGCTGGAATGTTTTATTACACCCACTGTATTCTCCGGATCTTGCACCACCCGACTATTACTTATTTTGGTCCCTCCAAAACTCTCAACTGGAAATCGTTCGCTGATGACAGAGAGATAAAAACATATCTCGATCAGTTTTTCAGTTCTAGCCTCTACACTAGCTCTGTTTGCTTCTTATTTATGATTGAGAAATTTTCCCTCAGCTTCCTTCCTTTCTTTCCCCTCCTTTTCCTCCGTTTATGGGATTCTAGCTCAAGATGGTTCTGTTCTTGTCTTATTTTGTTCATTTATAGCTTCTTTTTCTTTTTTCAGCTTCTATCAATGCTAACCTTCCTTCCTCTTTCTTGATTTTATATGCAGTTTCCTCTAAAGCAGCAATGGTTTTCATGTTCAGTGTTCTTCTCTTATCTTTATCTTCTTCCACTGATAAATAAGTTTGGTATTCATAAAAACATGCTTCGAAGTTTAACACCTTCAAAAATGTGTCTAGTCTTTTTGCAATAAACCAACTGTTTTTCTGTTGCTAATCGTTTTTTTTATTTAAAATTAATTGTAGTTTTGTGAAAATTGATGCACTCATAATTTAAATTAATATTTATCAATATTCGATAATGTATTCAATGATTTGACATAATGGTTATAATTTGATTTTACTTACTATTTTTTTTTTTTTTTTTTGCATACACTTGATAAATCGTAGATTGCTTCACCTTCATTCATTGGAATATTTTGAAATTTTTAATATTGTTGTGGATCTGTATAATTTATTTAGAATGAAGAACTTCGCTTGAAGATGATAGGTGGAAATATTTCAGTCTGCCCTCCGGAACATCAATGTTTGGAAGAAAAACTTACTGATGCCTCAAAGAAAATAAATGAACTTGGAAAAGTCCTTGGAAATGTTTTAACTCAAAACACAAACATGTTTGAAAAAACATTGTCTGTAAGTATTTAATTTTATCGCTAATGTATTTTCACCTCAAAAAAATTGAGAAATTTCTTTTGGATGGTAACTAATTAATAGTTTTTTTTATTGAAAAAATTAAATTTAAATTAATTATTTTATGTGTTCATTTTTCTTTATTAGTTTTAACAATTTTTATGAAAATTAACCCAATTCTCCTTTGAGGAAAAAAAAGATTTTTGACCAAAAAGAAATATTTGCTATTGGCCGCACTTACTGACAGCTTCTACAATTCAAATTGCAATCAACAGTTCCTCAACCATATTTTTAACATATTCTCATTGTTATTTATTGTTTAAGTGTTTTTAAATTAGCCTGATCTGTTAGGATTAATTAATTGATGTTATTTGTTATTGTATATTCTACCTACAACACTGTTACTAGCAACACTGTCAGATGTGACGTCGTCAGTGACCACAACAATGCATACTCCCTCGATATGGCTTCTATGTTTGTAGTGTTCTTCCTCAATAAACGTTTCTGTATTGTCTCTGTTTGTTTCATAAAGAAACCCTAACCATTATTAACATGATCAATCGTAATTCAATGGAACAAACTTTTGCAAAGTTCTCGTGATATATACCATACTGTAATATACCATACTGATGTATACCACAATTCAGCTGTTTAAACAAAAACTAGAACTTGTCATAGTTATAGAATGAAATTTTTTCCCTAATGATCAACATTTTTTAAAACTATATACCTTTGATCTACAACATAGTGTTGTGTTGTGGACACAACCTAATGGAACCTTATCCATGCGATTACCCATATACTCACACTACAATATGGTTAATTGTATACTATACATCCAGTTGCAAACAAAATCTAATACTATCATATTTGTGGCCTTATATTATTTTAAAGCAAAATCGCCCCTTTTTTTCTTATTACCTTGATAGCTACATTTAGTTGGTTGAGGTGGAAGCATGATTCATTTACATTGGCCTTTCATTTTATGGGTTTAGTTTATATTGAAGATTGTTTTCTGATATTAACTACTCGTGCAACATTAAGTTTGGGCAAAGTCAGCCCTCACAAGTTGTCAATGAGGTTTATTCTTTCCTTTTCTAAAAACAAAATTATTATGGTTAATATATGTACAAAAATTGTTTTCTTCTAGCAACCAACTGCTCAGTCATTATTATAGATTTTTACTGTAATTATGTCATAGCAGGAACATGTTTGTTATAGATTGAAAATGCTGAATCTGCATTGAAAATAAAATTGAATGAACTTTTTAAATTGGTAACAGAAGGAATGTCTAATAATGAACCGCATTGGAATGATGTTAAAACCAAGATAGCAGAAGTTCAGGTAGGTATTGTTTTAGAAAACAATGATTTATGGGTTTTTTTATGAGGTAAATTCTTCTGTTTAAAAGAAGAATATTTTTATGCTCTACCATCAATGATAGATCGAGTCCTTAGGCCATCTTTATGGACAGGTTTTCTTTACTGTTACATTTTCCTTATTATTATCCATAATATTTGAATCTATTTTGTAATCTTCTTAAAATTTACTAAAAATATATTTTGTTGTGGAGATAACTTTGCATAAAAACTCCACAAATTTACTAAATAACTCTTGCCTATCGAATAATAAAGTGATAAAAAAGCAATGTTTCTAATACGTAGTTAATTTATAATGTTGCTATATATATTCCTACTACCTTAGGATGAGCAGAGAAAGTTAGAAACTGAAATTTGCACCTTAGACAAAGATACTGTGAAACAGAACGATGAAAAAGAGGATAATATAGAGGGAGATGTACAAGATGATGTATTAAGCAAACAACAAGACCATATTCTACTTCAAGCAAAAATAAACAATGAAATCTTGGTAATATTTGTTTATTTTGTATTTTCTGTTTTTCTTTAATGTTAGATTAATATTTTTTATTCTAATAAATATTTTCTTTAACTTTAATAAGTGAAGTGTTGGATTTATTCAATTATTAATGACAGGGCTTTAGATATATCTGTTCCCCTTTCTCTTACCTCAGTATTTTAACTATGTATATCGTTATCAGTTCATATAAAACTTTAAAATTTATGACTGAAAATTATTGATAGTTAAATAAATGATTGATTCTACCTCAATAAATTATGGGCCTAGAATGTATAACTTAAATTAGATGACTTTTATTATCACATATTTTTTATCAGTGAAGTTGGATGTTGAATATGATATGATTCAATTATTTTTCTTTTATGAATGAACTTTGTTTGATCAATCAGTGCTAATCTTTAAAGTGGCCTTAATTAACTTATTAAATTTATAATATTTTAAAGTTTTCTGAACAGACTAATTACTGAATTCATTTTTAGTTAACACTCCCAATAAACTATCTCTCTCTTAAGAATTAATGCAATTAACTAATATCTAATTGCCTTTGAAATATCCATGTAGTTTAAATTTAATTAATAGAAAAATTGAGTGAAGATTATAACAATTAATTAAGTATTACGACAAAGATGCAAGCTTTGCCATAAAAAAATAAGAGAAAATGAAATTGAAGATTTAAAATTTATTAAATTAGAGTAAGAAAAAGCAAAAGTTGAGTTATTACTGTAGGAAAAAAAATGTTCTCAATATGGAGTTAGTATATAGTGTAATGTTTGGTACTTGTGAACACTCTGGTTCCCATGGACTGCTATCTACCAATGTTGAAATGTAATTCCTGAAACATAAGGATGTCATCCTGTTAGATGCTCAAAATAATTCTTGGATGAAGACCTACTCCAACAGCATATCTATGCTATGCTGGAGTATCCTCTTTGTTTTTTAGTTTGACAAACAGCTGTTAGTACTTTATTTAGCAGATCACTCATTTCAGTAACATCTTCTCAAGTTTGTCAATCTTAAAACTTGGACATACGTTTCCTTTTAAATTTCTTGGACCATTGTCATTTTGTTAAGATTGTTTTTAGTTCGGATGGTCAACCCATGACTTTTAAACAGATAACCAAGATCAAAATAACCATTACTTGAAATTTATACTCTCCTTATTTTATTTTTTATTTTTTTAACCATGTATTTAGTCTTCTTTAGGTTTTCCTATAGGACTAGTGTTCTTGCTGCTTTCACTATGTCTGGAAATGGTTACATTATATCATGAATCATCAAATGATATCGGTATCAGCGTAAACAATTAAAACTTACTCCCTGAAAACGGTTTTATCTACTTGAATATTTTGTAGCTTATTCAAAAGCTTTTGCAGCTTATATAAAAGTCTTAGAATTTGAAATATTTCAATGTTCAGTGGCATTACTTTTCACTAGCTTTATTCAATATTTATTTATGTTATATAGATATATAACAACATTAAAAAATACAATAAAGAAGTATAAAAACACATCAGATAAAGATTTATCAGGCGTGTTTTTATACTTCTTTACTGTATTTTTTAATGAATTAATTTTTTTGTTACCTACTCAGTGAGTATATATATTTTAAACAGAAACAAGATTAAGGATAGCCTCCTGACATAATCTGGCCGGGCAAGTTTGACCCTCAGTATCAAACAATAGGTTAGAAATATATTTGTATTAGTAATTCTGTTTGTTAAGACTTTGGTTGGCTTGGACAGCTCACAACTTCTAAAACTATGAGGCATAGTTAAACATAAAAATGACCTTTACTACAGAATTTTTATTATTCATCATTTTTGATATTGCTGAAAACTTTTTCCACCACTGGAAGAGGGTGATGGCTCGATCTGTCCTGTGATGGACACTGGTCTTAACTAACCAGAAGAAAACTAAACATCACATATCAGGTATTGAGGTTCATGAGAGATTCAAGCAAAACTCTGCGGTTCAAAAATTTCGTAGATGGCTAGAAGGCAGATGATGCCAAGAAGCAAGAATACCACCAGATTTTCCTGGAGAGGAGGATTAGAAGGGTCCTGTCTTTTTTGGATACCAAGATAATGATTTAGAGGACATTTGTAGCACTAGCGGATCCAGGATTTAATTTTGGAGAGGGGTTCAGCCCAAAAGCTTTTTTTTTTTTTTATCATATATATAACGATAACTGATTTGAAAAAAAGAAAGAAAGAAACTAACTACCTATATGTAATGGTGTTTAAGTGATTCTTGAAGTCCTATCAAACGTAATTACACAAACAATAATACTTTAGAGATAGTTTTTTTTTTTTTTTTCTATAAAATATGCGTTATATTTTACCATTTTGGGGAACTTCAGCCCCAAAACCCTCCCCGTAGATCCACCTTTGATTGGTAGCAGTGCATTTTTTGTTTCAGCATTGTGCTACCACTACTGAAACCTGTGTTGTCAAAAGGCAAGATAGGGTTTTAAATAACTAAATTAAAAAATATATTAGTAATTTCGTGAAGCTGTAATGATTTCGATACTTGAAAGAGGATAAAAGTGCATCCAAATTTATGAACTAGTAGTCAGAGTATTGAAACTTATAAATGTGAACTTTGATGATTTGCACTTGTCCTTATCCGTTCTCACCCTTTCTGTATTTGTTGTGCATTATTTGTTAAAATTAATTATTTTTCAGATATTATCTAAGAATCTCAAATGGAAGGAGGAACTCGTTGAACAGCTCACAGATAACTCCTCAGCAGTAAGCATTGAAGAGTTGAAAAAACAGTTGGTTGAACTTCAGCAGGAAAAGGAGGAGCTACTGAAACAGATAAAAAATAGTAGCCAGCAGCATGCCCAAAATTCTTCTGCTAAGTAAGTATTAAGTATGCAATAACAATAAAAATCTTAAAATTACTGCGTCCTGAATATTTATCACCTATTAAAAAAATTAAAATACCTATAATGAAACATAAATATAGAAGGAAATGTAAAAACAGATAAATATATTAAATCAGACGGATTGGTAAAACAAATGATGATTAATTATTTTAAATTATCTTGTTCTTTTTTACTTTCACTGCCCAACGTATAAAAATAAAAAGTAAAGTGAAAATTTTTAGTTTTCAGAATTTACTCTTTCTCTTTAGATGCCTTTATATTTAAGAGGGAGTTATAATTTTAATTTTAGGGTTGCTGAAAGTAGAAGAAAACGTCTCCAGGAACTTGAAGCCAAAGTGGCTACATTAATGAAAAAAGTGGTTGAACAGGAAAGAATAATTAAGGTGAAAGAGAAATCAGAAGAAAAGATAAAAAAACTAAGACAAGAAATAGTGGTATGATTTTTTTTTTTTTTTTATCTTTATTTATCTTTATCTTTATATTTTATCTTTAGTATTTGGAATTTTCCTTATCATTAATATCTTCCATATCTCTTTTATTTTAATTTTTTTTCAACACAAGGCTTGTTATTTCCTTGATGCCAAGCTTTCGTTCCCTTCAGCTTTCCACCATATCTTAAACCTAATATAAACCTCTTCCTATCTCTCCTCATGTATACCATCAATAACAAAGTAGATAGAAAATTAAAAAAAAGTTAAATAAATTATAATTAACAAAGTAAAATACAGTAAAACCATTCTAAATTTTTATCAGGTGATTTTAAATAAAAACAACATATATTGGTATTTAGTTCACCTTAAATATTTAGTTTTTTAATTGATGAATATTGATTTTCATTTTATTACTTTTTCAGGAAATGAAACAGCTAAAAGTAAAACTTATACAACAAATGAAAAGTGAAAATGATAAATTTAAAACATTTAAAGCTCAAAAAGATCGTGAGGTGTGTCAGTTGAAAAATCAAAATATAAAAAAACAAAATGAGCTAAAGAGAATGGAACAAATGCATGTAAAGCAACAAAATGTTCTTCGAAGGAAACTAGAAGCCGCTGCAGCAGCAAATAAACGTGTCATGGTTAGAATTTTGAGAAGTGTTATCCTAACATGTTTTATGTTTTTTATCTTAGATTAATTATTGTCTCATTCAATTAAAAATGAGCAGATACAGGACAATACTTTCTAAAATGTACTACTATTATATTTATTAAGAAAACTTAGAGAATGTGACAATGGAAAACATCCATCTTAGGAAGAAATGAATTTTATTTTAAACTTATTTATTAAACAAAGGACAAATGTTTTAACACATAAGACAATGAGAATGATGGATGAAATAATAACTATCAGATTAAATTGTCTTTGATGATGGATGAGTAATCCGGAACGTTAGACTAAAAGAATAAAAATAAAGAATAACCATGAAAGAGAAGCTTTTCAATTATACATAGCTAGTAAAGCGCTATTACTTTTTGGTACTAGCTTTCTAAGCCAGGCGGACATCAGGTCATGAGTTATTACCTTACAAGTCATCCCTTTAATTGTGAATCACAGTTAGCATAAATCATAAAATAACAAGATCAAACTATTTTGTTTAGTTTATATCATTAGTATATTATGATGCCTTAAGTGATATATGATATTTTTTCTGATTAATACAGGTTGCCTTGGAAAGACAAAAAGCTGCCAGGGATAAAAAGTCGAAAGGACCATCTTCTGAAAAGATCAAAGAAAGAATGACAGAAGAATTAGAACTTTTAGAATCTGAGTATCAAGCTCAAAAATCTTTAGATTATCTCATGGTAGACAGAGCTGCATTATGCAAAGAGCTTGCAGTAATAAAGGTCCTAATTAAACTTACATATTAACTTATTAACTAATTTGTGCTCAAAGTTTTATAGCTTCCTCAATACTCAAGGTAGAATAGTAATCAATTTATGTAGTTTAGATTTTTTGATTATAAAAAAAATTATTTCTATGAAGTTTTCTATCAATTTTTAGTGCAAATATAATGAATCAATTTGCGATATGTATATACTATCTCAGGCAGGATTTACGTTTGAGTGATATTTGACACATATTTTATGTGATCATAAATCTCTGGATATGACTTATATTGATAAAAAATATTGATCCATTTCATGTAATAGAAATTTAGGAACTTTTTTTAAAAATAGAAACAGACATATTTTGTTATTCATTTAACAATCTTATTTAAACGGAAAAAAAAAAAAAATGAATTTTACATTTCATTATGCATGACCTTTATTTAAATTCTCTAAAAATAGATCAACTTTTTTTTTAGTTCACAATTGCTTTAATATTTGTATTGTTTTTTTTTCTTGTTTTTTAAATCAAACTTAATTTATATTTTGTTTCCCTTGTAAAGTCAGCATATCTTGCTTTGATTTGTCATTCCTCCCCTGATGTTGAAGACACATTCTAAAATATGGTTTAGTCATAAACTGGTTCTCTCGTAATTATTTTTTCCGTGTCTGCCTATCTTGAGCTACTCCTGTTTGGATGTTGCACATTGCATACGGCTGTACAGAGTTTTCGTTAAATCTATCTATCCATCTAGTTTTAGGTCTCCCATCTTTTCCTTTGATGGATTATTTTGATCTATAAATTCTGCTAATCTAACCCTCCTTGTCTTCATACTTTCTTTTTCTTTCTTCTCTTAGAGCCAGTATGGGCATAAAGTGTTCTCAACCTATCCCTCTCATTTTTTTCCAGTCTCTATTCAACTGCTTCATTTCATTGAGGGTTTTATCTTTACTACCACCTATGTTCTTGAGCAGCCACATGGTCATCAAAACCATTTAAGTTGTTCTTTTTCCATAAATCTTTAATTGATGTACCTCTAAATCCTAAACTTTTGGTCACTGTTGCAATTTCACCTTGTCTTCCTGCTGCTCGAAGAATTTAATCTCAGTAATAGTGAGTGGTTCAGCTGACCTATCTATCCAAACCAAGTCCTTGTTCTTCCTTCACAGGGTCACACATGATGCATAAGTATATTTGAAGTGACGCTAATAAGCCTTGCAGCAACCTAATCCAATAGGCGATTGCATGTCAATGATAAGAGATCACTCATATAGCAAAGTCAGGAATCCTCTGGGTCCATCTTTCAAAAGATGATTTATCCCAGCATCTCTACCATCTTTACACATCTTACATTTTACACATTTTCTCTCTTGTGTGTTTTTGATCTTCATCTATTTTTAAGAATTAAACATGGAGTTGATTTAAAAGTAATAATAAATGTGTTTAAACAGAGTTTTTGTTTTAAATCAGATTAAAATGAATAAAACTGGTGTTAAAAGATAGTTTAGGAAGCATGTTACACAGATCATCATTATTAATGATATAAAAAAAATCTCATGGTGTGATTCAGCCATATTTATTAATTTAAACTGTTACTATTTTAATATTCACTAATAGGTTTGTTATTTTAGGGATCGCTCGCAGATAAAAGTATTTCTGATGAAGAAAAAATAAAATTAAAAACAGATGCTAAACAAGTAGAACATGAGTTAGAATTGAGGACAGTTGAAATATCAGATTTACAACAGAAACTAATTGATATTCATCAAGGTTTTTTCCAATATCTTTAATAATTCATCTTATTTTTAATTAAATTTATTGGATTAATTGCTTATGATATTAACAGATGATCCAGCAAGAAGTTACTCCGATATTATTCAATCTATGGCTGATGCTAAGTGTGCCCTGTCTTTTCTATTCAATATAACTTCTGAAAAAATAATAGAAAGTCTAAATAAATCTATACTGCTTAATGAAGTGATGGTAATTTTCAAGATATTAGATAATATATATAAATAATTATGCACCATTTTTTATAAGCCGTTAATTATTGATATTAACCTCAAAATAATAAGTTATACATTATTATATAAATAATTAATAGTTATTATTTATAAGTATTAGATAGATAAATACCTGATAATAGATAAAGACCTGTCTTTGGTATTTATATAATTCTGAATTCTCTATTTTTTTTCTGAATGTAAATTATTTTGCTTTGTAAATTTTATTTGAAAATGATGATTTGATGATGCTTGCTCTCTCATACAGTCTTTTATGGCTGTTACTACAATTTATTTCACTTTTTATTCTATTCGTTACACCTAGATTTGGTGTCTTGAGGTTTTAATTTTTATAAATTAAAGCCGTTATTCCACCGGCATTTCATTTATTATTTTATTTTATCTCAACAACGTTTCGGCCAACACTAGAGCCATTTTCAAGTCTTAATTGAGTTTTTCACTAAATCTCCATATTCAATGTCATTTTCATTTTTCTGTCATGATTGCTTCACAAAAGGATTAATTATTTAATCGTGCTTTTCACTGTTCTCTGAAGCCTAGTTATTGCCCTAAATTTTATTTCGATTTAAGAATTTTTGTTTTGTGATTCTTATGAAATATAAGAAATAACATTAGTAAAGAATGTTTTCATATAGTTTATTTCCTATGTCATCAAGTGCAATTTTCTGGTGCTTTTGCAAAAGCAGTAGATCATGAAAAATCTGTCCCACAACAGTCTCTGAAAGACTAATGGAACATACTCAGGTACTGATGCCTAATTGGTTATTATATTGATATTAGAGTGCTCCAACTGCTTAATTTACCTATTGATGGATTTCAAGTAGTAATTTTTTTAGGTTTTCTAAAGCTAAGTGACAGTCAAACTATAGTTTTCCCATCCTAACATGGATCACTAATGGTCTTATCAAGGTACCAAGCCATCAATTTCAAAGGAGTTTTGTTTAGCATAGAGAGCCATTAATCTACTAGTTCTACATTTAATCTACTTTAGATGGTTTTAGAATTAACCCATGGTCTTGATTTGTGTTGGTTATTTATTAATTTTGCATACCCATATATATAATGAAGAAAAATTATCACAATATTTAAAAATTATAATCCGCGTTTTCAAAAGAAATATGCACTTTGAGTAAGTTCCTCTGAGTTTCAAATAACCATGTTTTGCAAAATAGTCAGTGTACGTGCATGCCGATGTGTGTAAACAGTCTAGCTCATGGCGAAAAGTCATATAAAACTGATGTTTCATATTCAGATAGGTAGGTGCCTTCGATGTTACAACTTTTCCATCAAAATCGACTCACCAGTAGTGTCATTATATATAATTAATTTTATATATATTTACAATTTTCTCAAAGAAATGGCTAACAGTTTTGATTAAAATTATATCAATGTAAAATTAAGTGCTCTTTACTATCAGACAGGTATTATCCTCATTAAAATAACCTTTTCTCAGTGTAACTATTGATAAAAAATGGTTAAATGTAAACTATGAACAAATTTTATAATTATCTAAAGAAGAAACAAGAACAAATTATAAACAGTGCCCTCGATGGGTGTATATATATATATCCATTATAATACCAATACTATAATACTTGTAATATATAATATATTTTTTTTTTATTTCTTTATGACATTTACAACTGTATTACATAAATAAATCAAGTAAATTTGGACATAATTGATATAATGACATGAATACACTTGCTGAGTAACTACCCAATGGTAGGACTCTAATGATATGACTACATTAGGAGATCACGGGGCCATCTTCTTTTCAGACGCCTCGGAGGGTTATCAGGAATTGAAGAGGAAGCAAGGTTAGAAACGAGAGGGTTGGGATGATTCTGAAGTTTATTATGGAAGGATAGGTATCTGGATTGGGCCAGATCTGAAACATAAGGAACATTAAGATCCTTATGGATAATTTTATTAGTGACAAAGTAAGGAGCATTGAGGATTTTACGAAGGATTTTGGATTGTAAGGATTGGATGCGAGAGGAATTCGATAGTTTAGTGGAGCCCCATAGCTCAACTCCGTAAGTCCAAATAGGTCTTATTATAGTCAAGTATATGAGTCTTTTGTAATTAATGGGAAGTTTAGAGCGTTTGTCTAGTAAGTGCTGAAGTAATCGGAAACGTCGAGCGGTTTCTTGTCGTTTCAGTCTAGTATGAGGATTCCAATATATAATATAACATCCAAGGTAATAGACAGTGACGAAAAATGAATAAATTGAGCAGATTAGGTGGAGGGGAGGAAAAAATTCAGTAATTTATGGCCTAAAATGAATATAATCTTTACTTTCACTTATCTATATTTGAAAATACTTCTACTCAAAGGAGAGTGGTAAGTGAACATTGTGTGAGCCATGCAATGCTCTAGACTTTTTTCAAGTTCATGATTGAGATACATTAGTAATTATTAAATGTGCAAGTATTAATCTAGTTTTTGAACTTAGGATCAGCAGGCAGAAATAGAGCAGCAATTGGATGAGTATAAGAAAAGATTATCAAATTTTGAACAATACCACAAACAAACAATAAAAAGATTAGAACAACAGTGTGAAGAAAAGGTAATTTAAGTCTATGAATTTGTATATACTAAAAAAAGATTTGTAAGATAAATGTAAAGTTATATTTTGGTGATTTATTTGATACTATTGTTATGCTTATCTCCATAAATGAGTCCTGAATCAGATTTCACAATTAGTTTTGAACTGAACCTAATGTTTTAATAAAATTAAAAATGATTTACCTTTTGTCAGACCATGCCTATAAGATTCTTACTGAAATTTTCCACTTAACTTACTAGAATCAACCCCTAATAAAGGAAGGAGGCCCTAAAAAAATCAACGAACATCGGATATTAATTCACATTATTGAGGAGTGTTAGGCTATTATTTCTCCACATGAGTATTTTTTAATCTGATTCAGGTGTCATTCAAAACCTATAGAAAGGTTCTTGCCCCTTGGGATCTAGACAATGAGCCCTCGGAGGCTGAAAAAATGAGCGAAAAATTCAATACTTGGTTGTTCCTTTGTAAAGAATTAAGTCTTTGTATGGTATTATTTTCCTGAGATATTTATTTCATGTAATTAGATTTTCAGAAAATAACTGAACTTCTATATATATTTTTTTTAAATTATAATTTGGGGAAATAACAGTTTTTTTTCATTTTCGCAGACTCATCAGGGATCTACACTTATGTCAATGGTGAAAAATTATCTGTCTGAATATAGGTTCTCTGAAATGAAATCCAGTTATTATTTAGATTTATTAAATAAAAGTGTTGATTAAAGTATTTATTATAGATTGTTTTTTCTGTTTTAGAATAAATTTTCATTGCCAATTAATCAACCACCATTGTCAACTTGTTTTTTTTTCTGCAAATAAATTTGTTTTTATTGAATGTTTAAAAATACAAATGTTTATTTTTGCACTCTTTATGGAGCTAAGTTATAGGGTATATTATGTTTTATTTTTATCTTAATTTTATTTCCTATAGACATTTTTTTAAAAACAAAATTGATTAATTTTAGTGATTAGATTAAAATCAAATATTGACTTATTTAATTTTTTTGTATTTTTACCTAGGTTTAGATTTCTCTATTAATTTCATCATCTCCCTTGATATCCAAAAATGATATATTTATATTTTTATTCGCTTTTAAATAAATTAAAAGTTATATTCTTTCACGCATTTAAACTAAATCAGCTTATGCTCTGTTCGCAATTTCATGTCCCTTTTAGATAAATTATTATCTTCATACTTTTTTTTTTTTTGTTAAACTTACCTAATTACATTAGTATTCTCAAATAGTACCATTTACACCAACTATACTTCTGTTTCGGTCTTATGTAATTATTATTTTCATTTACAATTCTCAGTTGTAAAATGCCATTGGCTATCAACGTAGGCATGTACTATGTCGTCTCTTATCCTATTTTTAAAAAATTGTTTTTTAAGGAGATGGTCGAGAAGTTGGTTAAAATAATTATTTATTCAATTTCCAACATCAATGAATAATTAGCAATTATTTGATGTTTTATAGCCCAATTCATGAACCATCTTGATTTATCATATGGTCAACTTATATAAATCAGTTTTTAAATTTTCTCTCACAAAAATTTGTAATAATAAGAGAATGAGTTATCTCATATTATTCATTAAAACTAAGAATATTACAGTTGGTAATAGTTGATATTGGTCCCTGATGAATTCTTTTAAAATCGAGATATACTAACAGCTCTCAAAATAAGAGTATACAAGGTATCCCTACAACCATTTTTTAAATATGAAAGTTAGTCCTGGACACTCATTCTCCACAAAGATGTGGGAAAGAAAAATCCTTTGGAAAATGTATGGTCCAGTCAAAGAAGGAAATCTTTGGTGGACAAAGACTGACAAAGAGGTGAGAAAGTTATCCACACCAGATGTTATACCCACTGTAAAAAGGGGGAGAATAAGATAACGGAGTCACTTTCAAATGAAAATTGATGATGGAGGAATACACACAAAACAGGTTGATTTATATGAAGATAGTTAAGAACACCAAAACACCATCCAAAATTAATCATTGAAGAGACTTGTAGAAGCTCCGAGTTTGGTTTAACTCAAATTTTCCTTTATCAAATTGGTGTGCATCTCGATGTTGAATGTAAGTCAACTTCAAATATGTGTTGAACCATCATTTTATGAAGAACATTTCAGAAAAACCTTCGAACCATATTCAGATACACAGTATCAATAATTTATGTTCTCGATTTTGAAAACTGTTCCTTTTTTTCAAGATGTTTATTTGATTCTTTTTAATTTAATTATTAGACTCATGACTTTTTTATGTTAATGTCTTCGATAAGTTTCATCGCCATCATCATTTCCTTTTATTTTTAAAAATTCATCTTTTTTTTTTTCACCATTAGCTCTCACCTACTGTCGATTCTGCTTCATTTCTATCACCTTCCTTCTAATACTACCTTTCTCGCCGTCCCCATTATATAAAACTTAATGTTCTAAATGGAAAGGCATAATGATTAATAATTATTCATTTCATGCTCAGATATAAATAATCATAAATTAAAGATATATAAATCATAAGTTAATTTTAAACCTGGTAGGTTTGTCAAAATTGCAGAGACTGGGCTACAAATTGTTGTTTTCATCGAATAGAATCACCTTTATCTAATAGGCAATTATTTCATTCCTATTTCCATTTTTTTAAATTAATAGTCCGTGGTACTGACTAAAACTTCGTAAATTGCTTCTTCTCATCATAACCTAAAAATATTTTATTTACAAAATTTCTCGGAATTGGGGTATTTTCAGTCTAGAGTTTGGCAAACTTTTTCCACTTAATTAGTTACTAAAAACTCGTAAATAATCACTTGCTTTTTACTTAAATCGTACGATAGCTTGAGTACAAAAAAAAAAAAAAAAAGGTGGCCTTCAAAAATATTGAGCCGTTTTGCGTGACCTACACCTCCAAATTGTCAAAATGGTGAGGTTATTTTGGCCAAATGGCTATATATACCTTCCCCAGTGTTTATTGTATTTATTTCCACTATACTGCTGAGATTTTCTCGTTCTTTAAATTTTTTTTCTCCTCCATTATGTAAATCTTGTAATTTTTAAAGTGTAAATAAAGCAATTATTATGAAATAGATTTTACAACGAACAAATATTTGTTTTTATAATGCTGAATGGTGGCTAGATTTTTAAATTGGCTTCTAATTGATTATAAATTACAATTAAAAAAAATAATATAAAAACCTTTCATTTAAATTTTGATGTAGTTTATTTTATGTTTAAAGGTTGATGGTATCATCAAACTTGCTGTTGAAACTAAAGAAGGATCACTCTCAGAAACATTCAGAATTGATTCAGAAAATCCAGAAATATTAAAAAAAAGTTTTAATGATATAGAAGAAGAAAACTGTGGACTTAATAATAACCAAGAGGTAAAAAAAAAATAATTTTTGTAGATTTTACTAATGTTATTTATAGATCAATAAACTGGGATAAATTAGTTTCTGATCCCGAAATTCACCATTCTTACAAATCTCTTAAAATGTACTGTGTGTCCTATTCTAACATGTACCTATTCTAACCAGAGTAAGAAGATCGAGAGATGAGCGTCAAAATAAATTTCAACCCACCTAGGCTGGATTCCAACTGCTAGGCTTGAGAGTGTTAAAGCTGGCAACACTGTAACACACTTGGCCACAATAGCCTTTTTTTTTATCATGTTATTTAATATCAGTATAATCAATATAAAGTTAGATTATTATGTGTTTATATAAAATATTCTACAGTAGCTGTGTTATTTTGTAAAATATCTTGATTTATATATATATTTAGGTTGTATTTATTTCTTTATTCTCATTTGAAATATTTTTTTAAGGTAAAAAAGAGCTCTGGAGTTTTGGATGAAACTTTTACATTTGATGATAATATGTCTCTTTATGGATCTATTATGAATGACCCAAGCAAAGATCCTGATTGGAGAGAGGATACTCCTATCCATAAAAGACTGCAGGCTCTAAAGGTTTGCTCAATAAATCATTACCTTAATAGGAAATAGGTGAACTAAGATAGAGCATATGATCTTTTTTTTCTTAATCAAATTCAAACTACAGATCAATACAATTAAAGCTATATATTTATATATATTGGGTTGAGGAAAAAGTAATTTTGTTTAAAAGATCACAGTCAGTTGATCATTATATATACTTAAAGGTCCACACTAGTGCAATGTCAGCACTGACTCATTTTTTTCATTTTCCTTATAAATACGATCTCTACTTAGCGTGAGAATCATTATCATTACCACATCATTATTAGATAGGAAGCAGACTAGTTATTATTTTAGATAGCAATTAGACTAGTTATTATATTCACTGTTATTTTTCAATGAAGTTTCTTTTTAAAAAGTTATTTAGCGTTGAAGATTATTTAATTATATATGTAAAAATAGCGTTATTAATTTACTTAGTCAACAGTTATTACACTTTAAAAATGGAGGTTCTAGTTCATTTTCGTTATATTTTGCTGTTTTATTTCCGAAAAGGGAAAAATGCAGTCCAGGCTCATCAAAAATTGTAACATATTATTTGTAATGAGTGCTTAACCTAACTCCAGTGTTAAAATTAGTTTGCTTGTTTCCGTTCCGGAAATTTTTTTGTTAAAGACGAATCTCTTCCTGACTGGCCAATCGATGAAAAAGTCGATGAAACTCTTCAAAAAATCAAGTAGATCGACATATTTTGTCTTGAGACCATCACTTCAGAACCAAACATTTTTGAACCATTTACATAAGGCTGAATACCTAGACAACGCTTGTCCTATTGATAAATTCTGGTTGTTTTTCTTGAATCGTACAAGTTGTTCAAAGTAGAGAGTTGAATTAATGGTTTGGCCAGGTTCAAGCAACTTGATACATTAATTTAATGGACCGAGTTTTCATTCGTCAATCGCTGCAGAAACGAAACGAAATCAAACCATTTTTGAAACAAATGATTACGGGTAATGAAAAGTGGATCTTTAGAAAAAATTGTGGTCAAAACCTGGAGAAGCTTCTCAAACAGTGGTAAAGCCCTGATTGATGCCAAGGGAGGTGATGCTGAGTGTTTGGTGTGATTGGAAAGGAATTGTTCATCATGAACTGCTCGAACCTGGCCAAACCATTAATTCAACTTTCTACTTTGAACAACTTGTGCGATTCAGGAAAAACGACAAGAATTTATCAATAGGACAAGCGTTGTCTTCCATCACAACACTAGACCCTAGAAATCTTTAATTACACAGCAAAGATTAATAGAGCTAGGCTGGAAAGTTTTGATGTATCCACCATATAAGTCAGATCTTTCCCCCGTCTGATAACCATTTGTTTCAGTCTCTGCAGAACTCTCTTAATGGTGTAAAACTGGCATCAAAAGAATATTCTGAAAATCACTTGGTTTGGTTTTTAGCCAAAAAAAAATCTCTGAACTTCTGTAATGGTGGACTTACCAGAAAATTGGTTTTACCAGAAAAGTGACAAAAAGTCATCGATCAAAGTGGCACATATCATTAGTTAGTGTTTCAAATTTATATAAATAAATTTACTTTGAAAAAAATAAAATAAAACAAAATTACTTTTTCCTCATCACAATATATATATTTATACACCCACACATATACATTTATATTCATGTATTATGTTTCTTCTTTTTATTAACTTTTTGTTTATGACGTCATTTTAATTCTTAATTAAAAATTTTTTAATTAGTTTTCACAGAGTATGAGAAAAAGATGTAGTTCCAATGATGAAAAATGTGCCTGTATTGACAATTGTGCTGATGACTGCAAGTGTATCAATTCTTTTTTTTCTTGCAATAAAAATTGTCCTTGTGATTTGATTAACTGTTTATCTTCCAAAAGATTGAAACCAATATCTCGGTAAGTTTTTTAGAGTTAGAAAAGCTTTATACCTAAAATATATTGACCAAATATTTGGTATTATTATGAACACAAGTCTATAAATATTTCAGACATGCATTCTGAATTATGGTAAAATATGATATTTGTAATCATAAGATGTTATTTGGGAACATGCATGAATGTTCTACAGAAGTATCCATTAAGAAAATTTAGAAGGTTGGAGGAGGAGGCTCAGAATGATGAGTTTACTCATTGGTTCTAACATTTTAAGTCCTTGGAACCTGTTTTAGAAAATAAAGCTGTGTTGGGTTGTGGATGATGACTTTTGAGGCCAATTGTTAAATCATCGCAATTGGCTGTAAGAATTTTTTTTTGGAATAAGGTCATTACCCAACTCAATTTTTTTTTTTTTTTAATTAACCAGTTTATCAATTCCCAGTTGTTATTCGTTATTAAAAGTGAAAATAGGAATAAATTAAAATTAATGTATCAGAAACTATTATAGGATCCTGACGCCATACAGTCAGTTGTAGGCGAGAAAAGAGGAAGGACAGGTATCATCAACAGATTGTAATATACACCTTATTTGAAAGTTGTTAAAAATTATTAAATAAATTAATGTAACAGATAAAAAGCAAGCTAATCTAGTTTTACTAGTTCAGGGAAAAGAGCTGCTCTGTGGTTTTCCCTGAAAGGAAAACCCCAAAGAGAGGAGGGGATGGACAAAAGATTTTGTTTTGGCAAGCAGTTGTTGTTTGGCTAGGGTGAAGAGAGGATAGAAGAAGGGATCCTGGCTCCAGTGGGTAAAACCCAGTAATATTATTACCATCTTGGAAGTTGTTGTTCGGCAGAGAGACTAGTAGTTTGGAATCAAAAGAGAGAGTATCTCCCAGGGAGCTTGAGTTGAGTAGAAGAAAGTGTCACCATTATGGGAGATGTGTTTGGCAGAATATAGGAAAATGTTAGAAGACAAATGAATTTAGTGCAACAAAGGAAGAAACAGTATCTATAGAAAAAAGATTAGCTTGCCAATCCATACTGGACTCTCTTTGGGATTTTCCTTTTTGGGTAAACTACAGAGCAGCCATTCTCTTTTCCCTGAACTAGTGAAACTAGATTAGCTTACTTTTTACCTGTTACATTAATTTGTTTAATAATTTTTAACAACTTTCAATTAAGGTGTATATTACAATATATAGTACATTGGAACTTTGATTAACTGTCACCATCAAAACTAGAGACATAATACTTAAATGAATGACAGAAATATCACTAGAAAATTATCTTAACATATAAAAAGCAATCAGTCCACTCTTAATTTTAGTATGAACATAAATTAAGCACATTTACAATGTAGAAAATTATTAAAGAACCACAAACGGTTTAGAGTGGAAAGGTAACATGAATTTAAGAATTATGGAATCTATCAAGTGATTATTGAACTTTAAAATAACTGATAATTTTCTTTCGTATTTTAAACCTCTTTGTTCGCCATGAATTTCAATGCGCTATTATTTCGGATCTTGCAGTGTTATATTGTCTGTGTCAGATTAGATTCTTATTATTCTATAGAAAGGAGTTGTTGGTGCGAGTTTACATTTCTTTAAAATTTATTAGTTTATAATTTCCATTCAAATGCTTTTTCTTATTCTTGTTCTTTTGCTAATTATTGACCTTCCATTCCATTCCAAGATTTTGAGCTCATAAATGTAATTAACCTACATATGCACGTAGCTGTATTTTTAAAAATGAATTTCAACTTTCTAAATTTATGAATCTTTTATCTAATGATGTATAACATATGGTGCATGTTTTATTAAATTACTCTTTGTATTATTGAAAGTACATAATTATGTTTGTTTTTCTGTGTATATTTCTCCTACATACTAAAACAATAGTTAAAGTCTTTTTTACTTTCACTTACCTGTATATGTAATATATAGTAAGGGTAAGTATCGATGAAAATTTTTGAATCTGAGTTTTCAACAGAAATACATGTTTTGAGGTCCTCTGAGTCCAAATAACCAAGTCCCGAAAAATGGTCTGTGTGTATGTGAACAGTCTAGCTCAAAAACCAGAAGTCGTACGAACCTGGTATTACGTATTTAAGATAAGTATATGCCTTAAATGTGGCAGCATCTTTTGCCTTAAAATCGGCTAACTGGAAGTTCCACTTAATATCAAAGGTGAAACATATTTTTGAATTTTCTCAAAAACGAAACTAACGATTTTGGTTAAACTCGGTGTATCATTGTATAATTAAGTGGTCTTTAATATCATTTAGGTCTTATCCCCATTGATATCACTTTACAGGGCTTAAATGGCAAATGTTCATATATGTCTTCCTCTAAAGTGCCATTAATATGCTTTATTTAAAAAAATTAATTATCTTTTATTGACAGTAACTATAAAAAATGGGTAAATATGAAGTTTGAAAGAATATAATAATTGGAAACTGGATAAAAAAAGAAAAATGGTTATCCAGGTCAAGAATGAATCTCCGGAAATAATAGTCTGAAGGTATACATATAATATATCGTTTGAAAGCGGAGAATTTTAGACAAAATAATATTAAATAAATAAAGTTGTAGATGTTAACGGTGAGTGGAGAAAAAAACATAAATAATAATTTCTGAAAACTAACATTATTTAGTGTAAATCATATGTTTCCTAGGAAATTAAATGAACTTTTCTTTCTATATGTTAACTTTTAAATGTTTTTCTAATTTTGAAAAAAAAAAAGTATTTAAAATCCACCGAATCAAGCCAATGCCGTTGTTTAAAATACTATTTCATTGTACTTGTATGAAAGAAAAAGTGAAATAAAAAAAATATTTCATAGATATGTTTATAATCTTACATACATTAAATGTAGTTTAATAACTCTAGATACGATATTATATTTAAATAATTAAGTATCTATTGGCCGTTTATTCCAAAAAAATCATAAAGTAATCTTTTAGAAAATTAAATTAGTGAATAATTTGATAAATGATCCGTTTTTGAAATTCTAACATTATCCACTTACAATTAGTGTGACAACTTTTGACCTATCCATGGCAGGCAATGAAAATCTCGTAATTCGCAAAATAGCTTAATATTTAAATAGCAAGGAAGGGGTCCTCTTTTCTGTGGACCTGTTGCCACAAAAATTCACATAATTATGAATCCAGGTGTTGTCTCGCAATTCATCAATGTTTTTTTTATTTCTCCAGTTAGCTGCGCCCCATCATCATTCTATGTGTTGAGTATATATCCCACTTGAAGGATCAACAAAATTATAACGGTGATTCACTTGGAAATGGTTGTAGTTTGCTTCATTTAGTTGTTGGGTCTTGTATCCTTTCCAACAGTCAGAATATATAATGGTTCTCTCTTCTATATTATTTTTAATACATTCTAATAGAGTTGTTACTTTTCTGTCTTTTATTTTTACCATGAAACATTCGTCTGTTTCTCCATTTCATGACCTTCTTCACACAATTTTACCTTAGGAATTATCCCGAACTTCCAAAGTTGACAGCTTCTTCTTTCGAAGACATCAATACCCAAAGTGTTAAATCCATTTCAAACATAAAATAATAAAATCAACAAAAAAAAAAAATAAATAAATAATTGAATAACTGACAAGTAACTGAAAGATAACAAGAGGGTACATTAAATAAGAAAGGAGGTTCCTTGGCAAATGGCTATGTCATAAGTACCAAAACAAGTGACGGTTAATCAAAGCTTCACTTTATTAGGATTAATGGATGAGAAGCATAAGGTCCATCATTCCAGAGTCTCCTTCCAAACAAAAAACAGGAAAATTGTAATCCAAAGTTATCATCTCCCACTAAAATATTTGTTCTTCATTTATTTATAACAATATACTTACTCTCAAATCATAAATTTGTTTGTCCCCAAAATAAGTGCCTCTCAACTTTCATTCAGTGGAGTTTAAGGTAAGAACCAATGAGTTCATTCGAACATCTGAACATTTTGCTTGAAAACAAACTGTTTTTGACATATTCCTAAAAATCCGTTAATGTTGACATATAAATTTTTAAGTCTTTCAATTTATCTATTATTTTAAGACTGATTCTATTGTCAGTAATAATTTATAAGAAATATAAATACTGAAAGTATTTATCTGTAAATGGTTGATAATTACATATATACAATATGAAACTGAATACTGCCTAACACATCAAGTTTATTATATTATATAAGTTATCATCTAAAATCTTATCTATGTAATCCAGTTAATTTATATATTTTTCAGGATTATTGATTTTAACTGTGATGCACCAAATCAATCAACAACCTTTCACTGAACTTTGATTGTCTACTGAAATGGCTGTGATGCAGTGGCAAATTTATGATGTCTAAATACTTAATTTCTATTTGTTTTTAGACATGAATTTCTTCTAAATATAATTACTTTTTATATATTTTAACATTGTGATATTGTTTATATTTTATAGTTTATAACTGTTCAAATCTAATTAGTTATTAATCGATCAGTATTATTGGAATGCCTCTATATTTTACAGTGTTTTTTTTAATTAGCCTAGTTGTATCATAAAAATTAAATACAATCTAATTATTTTTAATAATGTGAGTGTAAGTTTCTTGTCAGCATCCTACTTCATGTGACAATATATTAATTTTTCTTTGTTGGATCTTTTGTCACACCTCCCCCCCCCTTCCCTTCTCCCTCTCTCTTTATACATACATATACCTATTCCTTCTAGTGGAAATTAAAATTTTCAATAATTAAATTATTATTATGATGATTAGGAAATAAAATTTATTGTTAATGTTGTATATAATTTTTTTTTCTAGGATGATTTACATTGGTATTATAATCCTTCAGTTAAAAGCTATCAGATCACATTGCTTTTATTTATCAACTATGGTATTAGATTTTTACTCCTGTTTCTATCACAAACATTAATAACATGAACAAAATTTATATTGGTCAAAGATAATGAGATGGGAAATCATCAAAGTTTCTTACCTTTGTTATTTTCAATTGCTTTCTGCCTTTCTAATTTTTATTCCAGAATCTTTAAATAAATTATTTGTAAATGTATGGAAGATGTAGACAGTCTAAACAGATTTTTTTATGTTATTATTAAATTAAATAATCTCTACTGTTAAACTTATAAGGTATAAAAACATAATACAGATATATTATAAATCACATAACCATATGAAGAAATATTTTAAAAAATAATATAGGCAATTTCTCTTCAGGAAGAACATTATTGGTCCAAGAGGGTTGCATATTCTACTTCAGTTCAGGCGGCCTAGGAGTTGGTCCTCTTATCAGCCTCCTGTTTGGAAGGAAGGAGAGTAAAATGAGGTAATAGGTAGAAGGAAGAAATGATTTAAGTTTGTAGAGCATTCCATCGTGCCAGAATCTGTCGAATGCTTGAGCAGTATCCAGAAATACGACAGTAGCGTACAATATATCTTCTAGTGCAATTGAAATGTAATCCGTGTTTCTGTGAAGTTGGTGTATGGTTGAATAAAGTGAACGGAATCCGAATTGGTGTTCAGGTAGACTTGGTTCTCTGTTAGAATGTTGAGTAAAAAATATATATATTTTAATGTAGTCTGTAAAATATATTTTTTTTTAATTTTAGAGCAAATCGGAAGTAGACTAATAGGTCTGTTGGAGGAACGTCTATTGGAATCTTTGTTCTTTTTTTTGTATCATTAGTATTTGTGAAAACTTCCATTGCAATGGGCATTTAATTGTCCTTAGTATGGTGTTGAATAGAGTTGTTGGATAGACTACCGCTTTTCTGAACATATTCTGGAGTAGCTCAGCATTGATCAGACCATACCCTGGCGCTTTTCTTTTGTGTAACTTTGGAATCGCTTGAAGTACTTTAGATGGAGTGAAAGGTGGAAGAGGTAATGTTATTGGTAAGGGGATTTCAAGAGAATCTTGTATATAATTTTCATGTTCATTGTATGAATAGTCTTTATGTGGTGTGAAGACAGTCGATAGATGGTCAGGAAAGAGTTCAGCTTTTTCACTGTCAGACACGATCCAAGAACCATCTTTTCGTAGTAAGGCAGACATTTCGCGATGCTTTAGTAGCTTTTTAGTTTGTCCCCATAAGGTTCCATCATCAGTGCAGAGGTTATTTATAAAATATCATAGTTAATTTTTTTATTTGTCATTTTAGTTCATAATTTATTCGGTTATATGTCTTTTAGGATAATTTACCAAAACATATTTCATATTTCTTTATCCTTAAAAATGGCAAATGATCCCTTTTCATCTTCATTTTTTTAGTATTACCTTCTTCTAAGCCGAAAAACCAACTAATCTCAGATGATTATTCTATCAGACAATGTAATAGTAAATAGGCTCACGTTTACATTATTATGTAACCATATTTTACTCTTCATATTAAGAATAATAATAAAAGGCTTAGCGAACCCGAAGGTTCGATGCCGACACCACCAATCGCCTATTACACACCTCCCTCCACCGTTCGCCGTCCAAACCCAGTCCCTTCAGATCGGCTTTAATGCAATCTTCCCACCTTCGCTTCTGTCTACCCCTCAGACGCTTACCATTCCGCACAGCAAATATTAATCTTTTAGGAATTCTCTCGTTACTAAGCCCAACAACTTTACAAGCCCATTTAATTCACCGCGAAGAAATTACCTCAATTATATTACCCGGATACAGTTCACGCAATTCGGCGTTGTGTAACCGTCTGAACTCTCTGGTTAACTCATCCTTCTTCGGTCCGAATATTCTACGCAATACTTTATTTTCAAATACCTTAAGACGCTGCTCATCCTTTTATGTAAGCGGCCAAGTTTCGCATCCATAAAGAACTGTAGGCAAGATAATTGTTTTATAGATTCTAATTTTTAAGTTCCGGGACAAGAGGCGGGAACTGAGTAGTTTTGTCACAGAAAAATAACAAGCATTTCCCGCCTTCAGTCTAACCTTAATTTCTTCTTCAATTTCGTTTTTTCCAGTTATCGTAGAACCTAGATACCTAAATTTATCTACCTGTTTAAACATATTACCATCTATATCGATATCACCAGTAGTATCGCCATTTTTGCAGCTAACCATATATTTTGTTTTATCCACGTTTATTTCGAGTCCTAGTTTTTCACCGGCTTTCACTAACGTTGTCGTATTTAGTTTTATAGTTTCAACGTCTTCGCTTAACAGTACCAGATCATCAGCATAGCCCAGCACGGATGTTGTCCCACCCAGATCCAACCCTTTCTCGGTACGCATTAACCTCCCTAATGGCATATTCTAATGCCAAATTGAACAGTACAGGTGAAATGGAATCCCCCTGTTTTAAACCCGAGCGAACCTCAAATTTTTCTGACAGATTATTACCGATTCTAACTTTATTGAGTGTCTCCGTCAAGCACATCCTGACTAGATTTACTAGTTTTTTTGGAATCCCCTGCTCGATTAGAGTATTATACAGTTTCTGGCGGTCAATAGAATCGTAAGCCTTTTTGAAATCTATATACAGCTGGTGAACAATACCGTTGTACTCCAATTTTTTCTCTAATATTTGCCGTAAAGAAAATATTTGATCAATAGTTGAACGATTCCGTCTAAATCCGCATTGGTAGTCTCCGATAATTTCCTCGGCGTATTCCGTAATTCGACTGGTTAGGATTAAAGTAAATATTTTATAACATACCGGGAGGAGTGAAATTCCTCGATAGTTATTACAATCCGTCCTCGGGCCCTTTTTGTGAATCGGAATAAGAATAGATTCTTTCCATTCCTCAGGTAATTTCTCATTCACCCAGATCTTTTTAACCAGCCGATGTATTGTAGAAACTCCAGCTTCCCCGCATGCCTTAATTAGTTCAGTAGGAATATTATCGGTTCCCGCTGCTTTATAAGATTTTAATTTTCCGATAGCTACTTCAACTTCCTCTTTACTTGGTCCTTCTATTAACGGTTAAGCACTCTGGTACTCAGAAGGAGGACACAGATCATAATTTCCCGTATTTAAGATATTGTCAAAGTGGTCCTTAAACTTATTCAATATGTCAACCGGATCGGTCATAATATTGTTATTATCATCCCTTATTCCAGACGTTACGGGTCCTACACATTTACGTGATCTGTTTATACCTTTGTACATGTCTCTTACGTTATTTTCGATTCTGTTAGTTTCTATTTCAATTATTTTATTTTTAAGATACTCCCTTTTTTTATTTTTGAGCAATTTTGTCGTTTCGTTCTTTGAGGTTCGGAAGTATTCCAGATTGTCTTCGCTAGGATTATTTAGAGCTTTTAATTTAGCGGCTTTTCTTTTTTTGCACATGTTTAAGCAATCTTCATCAAACCACGGTTTGTTATTCTTATTTTCCTTTTTTCCTAGACACGAGTTAACGACCGCTTTAATATTATCCCTGATCTCTACCAATAACTTGTCAATATCCTCGTGGTCCTCGTCAGGAAGCTCTAAAGCTTCAAACCTATTCTTAACATCTAGCTCGAATTGGTTTCTAATTGATGGATTTTTTAATTTTTCCAAATTAAAATTCTCAAAATCGAATCGGTTTTCTTTTCTCTTTTTTATATTAAGTTTTTGTCGAAGTTTCGCGATTACTAATTCATGATCCGACCCACATTCTGCTCCGCGATAAGACCTTATATTAATTATACTGCTTTGCCAGTTGTGTTGTATCAAGACATGGTCGATTTGATTTCGTGTTTGCGAATCCGGTGACGTCCAAGTATATTTATGAATATCCTTATGTTTAAACGTCGTACTTTTAATTATCAGGTTTTTCGAGATGGCAAAGTTTATCAGACGGATCCCATTATCATTACTATATTCGTGCAAACTTTCTTTACCAATCGTCGGAAGATAAACTTCTTCCCTTCCTACTTTTGCGTTCGCGTCACCTAAAATTATTTTCATATAGTTTCGCGGTAGTTTATCATAAACCCATTCGAGTTTATCGTAAAATTCACTCTTGACTTCATCGTCACTGTCTTCGGTCGGACAATGTATGTTTATTAATGCGATTTTAAACCAGCGTCCCTGAAATGTAGCTACCGAAATTCTATCACTAAAGAATTGTACGTCCCTCAAAGCGGATAGTAATCTACTCTTAATTAGAAACCCGGTACCTAAACAATGATTCCCGCTTCCTCCGTACCAAATAGTGTACTTTCCTTCCCTCATCGAGCCCTCCCCTGGCCAGCGAACCTCTTGCAGAGCCACGGCATCCAAATTGTACCCATTCACCTCATTCGCGACCGATTTTAGCCCCCCTGCTGTGTTTAAACTCCTTACGTTCCACGTACCAATATTTAAATCCCTATATTTCAACTTGCGCCATAAATCCCCTAAAGCAGTCCCCACCCGGAGACCCGAACGGGGGACTAGTTTACCTCCGGATAATGAGCGTTTTACCTTAGGGAGATCCATGACTATTTGTGGTGTTTGGTGAACCAAAGATATGTGAGTAGGGCGTTCAATCCTACGTCACACCCTCTTGCAAGTCTGGTGAGCCCCTACCTCCAGTAAGTCTGGAGGTCCCCTCCCTCCAGCAAGTCGGGGGGGCCCCTCTCATTGTTGGT